GGGGCTATAATATAAATCAAAGCCGGTATACAGCAATTTGACTAATGGCAATTGAACAAATAAGCCCAGATGGTTACCAAACGATTACTCGGTGAGGACGTGAACAAGTTGAACTTAGCCCCTGCGACCACTTTTAAGGTTATTAATATCTAATTGGTCCGTGCGCGTCCACCGCGTTTCGCGTTCACACATTTCCTATCGGCGACGCTCCATTCATCCAGATCTTCTTAAATAGGGAAGTAACGGACTAGACTATTGACTTACACACACTCAATTACCAGTCTACAAAACATTTTACTTCACGGATCCTACAAATAAAGTCATTTGTGTGTTCCCCGCCAATCCACCTCCATCTCTCGGCCCGGGATCATGGTGGAGCTCTAGCTCACGCATAGCAGCCAGGGTTTACAGCATTGGACTATGACAGCCATACACACAATCCTCCCCTCAAATAGTGAATACACCCACGATACCATTCACCGAAAGCGACCCCCACTAACACCACAACGATTGTGTTAGCCATCTGACCTACGTTGCCCCTTTTCTCGATCCTGAATATGCCCGACTTTATTGCATCGTCCTACCACCACTCGACCGGATGAATAGCTTAATCAAGCGAGTCTTCTCCCTGTTCTCTATCCAACAACCCCAAAGGGACATCGCTCCTCCAGCGGAATGGGAAAAGACCTCCGATGAGTCCAAGAATATGGATCGTCCCAAGCCTGTCTCTGTCGTCGTCTCTCCCCCCGCCTTCGATCTCGATTCCTATGAATCCTTCGATGAGGATTACTTCCGACGAACGGTTGATGAAATTCTCTCCGATCAGACTAGTTTTGAGAAAAGCTTTGACGAGTACTCCGGCGCTAAGATGATGGATGGGACCTGTGAGAAGAGGGTTAGCATGTCGAGGGATTCTGGCCTTGGCAGCTCGGGACATAAGGCGTCCCCTTATTTTCAGAGTAAGGTGGCTAGGAAGAAGCCTGTGGCGCATAGGGTTATCCAGAAGATTGAGAGCTCAGATGACGAAGATGACGAAGAGGAGGATGAGGAGATGCTGGTTTCGGAGAAAGCCGAGCGGTTTTATGATAAACAGAGTGGGAGAAAAGTGGTCAAACGGAAGAATCCTGCCGATTCTATCGTTAGGATTAAACACGAGGAACTTGAGAAACGAGGGCTTCATGTTCCGGAGGAAGAGGTCAAACCTGCTACTCGGGCTCCTGCTGTGATTGATGTCGATGCCTGCGATGATGAGGAGCTTGAGGAAGTCTCAGAGGAGAAACACGTTTTTGCGTCTGTTTCGGAGGAGGAACATGACCGTCTTGTTAAGTTCCTTCTTGGTCATCCTTTTATGCGCGAAGGCGCGTATCCAGTGAAACGGTCCGCACGGCGCAGGTTCATAAGTGATGTGCGACGGGAGGCTTCTATCTCTGGCATGGATGAAGGCACCCTGGGTGTACTCACAAAGTGGATCAAGAAGACGTATCTCGAAGTTTGCATGGTTGCCGACGCTGACAAGGAAGGATCGGAGTTCGGTGATGAGATCGATGATAAGAACGTGGGTGAACATGGGTCACGAAGGAAGTCGAAGAAAGACCGGAAGAGAAAAAGGACTAGTATTGATCAAGCAAGGGAAAAGGCCAAGGCAAAGAAGACGAAGAGACCTGACATTTCAATGGTCCCTAGCAAACAAGACGTGCGAGAAGTCATAAATATTGATAGCGACGATTCCGCGGTTGCGATCTCTAAGTCCCCCTCCGCAGACATCCAAGTTTTGGGAAAGGCATCAGGTCCCCAGTCCGATCTCCAACGCACGCCTACCTCCCGTCGTGGTCACCACGAGATTGCAAAACCTGGAAGAGCGGTCATTGAACCTGTTACTCCCATAACACCAACTACCCTTTCAGGGCAGAGGGGCAATGAACGGACCATCTCTAGCAAGAAGCTATCGCTGCCAAGGCCTGGATATCATAATTCCACTCCTAATAAGGATGTCAATAGCAACGAGAGAAATCTTCAAGTATCCCAGGAGCGTACTTCGCGGAACGACTCGCCTAAGGAGCGCAGCGTCTCTTCTACTGCGGACCTCCCGAGTTCACTTTCGAAGAATGCCAAATTGCCAAGTAAAATACCAAACATCGCCGAAAGTTGCGAAAGGAAGAAGAAGAAGAAGCGCGAAAAGAAGGATAGAAAGCGTCATTCCCGGAAGGAAAGAATAAGGCTTCAACAGTCTGAGATTGGCCAGCTTTCCCGAAAAGGTGACCAACAGGCACAGAAACACCCAGCAGAAAAGAATTCGTTTGTGCACAAGACAGTGTCCATGGATGACCCTTTTTGGGATATGGATTTTTAAATCCCGATGATTCGCAAGGATTGACCGCCTGCGTTGAGGTGAGGTCGAAATATTTTAGGAAATCATCAAGGCAGAATAAGAAAGGGGGATCATGTGCTCCTAGGAGTACGACAAAGTTATCAAAGCATTCGATACCTGAAGAGATGCTCCTTATGTTGGAAAGTTTGGAGTTGTCGCCCGACATTCTTTTGTCTAACTCTGATTTGAGCGATATACCCGATGATACCAGTTCTATTGATAACGACCCCTCCTTGCCCCATCGCATACCACGTATAATACTCCCAAGAGATCACATCGTGGACAGCTCCACGGAGTCTCCTAGGACTCCAGCCAATGGCGCGTCTCCGGTTAAATCTCGCATCGAACCTGCAAAACCATCACTTGTCAGACCCGCCAAAGTATCGCCCTACTTCCCCCAGCCGCTTGTGGATCCTGAATCGTGCATACCCTTTCCTCCGATTGATGCCGACTCTTTCGGACTGGTCCAAGAGCAGCTTGCACACGATCCGTTCCGCCTGCTTATCGCTACTATATTTCTAAACAGAACTCGAGGAGGAGTTGCTCTTCCCGTCTTGTTCAAGGTCTTTGAGCGATTCCCTACTGTCGAAGCAATGGCTACAGCGGACGTATGTGACCTTGTGGATATGATACGTTCTCTTGGATTTCAGAACCAGCGGACGAGGAAGTGTATTAGTCTAGCACAGACCTGGATGTGTCGCCCACCGAAAAAAGGTGAAAGATATCGCAAACTCCACTACCCCTACAAATTAGATGGACGAGATATCCGACCACGAGAGTGCATTGATGATGCAGACCCGCGTGTGGCCTGGGAGGCCGCACATCTACCAGGGGTGGGGGCTTATTCTCTGGATAGCTGGCGAATCTTCTGCCGAGACGAACTTCGAGGCCTAGCCAAAGATTGGAAAGGGTCCGGTGCAGCTAAGGCGGACTTTGTTCCGGAGTGGAAATCAGTTCTGCCACATGACAAGGAGTTGCGGGCATATCTGACCTGGATGTGGCTTAAGGAAGGTTGGGTATGGGATTGTCAGACAGGACATAGAACTCGAGCTAGTGAGAAGATAATGCGAGCTGCACACCGCGGCGGAGTGGCCGTTGAAGAGAATGGGAATTGGATACTGGAGAAATTACCAGTAAAGAAAGCTGCGAATGGTCTGACTATAAAGGATTAAACGTTGGCGGATTACATGGATATGGAGTTAGTTGGTCGATAAGTTGGAATGGATGAACATCATCGTGATTGTTGTTTCAGGGTAGACCTTATTAGATTTGAAACAGTCCCAATATGATACCCTTAATTGCCTCCTCATCTTCTTATTCTTAACTTCTGGGCATGTATAACACAGAAAATAATCAGTACGGGCTTCAGAATGGCAGATTCTACAATACACTTCGAAGCCTCCCTTTTCCCAACTATTGGGATTTTCTAGACTATGCCACAGGGCACATTAGAGACTCCCAGTATAACATCTTCCTGGTATACAGGGGTATACAGGACATTTGGGTTCAAGATGCTTAGGATTTTATGGAGGAGCAGATTGAGAGCAAATCTATAAGTTAAACAATATTATCATCTCGATTAGTGAATAATCTATAGTCTACTTATTTAGCCTTACTCAGAAAATCTTATAATACAGTTACGGGTGACTTCTTATGAAAAATTATACTAATATAGATTCATAACTGTGTTCAGCCCTGCAGGGCGCAGTGTACAATGTATTGGTATGACAACGGATTAATAACACGCGAAGAGCAATGTACTCTGTATATGTGTGCCGGAACCAGTATGATTCCTAAAGATCCTTCCTTTACCGCTGAGAAAACAGATAACTTATCTTGAGTTGTAGCTCAAAACTTCCACCACGGCCCATACAAGGGATTACGGAAAGATATCGATCTCTTTAATCTAATTGTTAACTGCCCGCTCCCTCCCCTCGCTATGGAAAGTATGTTGTCCATATTTCCGTTCCTTTGGTCTTGCGTATTCTTTCCTTAGACTATACCTCCGGTGGAAGCTTTGGATTCTAGATAATGAATTACTCAGTTTCATGCAACCATCACAATAATCTGTTCTAATTGTCTTCTGGCATCTATGGCTTTCTATCTCTATCAGACAAAAAACACGGGTATATAGTATGGTACTTTGAAGCATCGCTCGCAGGCATGCAAGTCATGTCATACAAACACAATGAAGTTCAGTCACTGTCCTCTCTAGATGCTATACCATCCACTAACAATGAGTCCATTTTAAATGGTTGCCAATCTTTGAGCGGCATTCGAGTTTAGATTGTGTCGATTGTCGCCGGTGCAATACCCAAAAGGGGCGCGCAAGGTACGAAGCTCGACTCAACCTCAAGCCTTCTGCGGACCGTAGTCAGGAAAGTGAGAACGTCAGTCTCTCAAGTGAGAGCATACGCTCGGGGCTATCCTCCGGACGATCTCCCCAATCATCCAGTACTTCCCTTTTTATCACCAGGCCAGCTTCGACGGTCTCGAAGATGACCCACATGCAGCATGCTTAGCATAATTATGCCTTTGTCCGGCCTGGTGATTTAGTCAGACATATATTCTGAGGGTTCCGTGAGAGGCGACTAGCCGTCCGCCGCGTGCGGGAGAGTAGAACATGGAATATATCGAAGAAGGGACCGCGACATTCAACGCAACCCGACCTCTTGGTACATGTTCACCATCTGCTGCCTCACCATCTTTGCCAACGGCCAGGACTTGCCCAGCATATTCAGACCGCCGATGCTCAGTTGAATTCGCGTCTTAAGCGACTCGACCTTGTCAGGGGTCGACATGATCAGGCATGCTGCCGTGTGCACAATAACACACATTGCCAGAGCACATGTAAAGAAAGGAGTCCGGGACTTGATCGTACTCGGTAGAGTGACGAGATTGGATAACATATCCGCCGCGCGAAGGAACTTTTGGGAATGCAGATCCAGTTCCGTAGGCGGTGGGTTGTTGTTGCAGACTCGGAGCCGGGTGCACCAGGTTCGAGCGTGGAAAGAAGCAAAGCGCATGCTGGAACGAGGGTGGTGGAGATATATCAGTGCGCTGGTGGTATCGGTTAGTCCTTTGCTTTGGGGACGGATATCCTTTAGGATCCTTACAGGTAGGTGATCATCTCTGCTTGGAAGAGCATTTCGTCAATATTCGAGCTGTCTAAAGAGGTGCCATCTTGAGATGAAGGTATTTGCATGAGCGACGAGACAAGAGTGGCGTCAACTGTCTCAACCCGGGCTTCAAGGTCAATATCCAGTGAGCGGTTCACTTCCATGACTAGCCCGAGGTTCCGCGCAGCTTCAATTCGGTAAGTGAAGGTGGAGCTGCATTGGTCGAGAGACCAGCTCTGTTTGAGATCGTCCAGGGTCCGTGTATTTGGCGTGATCTTCCCAATGTCAGTCCATATCACTTGTGTTTATTTGGGGATTAAGAGGGATTATACCTCACTAGCAGAATTATAAACCTCCTCAGCGCAAGGCAATTGGACGTCCGCCTTCTGGGGGAAAAGACGATACGGGATTTGGCCTCGCATAGCTGTCAACAACCCGTCTACAACATACAATTCCCAGAACGTCCTACGCCAGCTTTCGGCGAGCACCGAATTACCCTCAGAGTTTATGAGAGCGAAACTGGCACGGTTCATTCCCAGCTCTAGAGCGAGATCAATCGCCATTTGGATTTTCATGTGCGCGTTCTCTTCTTGGCCATGGGCATGTTCGATGATCGCAAGTAGCAGCAGTCCTTGAACTTTGAATCCGTCCCGCGGGGTGACATCCGATAGAACCGTATATGCTGCCGGCCGGAATTCTTCCTTGAATCTTACATCGGGGTAGTAATGTGCGCCAATGTACCGCACAATCCCGGTGATATAGGGAGGTATCCGGTGCTGAAGCGGAGAATGAAGTACTTTTCTTGGGATCAAGAAAGGGTGTGACCGGTGAAAGTTTTGATAGTATAGCTGTACCATTGGATCATAAGCTATCTCAGGGGTAATCCTTGCGACTGGCTCAGGCTCGTGCCAGGTCGTTGTTGTGGTATCATCCTGGAGGCAAGGAATGTCCCATACTGGCGGCGTTTCGAGCCCATGGAGAAGCGCCGGATCTGCCTGTTCTTATTAGTCCAGCCACGCCGTGATCAAGGGCCGGTCCGGAAGCTCACCTCCAAATCTGTTGCTAGAGTGGTGGCATTCAGCCAGGTAGCAAAATCGTCTGCAGTCAACATTTGTTCGTCGAACCGCGGGGGGGATTGATTGCTCTGTTTGGTACGCAATCCTCGCCTCGACCGTACATAACGACATTCTGAATTGGTGGATTGGCAACGAGTACAGGCTGGCAACAGGGCATCGCACTTTAAATGGCGGCGGCGACAGGATACACAAGCTAACGAAGAGGGCTGCCGGGATGACGGCGGCTTGGACGGGGTGGTAGGATCCTGCATTGTATGTACATATGTATGTGGCCCAGACAAAGAAAGGTCAGGGTCACACAAGGCGGGGGGGGAACAAAGGATTAAGTTGGACTCTAGCTCCAGATCATCCAAGGTTCCATTTACTTGGTGTATCTATAAATCTATAGTAGTTCGGATGTGCTTTACCGTACCGAACTATGCGGTTAGTCCGGTGGTCCCCGTTCGTCGATCCCGAGATCCCCGAGTCGGCGACCAATCTGTTCGGCGACAAGTTCCACTTCACGCTGGATCCCGTCCTTCATAAAGTATTCGCGTTCGCTGCTGCTCCCTTACTTCCTATTGATTTGACCCTGACTCGTATCCATACTGCGAATGCGAATAGATCTGAACCGGGGTTGAGTCCCCGTCCGGGGAATTACGTCACTGCCATGATCAACGCATAGTTATCACATACTCTAATATAACACAATATCCCCGAACCAGACGTTGAACCGGAATTCATATCCTTCGGCTTCCATCCTCCGCAATTTGTCGGCATCCAATATGCATCTGCAAATCCTTCAACTCCCCGACCTTCTTGGCCTCATCACATGTCCCAGATCTCGTTGATCCCGCCGTCAGTGTCTGATACCTTCTCGAGTCTCAACTATGGAGAGCTCACGTGAAGGGGGTTGCCGACTTAATGGAGACACGATCATTGGAACCGAAGATCACACTGGGAGGCACGTGAGCCCACACCCAATGTTGCAGAGAGGACACCATATACGGCTGAACCAGGATATCGGGTTGACAGGGAATGCTAAATTCCCAACAGCAAGGATATAATAATCCGAAGGATACACTGCAGAGGAGTGCATACATGGTGCCGACTGAAGAATCACAATACGAGCTTAGCCCAAAAGGCTATTATTATTCTGCGGTGTTTGGGTTGAATCATAACGCATCCACATCAGGTGTGACCGGGATTTGCTTTATGCACGAAGAAAGTGGTTCCAACTAGTGGAAAGGGGCGAACCGTCCGTGCGAGGCTTGATGACCATGCAATCAGTTCTGCAACGTCAACCTGATAAGTGACAGACAAATTAAGGGACGCCACATTTAACTCGGTGACGCTTGTCAAACGCCGTCCACACGGTCGGCGACCTTTAACCATTCCTCCGGGTTTCAATTATGGTGAATGCCAGGGGTGGCATGATGACAATTTGTCTTCCTCCACTTTCGCTTGGGATTTGGGGGTGGGGGCAAAAGTGGATGGATCGCCCGGGGGCTGAAAAGTCTTGTGATAGGCGAAGACGCGTTCCCGACTTGGTCCCCGAATGAATGCCAAGTCACATCCACTCGTTTCACCTCGGACACAAACCTCAATCCCCACCAGCACTAGACCGTGAACGGTTAACACTCGCGCTTTAATGCCTGAAGTATTCAGTCTCGACTCAATTGCTCCACCGACAGCATCATCCGTGTTGTTACTGTGACGATGCCTGGGCCAAGTCGTGGCTAAGAAGAGCCTTTTGTTAAAGACCCTCTCGGCGCGCAAGCATCAATAAAGCCAACCACACAATGTCACACACTCAGTGGACCTCGCCGCCGGTCCCTTGAGCAACCATGAATTATGAGTCTACTTTTCAGGAATACACGCAGGAACCCTAGGGTCACTCAGTTCCATGCACCAGCCATTTGGGACAAATAACCGCGTTCACATGTTCAACAGCTCATAGTCTTCTAGACCCTAAACGCTGTCACACATACAGTCTCCCGAGGCTCTCAGCCCGGGTGGAACGCCTTGAGAACCTTTTACGGCGACGCATCTTCTATAGAGTTGCACACGCCTGCCACGCAAAGAAAGGAGTCACCATTCTTGTGCAATTGAAGGTGGTCTCGAACGGTATCGTAGGTAACACAACCATGTTTCTTTGTCCACATCGGTTGGACAAGTCTGGCTTCAGTGTAATCCGTGCGCTGGTAGCAGAAGGCGTGTCATCCCCGCGCAATATCCAGGAGGCGAACACGACCTCCGCAAAATGTCTGGACCGTATTGAGCGTAGGGTATTCGAATTCTGTTATTTGCCTGACCTACGACAAGGTGAAGTCAACATGAAAGCAGTCACTACGACCTGTACGTCCGCTGATAGATGGCATTTTTCATGAAGGACATTCTTGCGTATAACTATCGTTCATAACTTCCTAAACGTTGTTTGGCAAAGCATGAAGTGGGGTGACGTAGCATCTTGCAAATTTGCTAGGAGGTATCTTCCTTCAGGAACAACTTTACTTTCCCGATGTGTTGCGAGGCGAGCTACAGAGTAAAGTTCGAGCTATTCAGCAGGCTGCCGACCTGAAGACACGACGTTCAATGTCTCAGGTGGCCCTACTGCTCAGTCAACTTGCTTTGCCTTGAAACGTGTATTGGATAGTCTAGGAATGCAGCGGAGCATCGCGGAGCATCGCGGAGCATTGAATACCACTTCCAACGACTAGATTACGTCTAGACTACTTTCATCTACCTCATCAGATACCAGTCATTGTCTCTAGAGTATCTACAAACAATAGTGTACACTATCCTTTCCACTCACTCATCTCGCCAGCAGACATAGTACTCCCGATCAAGCAAACCGCACAACATAAGGGCAAGGCTTCTCCCCAAACTTCGCGATACTGTTCTCCTGAACCTTATTCACGTCGTCATTGGGAGCATTCCACATCCGATCACCAGAGTCCCTGTCACAATTAGCACCTCCGATTATATCCTTGAAGAAAGAAGGGAAAACGTACATCATCAACCCAACATGGTGAATACTCTTCCTATTCGCACAATCACACTCCCCACCAAAGAAAACAGCATCGCCCGCTCTGCGCTGCTCATACGGATATTTCCTAAGCAACAAAACCCATTAGCCTTATCTGCCTTCCCAACACACATACTATGCAAGCCAAAAAGAAAAGAATGAAAAGAAAAGAAAACATACTTATACTTCAACTCCTTCTCCTCCGCACAATACATATCAGACGTCACACGCAGACCCTCCGAGAACAAATCCCGACCCGTGACCTGGCACACAGCCCAACAGACGAGTCCGGAGCAGTCATACCCGGTATCGCCGTACTGGTAGGGCGGTTGGTCATGTGTGGGACCCTCACAGGATCCGCCGCCCCAGGCGTAGGGCGTTCCTGCTGCTGTTAGGGCTTTGTTGAGGATTTTCTGGCCGGTGGTGCTGTTTGCGGTGTTGAGGGTTAGGGCATTGGTTGCTGTGAGAGTTGCTAGGAGGGTAGTGAGGAGTGTTGATTTCATTGTGTTGGTTCGTTTTCTTGTATTGGATTGGTCGTCTTTGAGTTGGGATGTCTTGAGTAGAATTGTGGATATTGAATGAATTGAGGTAAGGATGACATGACGGATCTATATACCCAACGGTGTTCATGTGAAGTGTCAATTGTATCTATTTTTACATCGGTACTTCCTCCATTGTAACGTCGTCAGATCTACGATAGGCCTATTTTGAGACAGAATACGAGCCTGAGGCGACGATCATACATGATCGCACCTGGTTCCTTTCTTTGTCAATGACTATAACCAAGGATATCTAGCACCAGAAACAATATATATGCGCTTCCCGACTCTATGACTTAGTCGTTACATTTACCATCCAATTGTATTGGAACTAAGTAGTAGGAGTGTACAAGATCCACCATGATGATGAGGATGATCTCGCCGACGTTAGATGAAAGGAGCGATCAACACGAGAAGTGGAGGGCCAAGAATGCACATCACTTCGCAGGCTTCACAATACTATCAGAACAGGTGAACTAGACGTCAGTTGTGTTGATCTTTGCTTTAGATAAACCTACTGAGTACAATTAGACCCCAAGGTCCGTATCGTCATTCGGTTTTCATATCACGGCGGATATCATACCCTTTTCTGCTGATTGGCTGATGTCACCAGGATGAAGGTTATATTAGTTGAATTCCACGCTTAGCTTGCACGATATATATTCTCGGACTGACTAAGTAATTTGCTGTAATTGTGTTTTCATTAAGTAGATACAATTTAGTATCATCTTTCAAAACCAAAAGTCTTCAAATATTCCCTTTCGTCCTGATTAGTCTGGTCGCGTGACGAGTTCCGTGTATTCGGTTGTGGTGATTTGGCGATTCGTTGTACATTGGATTTTATTGGCTTATATTGGTTGATGGCGTGTATGGAATGTATGGAATGGTAAGGGACGGAGTATGAAGGACTCTTTTGAGGATGCCGCTGTACTCGTACCCTATTCAACGCTTGAATATAGATTCAAGATCCACCCGCAAGTATTCCACTTTACTCTCATTCACTGCAGGGCTGACTTTCTTTCCACCAACACCCACATCCACAGTCTGTCCCAGACAAGACCATAGACCAACAGACCTTCCTGGAAGGAGATTGATCACTGGCGATTTCCTTGGGGTCACAAACAAACATTTCCATTGGACATGCCATCGAGTACCGAGTAAGACCACCATGGAACATGACTGGACTCAGATATGTCACATGCGGTAAAAAATGCTTGTTGGGCGGAAATCGCTTAACCCCGGCAATTCATATGCAGCCCAGCTTCCCCCCCCCCCTTGCATACATATCCTCGCCTAGTACTAGTATTCGACTAGAGACAAAACAGACATTTACCAATAATTCCTTGCTGCATGTCGGTCCTGAGTACACTTTCACTTCGGTAGTCACCTTGCATGAACTGGTTTGTTGGGATGGAATCCACATTTGGCAGGTTGAAGACCCCATACGTGTCCCGTGGTGTTATTGGTCATGTCTTGGTGCATATACAGAAGCGAGATAGATTTCTTACTCTGAATGTTTTAGAAGGCCCCTTGCTTCCGTTGCACTCGTCAATTGGAGAGTTTGAATATAGGCTCGTGCGGTGGATTCCTTGGGTTGTTTGTCTCGTTGAGGTCAAATATCTCAGTTACACTTTTATGCTCCGTGTTAAATTCAAGATGTCTGCGATGTGGCTTGAAATCAATGGTTATGTACTGCGTGGACAAGCGTGTACTGATCATCTCATCCAAGCCCTTGTGCTTGGGTATTGTGTCCAGGTCACCGGACAAGAAGCTCGGTTGGATACCTTGCAGTAATCTCGAGGGAGGAGTTCAACGCATACTCCCTCGCTGGTTGCAGGCAATGGGGATGCCGACGTAGTTTTTCACTGTAGTCACTGTCGGTGTGTGGTAGCACATTGGATGAAGTAAGGACAAGGGGATGAACGAATCGGCTATTGAACGAGCAAAATACATTCGATCGTTTTAAGTCATGTGCATCACACAAATGTCTTTAAGGTATAACATTATCCAATCATCTATGTCGCTAAAGGCTACTGGAGGTAAAGAAAGAACAAAAGAAGAGTTTCCAACGCAGATACGCGAAGTAGAAAGGCTTATTCTACGCCAAGAACTCGCGGTCGATGGCCTGGTTCAATTTATCTGCAGCCAGTTAGCCGCTGTCTTGTCAGGAACTGAAACAATATACCACTTATCCCCTGGATAGCTTCAAATGCGATAGAGTAATTCTCTAGGAACTTGACTATCAGCCGTAAGTTATGATATAGCTCCTTCCGAAAGTCGGATAAAGGGGTGGTATCCAGAGCATTGATGTCGTCGGGCGCGGTGTGTTGGATAGCTCGTGCTTTGAGACCCAGCATCAGCATTGCATAGCTGGACTGCACTCCGCAGCATACTACGGTTGGCATGGTTCGAGGGAGTTCACTACCAGACCCTCCGCGGGCGTATTGTGTATTAGCCAGGATGTCGCTGGTGTGATTCGGGTAGAGAAGGTTATCAAGCAACGTGACAATGTTGAGTGCCGCATGCAGGCAGACTTTTGATGACTCCTCACTGGTAAACGGCATCTGAAGCTTGTGAATCTGAGACATTAGCGACAAGTCTTCAACCAAGCTAGGACCGTTGCTCATTTCCAACGGCATATCCATCCGAGAATTACTGTCCGCAGGTATCGATACATCTGGATGTCGTATAGAGCCAGACAAAATATCTTGGAATGCGCACAGTCGGTGCAGTTTGATCCGTGCCCTGTACTGTTAGCTGAGTTACCACTTCCCGTACATGGGCAATATTTACGTGTGTAGCTTGATCTCTGCAAAATCCCTCATGGTCTTCGATGTCATGCATTCAACGGATTCAGGTTGTGGAGCCATCTGAGAGACCAAAGGAGCATCTCGGCTGTGGAACAGCAGAGACGATATCTGCCTGTCAAGCTCCTCCATGCGTTTCGAAACCCATGATGCGTCATCAGCCTCATGCATGGTCCTATCAAGGTCACTGGCGAATACGGCAGATTCGACAAGAACCTGTTGGGCCTCGACGACAAGCTTCCACCCCTATTCACATTTGTAAGTAAATCGGTGTGATTCGGTTTTGTACTCGTGAAATAACATACCTCCGGATATGGAGTTACAAACCACGGATCATAAAGGTCGAAGGCCGGAGACTATGAAGGATAAGTCATGTATCCAGTACAGAACATGTATTTATACGAACCGTTCCGCTAATAGCCGATGCTTGACATGCCATCATATACTGGTTCAACATCAGCAACGACCGGACAGTGAATATACCACAAAGACCCACCGTCATCCACCAAACCCTCCGTTTAGAGTCTGCATACTGTTCTTCCTCTACCGCTTCATGTAGTGCCATACTCATAGCCAGTGCAAGCGCCTGGTTAGCCCGTTGAAGCATGTCATCAATGTTTCCCCGCTGTGCGTACTCATAAATACTAAGCATTGACAATGTAACAACGCCTTCCAGGGGCACTTCCAGTTTTGGATGAAACGGTACTCGTTCAAAGGCTTTGATGGTGTCAGCTAAACCAGTCTGGGAATCTTGGCTCATACTGAGCAGCTCGTAGTCTCTTTCAATGACACCAAGAGCCGTTTGAGCAAAGCAATGCGCATATTCCCGTCGTCTCTTCAAGCACACTGTCGTCCTAGGTTTTCTTTCGTTTGGATGGGGTATCAGAGACAGTATAGCTGAGATAGCCAGGCTCAGGGGGCTCGTCGGTTCAAAAGTTGGAGGGCCCCTAGCTAATGGACGGCTCGACACCGGCTGATGCTCAGATGGGGGCAAGATGGGGAAATAAGGATGAATAAAAACGTAATAAGCGTCAAGTCTAATTCTGTCAACACGACACTTAATGACAGCTCTTCACCCAAGCTTACATATCCTCATTACTGCCGTAGAGTCGTACGGGATTGGATACGGATTTAGAATTAGGGTCGGGGTTGATTTCGTCTACATTTGAGCCAAAGATAGAGTCAAAGATAGAGTCGATTTCCGCAAAGGGCATTTCCACGCTGCGCAGCCCTGCCCCTGGGCCGCACAAGCCTCCCAGTTGGTGGACCCATTCTACATAAAACTCATTAGATACTTGAGTCTTATCAATACCATCTAAAGAACAGGTCAAGAACGACTTACCATCTCCTGAGGTTGGCGACATCCCCGTGTTTCTGGACGTCTTTGGTAGGCGGTGATTTCCCAACGCCACAACAGATGTTATTGTATCGCAACGAACGGTGCTACCTTTATGCTTCCTACTAGAACAATAACGTGGACCTCCTCGTCGGCTGGGCACATAAGAGCAAGATTTTCCTTTTGCCATGCAGTTGGAGCAAAATGTCTGGCCATCACAACGTATGCGCAACGCACGACTGCCACAGGACGAGAACTCATTCAGTCAGTCATCCACTTCATATATGCCAGGAACCGCACCAAGAAAGACAGGCTAGTTTGACAGGAGGACGGCTGGATTTCTGGCAAATAGAACGTGTATTTTTGAGATCGGCGGTCATATCTCAAATCCCGGTCAATAACGAGCAAAGTTAAAAAAGGAAAAGATCATACTCCGTACTCCGTCCTGCAGAAATGGAGGGGTTTGCGTATGGCATGGTTAGGTTTTGTATCGGCCGATGAGAAAAAAAAATCCAAATCCCGAATAGCGTAAGCGAATCCCGACTTGATGTCAATCAACCATACAATCAAGTGGTCCATATGGTGGAGCTTTGATGGAATGAGTCTTGGCAACGGGTATGGCTTGGATGATCCGGCATCAGCCGAGAGCGAGAAGAATGAGGGATTGGATCTTGCAGATCGGGAGATAACTTTTTCCCTTTTTCAAGGTGGAGTCACCTGCTTGTTTGGTGTTTGCTTCTTTTGTTGTGTGGCTTGTTCGGGATTTTGCTTTATTTTTCCCCTTGCTGTATTTAAAGTTTGGGGTTTTCAAGGCTATGACAGGTTATTAATACTTCTACGCCTTGGACAGACACGGGAACTAACAAACAGAAAACAAGGATTTTGCCATTTCTTGCTGACATGACGCCTTTTAGTTACACTGGATCTCGCACTGATGCCCTTTCGGTGAGATTAAGAAGTAATTCACTGGCCGCATGTTCTCCCATGTCGCACTTGGCGCCAATCTGACCCCTCCACACTCTCGGAAGAATTGAGCCGTCGCCAGTCGAAGTTCCATCCAAGCCAGATGAATCCCAAGACAGATTCTACCCCCAGCACCAAACGGTGAGAATGCCTTCTTGGCAGGCTCCGAAACGCTCGTGTCCGTCGTGAGCCAGCGGCTGACATCAAACCTCTCGGGATCTGCATAAATATCCCCGTCCCTGTGGATTGAATAGGCCTGGGTGCTCACGGTCATTCCTTGAGGAATGAAGTAGCCACAGAACTTCGCTCCACCTTCAGGTGTCTCTCGAGGCAACGCCCCTGGTGCTGCTCCATAAAGCCTCAACGCTTCCATAATGACTGCGTTAAGCAGCGGTAACTCCTCCAATGCAGCGTCATTGAAATCGGCGCTGAGGCTGTTGACTTCTTCTTCTAGTTCGCGTTGCAGCTTCGGCTGTGAGAGGACTGCCCATACAAGGTACGTAAGAGTGATTGCGGTTGTATCTGAGCCGGCCACGATAAGATTCCCGGCCTCCAACACCACCTCTTCGTCGGTAATAATACCGTCGCCCTTCTCCGACTCATACACCATACCTGCAAAGATGTTACGACTAGCATTACTGGTCGTCCGGCTATTTGTTATCGCCCGCTGCCCATATTGGAAAAGGTAGTCGGTCGCACGGAACATGTTCCGGAAGGATGAAAGAGGAATGTGACGACCGAGCCATGCCACCAACGGAAGCTCTGCTCCGATTCCAGAGCCCATCATGGTGGATTCCAGCACATGTATGTATTGGTTTTTCTAAAAGATTAGTCACAGGCCGATGCACCACGCGTTTGTGTATGCGACTTACTTTCCCAACACGAAGCATGTCAAACGACTCTCCGAACATCAAATGCCCGCTCACATCTGTCGCAAGGAACGTCCACCATTTGAGCAAGTCAGACTTCCCGTCTGCCTTTAACTCCCGCCGGATCTGAGAGACTGCCAATTGTACCTTCTCCCTGACAGCTGGCTCCCAGGTTCGGCGCAGTTCTGATTTCGAAAATGGTCGTGCAAACAGCTTCCTCCTTGTAGCATGCTCTCTAGGGTCTCTCATTGTAAAGACTCCAGATCTTTTGGAGGGAACGAACTTTTCGTACCATTTTGACTTCAAAAATGGAGATCCGGCACGATGAATTTCCCTGAATTCCGCAAGTGAAGATATGTCAACCTCGTCCGGGGCAACACGGACAATTGGACCATATTTCCGGTGCAGCTCGTGGACGAAATAAATGCGATTTCCAGTGAGACTTGCGAACTTCAGAGGTAACCTAGTCAGGACCGTATATAATGGGCCTGGGATGCGCCGAAGAGGGGATGTGAAAGCTTTATAGAGGACCTAGTATGGTGAGTCACCGAATTATTGAATGAGCGCCCATCAGTAAGCGCACACGAAATATGTATTACCTGAACGATCCACAGCGTAAACGCAATGCCCAAATATATCTGCCACTCCATATTGTTAAAACAAGGGATTGGTAATGTACCACGCAATTTGTTGTTCTCAGTCGACCGGCACGTATCACGGTGTTTGGCTTTCAGACAGTAGCACAAATGACAACACTCGTGGTAATTCTATATGCTTACCGTCCGCCTTCCAGAGAGAAGCAATTTACCCCGCCTTTGTCAATTAGATTTACACCTATCATCTAGCTCCGGTGTTGATGTCTGGATACTAAGCCCGTACGCCTTTTATTCGGTGTACCCCTCAGCGCGCTAGTTAGTTATGCTATGCTAGGTTGACTAAGCCGATCTCGCATCGTCGCAAGCCCGTCAACGGAAGATGTCGAGATACTTTAGTCACAGCCGACCACCGACTCGCTAAGCGAACGGCAATTGTTTCGGGTGTATAAGAGCAAGCAGAGCCCGGCAAGACGCAGCATGTTGTCTTGAGTCAATAACATGGTTTATTGGGCGGGTCGGGATCTGTTCTCTAACGTCAGTGCTCGGTAATTGAATGGAAGCGAGTCGATCGAATTATCGGGATCTGGAAAGATTGTGGGGTATCGGTATCAGCTGATACATCCCTAGAGTCAACACGTGTTCTGGATTACTCAAAGTACGGAGTATTACTAATTAATATGTACTGCGTACATGTCCGAATCAGGGCCAGCATACTTCAATTGCAAGTCTCCCTATATTTTATTTCCTGTTATCGTTCTTGTAATCGCATCATGGCCTCCAGAGCTTCCAAGGATAGGGATTACTGCAGCAGCTTGAAGCCTCTTCAGAATTGGACCCTGTCCACTGCACCTAGCTTCCCTCACTTGCCTCAAGGAGTCTAGAACCCCTGTTGTATGTTTGTCTACTGCAGGAGTATCCCAACTCCATGATCTAGTTTTGAGAAATCGCGAGCTAGCTTCTTTGCCAATCTTTTGGGGCAGTGATGGGTGCAAATTGCAGCAGATGTACATAATCACCTTGTTATCTTTGATCTTTTATCCTCCAGACAGCTGCTATTGATCTCTCAGAACAGATTACCATGAATGAAAAATATCTAGGGCACTTATACTGGAGTACCAAGAGAGTCTTCAATTTCTACTTCTTATAATATAGTGAGAAACGAAAGATCATTCCATTCGACCACCTAAAAATGTCCCGACGCCATAGGTGTCTCTCTATAGGGTAATTTATAAGGTAATCTCAGGTTGACATATAGTTTGTAGCGAGCCAGGGGTCTCTGCTACTCTTAAGGGTAGTAGAGTAGTAGCTGGGATAAGATTGCTAAGCTTAACATTAGAGTTGTATATAAGCTTATATCGCCTGCAGTGCCTTTGTACCTGCAGGGATGGCAGCTTCTAAGGTAGTAGTCGGTAGTACATATATTGGGCGAACCGTTGGCAAGAATTGACTAAGAATGATACCAATTTGAATATAAGAGTCAAGCTTCTATTTAGAAATAGCTTGACAACGAGAAATTTGAGCAATTACCGTTCCAGAGTCTTGGTAGGATATATTCCTTTATAGATTAGCGGATTGAGTTTCGCCTCGATCCCGAGACGGAGGTATACTAGAGAATAAACTTTCCCTTTCCTTCCTTTTCACACTCTTTGTTTCAATTTCTATTAATTCTAGTGATAATTAGCAGGGAAATAATTTTGCCGAGACTGAAAACCTTCCTCTTGGTACGAATGTACTATACTGCCTAAGCAGTTATATATTTTGGCACCAATAACAAGGGATGACCGATGTATCTTATCATATACCCTCAGCAACTACCGTAGTATACAATATTAGACTATTTCTTAGCAAAAAGATATTTACTTATTTTATAGGTACTAAACGTGGGACATAGCATGGTGCGAAAAGCCATATACACTGCTCTCCCCATCCACGAACCCATACAAAACTCGAGTTAAAACCTCCAGAAACCCATCAATCTAAAATAAATTTCACATAAACCTACATTTATATTTAATCATTTCAGTAGTACACTGATGATAACAACCCTCAACTAGCGAAAGAAAAAGCCCTGACAAAAGTACCAAAATGCAGAACATAAACACACCACCAACAAGCACAAATCCTGGACCTCATTTCGCCACAGACAAACCAAGCACTACGAAGGTCGGACTTCGCAACCCCTTCCGAAGACAGCCGATAACGTAGCCGGTCTTCTTGCCTCGTCATGACGATCACGAAGATCCCTCCACCGCATTGACACCGCGCGGAACGCCCGTCTTCTCATTTGCTCGGCTCGAGATTTTAAATTAATCCGTTTGGTGAGCCATGCTAAGGCAAACAGGGGCTCCGTGCTCAGGCTCGTTGCTGATCCGGTTTGAGAGCACTTGCATTGTGAGTTAGCGTGTGTAATAGTTTCAGCTTATATAGGCTTGGTTGTGTGGTGAGCTGAATGATCTCTTCTGAGGAATTGTTGTCAGTATATATGCATGTCCGGATCAATACAATTGGATTATGCAGTGGCGTTGTGTGATTTGGGATTATATGTAATTTTCGTATCTTGTTTGATTGTAGATATCTATGCTATTCGAGGGTCTTGATCACAGGCGTTCACGACTTTGTTTCTTCCATGAGAAGGCTCGTCACGGCCCAAAAAGTCATTGGTTGCAAATCTTCATATCTCCTCCCAATATAAGACATGTGTGAAAGGTAGAAGGAAATGGTATATATGTACAGGAAAAATTGTAATGAAAGGCAGGGATAGACCAATCACCCTGGAACTAAAATAAAAATGGCCGAGGGTCTAGGATATCAATAGAAGCGTCATGAATAATAGAAAAGTGAAGAGAGCCCCAGAAAAAAGAAGGGCTGGGCGTCACTAATAAGCGTATTATGTCAAGAAAGTATATGAATGGCGGAGAAGGGAACGTAAGAAAGTGAGAAATAAGGAATAAAGGAAAGGGCATTCGACATTAATGCGATGACGTTAGAAGTTGGCGTTCGTCCGTAAGAGTAATGGCTGCAAGCCAGTTGACTGTCGGCTATCTCCCCCACATCCTGGCGCTCTGCTCGGGACCTCTGCCATTCCCGAAGGAACCTTTGCTTGACCGGTCACTGCTTTCAGCCTCCGGGTACGCAGGCTCGTGGGTGATTTCAATTGTGGTATGTTGATACACCTTTCCTAGAGGTGCCAGTTCCATACCCGAAGACTGTACAATGTTGTCAGTAGATCCCTCACGCACGGTATGGCCGAATTCGTCGTCGTCATCACGGTGTCGATGGGTGCGCAGAACGCTGATATCGGTCCGGGTGTGTTTGCCTTCTGCGGCTGTAATGGTTGTAAGATGGTCAGTCTTCCGGTTTTTGCTGCTTGCAAAGCGGTTGTAGCTGCGATCGCGACTCGGCTCGGATTCCAGAATCAGGTTTCGGCGGGTGAGCGTGTAGAGAAGGACATCAACTAAACCTGAACTGGTGATCACAGCACCAGCGACACAGAAGAAGGCAATGCTTGGAGTTTGACCTTGGGCTGTGGCCATTCGTCCTGCAGCAAGAGGCAATGACAGCACAATGTACGCAACCGGATAGATAATCATGTATCCGATGACACGTCGCAGGCGCTTGAGACTTTCCGTTTGACTGTTTCCAAGAATCGCAGATTGCTTGATCCGACGTCGTAGCTGGAACCACATGATGGCGTAAAGGCAGACCGTTCCGAATTCAGCCAGGAAAATCCAGATATAATGAGTCCACAAACGGATTGGCTCGTACTCTTCGCTGATCCAGCACTGGGGGTTACATTCAGCAATTGATTTCCATATTGGGGAAACGTAGGACCCTTACCCATGCGCCTGAGGGAATGAAGACAAATCGCCCATGAGCTGCAAGCGGAATAATAACCAAGATAGCCACAAAGAGCCATACACCAACCACACCACAAACGAAGACCCGATGGCTGAGCTTGTGACCCAGTGCTACCAGAAGGAATGTATGAACAGCAATTGCCAGCACGAACAAACCACTGCCGGGGTCCCCAATCTGCAGCCAAAATCCTTGAAGAAAGCAGGCCGCCGAAGACGCTTCTATTTTATTCTCCGTAATCCATTTAAGGCAGATCAAAAATGCAAGTGATTGTTGCAGATCGGCCAACACTAGGTTATAAATAAGAACGATGTACTGATTGTAACCGATATATCGTGAGTAGTTGGAGCGCCAGAAAACCAGCCGATAAGTGATGAATAACAGTAACAACAAAGTCGCGATGAAAGATAGGAAGGCCATCACCGTGACCGCAATTAGACCTTTGCGTTGGGCTGAAGGTAGAGGATCGATATCCATTGTAGGGCCTAGATCCGTATAAGCCAGACGCCGTGCAAGGGAATTCCCCTCGTCGTCACGACTGGCCAGCACACTCAACACCTGAGCCAGACTCATTGTCGTTTAACTTCTCGTAGTAATCCTTTCGATCTTGCTGTTATCATTCTTTGTGCGACACGTGAGGAGGCCGTGCCCCAGGGTAGAGCGAAATTGTTGAAACGATATTGATAATAGGAAGATGAATAGCCACCCTGGGGAGACACTGGTGTCTGCGGCAGATCTAATAGGCAAGTCGTCGGGCTGGCACCCTATGGAGATTTAGTCCAAAGCGGAGAAATATCTGTTATATCCGCTTTCTTCAGGGGCTGTCCATGCCCTTATTCCATGATGGACCAACTATCAGCATGAAAGAAAAGAGGGAGGGGGGGAGGGGGGATGAGAAGGTTAAGGGCCACCACGAAAGTAGTGCAATATTAAAACTATTATTTTTTTTTTAATATTTTCTAAATTTCTAAAATGGGGATTGAAACTAAACTACCGACAATGGGCGAGTGGACTGTGTGGTGTGGAGTAGCACCTCTCGCATCCGTAGGCCGCGCAAAGCTTTTATTAAACTCTGATGGGTTTAGTTATCTCCGCCTCGACCAACAATTCCTTTATGAAAGGGACTGTCCCCACAGGACTGAGCGGACTAAGGAGCAGTAAGTTTACTGACTGAACTTGGAACGCCAGTACAGGGGCAACCTTCTGGACGATCAAAGATGAAGTAAAAAAAAAAACCCAATGGACTGCTGGGCCCTGGAGGTGGTGGTTCCTAAAAACTCTAGACACGAGAGGTTCCATGCCAAGAGAAGTAAGGCCACGAATGTGATTCCGGGTTGCGGGGGAAGGCTCAAGGATATACGTAGTAAAATTCCTTGGCTCTCGTAATTCCACGTTAGATAACCTTCCCACGAGCTTACCGGGGTTAGGTTACCCATTGAGAATAAGAGCAAAAATGGCAACCGTTGACCCAGATGGGTTCCAAACAGCCGTCGTCTGCAATTCGCCGCAGCTGCAGGGGCTGACTTGGGCCCATTGTGACATAAGTGGACTTCTACCGAGTACCGACCACAGGCAGAAGCATAGTATTGCACGGAAAATCTCAAACAGGAGTAGTTCAACTTTTGCCACTGGTCCTCCGTGGCAGACACACAGACACCGGATTGGACATTAGGCGCATACCTAGTGCGTTAAAGCTGGAAATTAGCAAGCATAGGAATCAACCGCCGCAGGAACCCCGCAAAGTTTCCCAGGTCAAGCATAATGAACGTCTCGCTCCTTTAGTGACAGGGAGATAAGACTTCTCCGTGGAACGAAAGAGGAGAACCCCTAAACAAAATTGCATTAGTGTTGCCGAGACTGAAGGGAGAGAGACAATTCCAGAAATCCAACCGTCTCGAAACTCTCAAGACCCGCTACGTCGATCGTTGTGGGTAATAAATACCGGAGATCCACAGAGAAATGGAGCATTGCTCTGTAATCAGGTATCATTCATTCCGTGTGCTTGTGTAATAAAAACCTGAGAAGGGAGAAAGAGAAGAGAAGACCTCCGGAGTTGACTTTTTCGTCTGTGGTTTTCTTCTTGTCTTTGTCCACTCGCCCTCCCAACTATAAGCCTGTTTCGCTTCAATAGGCAATCAGTGAGAACTATTGGATATTACGTCTAGGTGCGGCTCGGTGTTGTCGGAGCGGGCGCACACCGACTAAATTTCTGGGCAGATCTTATCGACAGTCAACAGCTTGCGGGCAATATCCGGACGCGAGAACCAATGTTGCGCACTGCGATGCAACTTCAACGGTACTAATGTGTGATTGACCTGGGAGCAGTGGTTGTCCATGGCAAGGAACCCCAGAATTGCCGGGTGATTGATTGGTGTACCTAGCCCACTTCCCGCTACAGACTCTCCTCCGGTATGAACTAGCCACGCTCTAGACACGGTCCGTACTAGTATACTGTAGTGCATACAATAGTAACAATCCATCCCTGCAGCAGATGATCGCCTGTTGATATCTGTTGGTTCAAGAGGACATGGTATAATCTTAAAATGCAACAATATCCTACGGAAGGACGATAGCGTGGGACAAAGAAACCCCAATAATGAGGCTGCATGTGATGGCTCATAGTTTGAAAACCATCTGGACAGCACTCTGTACCATATGAACTCAACAATCAGACGAATTAGGCCTTCATATTGTAAAATGTAATGAGGATGAATGAGCATGTGAATGGTATAGGGATGACAATGGGAAGTAAAGGCCTATCCCCTCCATTAGCCACGGATTGACACCGGTCGAAGTTGAATTCCAAATTGCTTGTTGATGCTTAGTTCTGCTTGTTAACCATTAACATGATCGGGAACGTGACCCATCCAATTGCCGCATGACATGAGGCTACTCTCAAATAGGCCTAATGTGTTTCTACGCTTTTCGGTTCCATTTCCGGATTGGGCACGGAAGCACCAGAACTGGCTTCTGGTCTTATTTGATCCTTTTCGATCGTAACTTTCCCTTCTGGGTTTAGTTCCCTGTGACTCTCCTTTTCGCCTTCCTCATCATTTCCCATAGCCTAATGCATATGCAAACTCCATGTGGGTTCAATTTGCCATATAAACTTTTTACCAAATGATCATCACAGGCATACTTAAAACTCCAGGGCAGTAGAATCTGGATGACATTGATTTTCAACACCCTCCCATCAGTACCTTCCGGTACAGCCTCACTGTCGTTCCTGCGGATACTTCACTCTCGGTGATAGGTGGTACGGAGTAAGGTATGGGGCACCTACCGTACTCCGTAGTCGTCATTTAATCATTACTAATTCTCCATGACATTCATTTGACTTTGGCTAATGTATTTACTACTGCGGATAAGTGCTATTTCAAAACCTAAACCGTCTCCCACCGGGCCGGGTGTCACTTTAGAGTATTGTCTCCATGAACCGCAACCCTCAACTTGGAAGCCATGGCTGCCACATGGCCGCATGCAGCTCATCATTGTTACCAGAAAGGAGAGCAACTCCTTGCAGGTACGAGCCAGCCAATAGCGCATTGACCCTGCGTGTTTACGGATGACTGTCCTGAGCCTCGGTACTTTGTCATTTTTTCGCCGAGATACCGTGTCACGCAGGGTTTGCATTATCATGCTTTGAGTATTGATTGGAAATTCTCATCAAAGATCACCAACAATGGTTGCCTGCTGTCCACCGCCGCGGTCCCGCGAGTTGAGAGTAGGGTTGATCTTTCCCCGAGTGAAATCTTATAGCTCCCTGAAACGAACCTAAATTCTTGCTTCTGGAACTTCAATTCTACAGCCACAGACGCCATCGATCAGCCATCTTTTGAGAGAATTCTTGAGCTTTGAAAGTAGCTTATACCGACCATGGGCAGCTTTTCCTTTTTCAGTTCACTCGCCGCCGATCTCATTTAATCGACCGCACAATAATGGCCAAACACATTCAGGGTATGCTTCACATGAAACCACGAGGAAAAAGACTTTATTTTCTACGTACTTTATTTCCCCACAGCTGAACATCATGGCTCTATGGAGACAGTTCTATGGATGAGTAGACCGAGACTTACACTATGACGGGACTAGAGCTCTGGGCAAACCTTGCCCTCCGAAATAAGCATTCTATCATTGCTAAATGCAAGGGATGTGCATGCCAATGTGCCTATTCGCATACTATATGTGAAGGATGCGGTTATCTTTGCGATGTTGTCATAATCTTACACTAAACTTTGTTCCACGTGAGGGGGTGGGACGTCAAAAAGAAAGCCCAGTTCACAAGCTTATTGAGTTAGCGGTAGGTACACCTTCTCTTGGCTGAAATTGCGGCTGTAGCAAGCAAATGGGACTACTGGAGCTGCTTTGGAACGCTAGATCTTCTTCAAATAAAATTCAAGCATCTCCTACTCATGCTATCGGTCCAGCGAGCCCGTGCGATAATGATTCAGCGGCCTGTCAGCGCACCGGCGTCCAGTTCAAATGCAGACCAAATACATATTTTCAAGTACATGACGATTTTCGTCAGGGACCACACCGAGTCGGTGTGGTCAAGGGTTTTCACTCATTCGTTCTGATATCTTGTCGATCCGGCAATTCGGCAGCTTCGCGCATTGGAACCAAGGTGGGCTATCCTCATGCTGGCTGGTATTGGTCGGAGTCAACCGGAAAGAATCCGGTAGTCCCAGACTAGCTGAAGACTCTAACAGCCAAAGCCCCTGCCGATACGCAGCGTTACGGAGTACCGTCGCAGCAACCGCGGTTCTTTATATCAACGGGCAAAACTCACGCATTCACCAATACGGCTGTACGCAAGAAAACAACAACTTTCTACTATGCCAAGTTTTGATGTAGTATCCTCGGGCGTGACCCGACATCCGTACCCTGGCTTTGAGGGAATTATTGCGCTTCTCGTAAGCTTTAGTGTCGTGTTTAAGGCCAGCCCCTGAGTATCTGCCCATGGATCCATCCAGTCTTGGCGTACCTCAATTTCACCCCCTCGATCTCTCCCGGTCCCAAACTTCCGGCCTCCGTTCCATGGACTTCCACGGTTCCACCGGGAAGAGGTTTCAAATGATTGGTACAAAGTATATAAGTCTATATGTGTCATGTCCTCTCCTCCACCCTATAGCCATGGGAAGAAGAAAGTTCTTCTGTCGATACCCACTCACGACCTGCCGTCTGCATTAGCATTGCGCATGCTTGTTCCCATGGGTGCAACGCTTTTTGACCCGCGCTGAACAAGGTCTGTAGCCGTCCGTTGGCTTTTTTCTCGACGGGTCAGATGAATTTCATGGAAGTGTCCACTGAAACGCACCATGCAGCGACTGATCTGCGCAGGGATCGTTCCCTGATGATTGATCACATTCCTTTGATATTATGAACAAATTCATTGGACATCCCTCTCATCCTTCCGAGATCCTCCTCGATGCATTGCACGTGCACCTCCATATCCACTACTGCATCTGGGGGATAGACTCTATTGGCTTTCAATGATTTTCATTGGGTTGGCAAAATTCTGGTTCAGATCTCCACAGTGGGAAATTTTCCCTACTTTGTGGTTTAATGGTTCGCACTCAACAGCTCACTCCAACGAGGAGATAAACTTCCAGATCTCGCACCCCCTATCTCACCATCTCAAGTTCTCGGAATCTTCTCTACCGAGATTTTACCAGATCCGAACCCAAGATTGCGCCCAACGACCAGAAGTTGTGAAGCTCCTCATATTGAGTCCGATACTATAATGAAAGACAGGCTCACCGATATCCAGTATAAGAGTAGAACGACGGGAACGGGTGGAAACCCGGTTATAGCGCGCGGCACTTGCAAAAATTTTCAGCTGCCCTGCCGTAGATACCTTCATGCTTTGTTGCAGTTCGCCCACGAACCATGGTTTCAGACGGCACATACCGCATCGGAATGAACAATATCAAGGTAACGAAGGGGAGACCCAAACAAAAAAGAAAAAGGAAAAGGCCAAGAGCTCTGACATGCCAAAGCAAGGTATCAAGACGTTCAACAAACCACACCTCACATATCAACCACCTAAACTGCATAGAACGCATAAAGATTACTAACAAAAACAAGAAGCATCCACAAATTATTTAAACCCTTGTGCAAAATGCAACCCCGGAAATAACTCCAATAGTCCAAAACTAAGTATCTTATTCTCCAGAAGAGCCTCGAACACGTATTTCCTAATTTAGACAATAAATAATTTAGCCTTACGCCATGGATCTGCTAGGCAGTATCTCCCAAGAAACTATTTTCCTCCTGCGTTCAGAATACTACCTTAAGCACAACCAGCTTACCAATCACAACACCTACTCACCCAACAACGATAAACTTGGGGAGAAAAGGACTCACCCCGTCTTGGCAATATCCACCCAAGCTCAATATCAAACACACATCTCAGAGAGAGAGTAAAAAAAAAAAAAAAGAAAAAGACTCATCCCCTCTTCGCCCCATCCACCAAGCACCCACTCTGAATGCACTCAATTCCCATGATTAACACATAACCAACCCAGCGAAAACCAGACCCCAGCACCGTCGATCCAAATTTCCTCGTCTTGTGGAACTCATTTTGGAGTCATGGAAAATCCTGATAGACAATCTAATCGACGGATCGTCGACTTCTCCAACTCTGCAGAACAAAAACAATGGGTTGCCTTACTCTTTCAGTCTAGCGTGCAGCCCATGTGTTGTGGGTGGGGACATGGGATACGATGATTGGGGATTTGGAATTGGACCATAGGGGCCACCTTCGGGAACGTGCTTTGTTTCTGTGTTTCTGGTCTTTTTTTTCCCGTTGCTTCTGTTGCTTGAGGTAGGTTGCAATGTAGACTATGTAGATTGACCTGCATGTATTGGAATATGGGGTCTTTCCGTTTCGTCATACTTGGGGCGAAGGTGAAAAAAGGTAGGTTTTCTTGTGGGAACTAGGGATGACTGGGATTTGGGATCGAGTGGATAAGTTGTGGTTTACTATCGTGTGCTAAAGGAGATGTCTCGGGGGAATGTCTTGATTCCCTGGTGTTTAATTGTGATGTGCGATGTGTATCTCAAGTTTTGGGATTTTGTTGTGTTGGTTTGGTCTATTGATTGCTGTTCTCCTGAAGGTATTCTATCTTTGCTAGGTGCTATCTCGTACTAATATGCGGTGCTGGTGATGGAAGGGGTAAAGTAGAATACAGTAGCATTAAGAATCATGTCAATCTGTACCAATGTACATACAAACAACGAATGAATCTGTACTGCGACTTACACACGTAGTAATTCAGTAGTATCAGGAAAATTCTCATGAGCTGGGTTTCAATTCATTTCATCACGTTTCGTGGATTCGTGGCTCAACTATTGCTCATCAAGGTCGTAACGCTGGAAGTATTTAATGAAGACTGAAAAGAAATATCATGCAATGGGTTGTAACAAGATTACTGGTGAGCTCCAAAATAGGAAATGGGGTAGGTCTTGGTTTTTCCTGGTTCAAGGTCATCTCCGTTTGGAGCCTCGATCTCGTCGGCTGTCGTATGTGTCTTGTTCTTCGTCTTCCTCTTCGACTGGTGCTGGGGTCCGTCGTTCGTTGCGGCGCTTGGGTCGCCTTCTGCGGTTGGAGCTGATGTTGCTGGCCGAGTCATCGGGGGCCAGGGACCGGTCATCATCCAAACCGTCGTCTTCGGTGCTGTCTTCCCATGTGCCGAGTCCGGATGCTGGAGTGCCCAAGCGAGCCTCGACATATGACCCGCGGCGTTGCTGGTTGGCTACAGACAAACCGGCACCACGTTCTCGAAGTGCTCGACGGACGACCTCGGCTTTGCAATGGAGTGCCTCGAAGGCGTCCTCTAGAGCTTCCATCCCGAGATAGATGTCACGCTCGATCTCGGCTAACGCTGCAATTTCCATCTCCTCATCCAAGGCGATGGGGCCTCCAAAGTTTGCTGGCGATGAAACCCTACCGTGTGGCTGGCTGGCTGGTCGGGAATTGGGATCCATCTGGCTGGGCGTCGGCCCTCGAGAAATGCCACCAGGGGTGAAAGGAGTATTTGATCGGCTGCTGCTCCATCGTTGCGGCGTGGACCCTGTAAAGGAATCCTCTGCACCACTGCGGAGGAATCCATCAAATCTGCCTGAGATCAGAATATCCCATTCGTCATCACTGATAGCTGCAAGTGTCGCGAGTACATGGTGAAGTTCTGGATGGTTCAACATGTATATGGCAGCCTCCGGGTCCCGGGGCGGGGATGGCAGTCGATAGAGACGTTGTATAGCCAGAGATGACGAAATTAATGCCGGAGGCCGTGGCGGACGCTTTCCGTCTGGTTGAGGCGTAGGAGAGCCAGCCGGAATGCCCAGTAGCGCCCGGAATAGAGGACGTTGTTCAGGCCCAAGGTGTGTCAGGATAGCGAAGGTGAGGGTTTCATCATCTACCTCATCCGGTGCATTGGTGGCCTGGCTTACTTGCTCACTAAGCCATTTGTCGACGGTCACTTTCGTCTTGCGCGACTGTCGCATGAAATGTTCTCGGTATTCCTCTGGAATGTCGATGTCCATCTTCTGCATGGGAATGTGTTCATCACCCGACATGTCCGCATCGTTGACTGACAGTGATAGCATGAAGGGTGGCCAATTGGGTAGCTCTTGGCGGCCGGACACCAACTCCAGCACCTCACCCCAGCTGACCCCTGACGGATGCTCTTCAGGCTCGAGCTCCTCATGAACACACATTAAGCAATTACATGATTCTGACGAGATGTCACGGGCAAAGACAGCTTCAAGTCGGTCAAGCAGGCGACGTGCGACCGATCGGTATCCGGTCGCAACTGCCAGCGAACCATTCTTAGCCATCACTTTGTGATAATCCTCGAGTATACGGCTGAATGGGTCAAAGATCTTGGACGCTGCAAGCTGAGGCTGGAACGGTTGGTAAGATGGTTGCTCCGGTGTACCGGCAGCGAGCAGGAGGGCCTTTGGTACTCGATGGTCAAGACCACCGTTCTGCAGCAGGTAGTCAACTCGAGGGATGGTAACTGGCATCTCTGGCGGGGGAGGCGGCGGGGGAGGGGTGCCATAGCCCGAGTTCGACGTGGGAGGGCGACCATACTCAAACGCGAAGTCCGCAGAAGTGCGACTACTGGGCCGGTGGGACATAGACGACCGTGTCTGGTTCCGAGAAGGCGGTTTCTCTGGACTCTTCGGCTTGCGAGAAGACGACTGCTGTTGTGCAGCAATAGTCGCATCGGACCCATTTGCCGATTCGGAGCCAACGTCGCGAACGGTCGCGGGGGATCGAGGGGGAGACACTACCGGAGCAGCACGACTAGAGGAGGATCGTTTGGGTAGTGCGGCTTCTTCCACAACTCTTGATTTTGTAGAGTTGCGACTCGCTGTCCGGGCGGGAATGTCCTTATCATGACTAGACCTTTTCGTTTTGGAGGATGGAGTGTCTGCACGCATTGTCTTATTTGTCCTAGACTCATCATCCCTTTTCGACCGCAGACTTGACGACGACCTGGTCGATTCGGCTCGGATCCGAATCTTGGCCTTCCCATCTTTCGGTTTCTCTTTATCTTCTTTGTCTCCGACCGTGCTTCCTTTGCGTGAGTTCTGATCGACACTGGTCAGCGGTGGGCTAGGCGGTGCATGATGATTATCGGTGCGGTGTTGACTATGTCGCTTCCCCCCGTCTTTATTTTCTTCGGTTAGATCGGTCGGGTCTGGGGTAGGAAGGTCCGGTTGGGCCACAGATTCTCGACTATGGGCTTTGGAGAAAGTAGGATACGGCAAGCTGGTCCTCGACTCGAGGAAGGAAGCCGTGACAGGACGGCTGGCACTGTCAACACCCGGCATGGAGGACCGACGTTGTTGGCGGGAGCTGGTGGTCGTAGGGGTCGAGGAGCGGCCCGTCGGGGCGTCTCGATCGTGTTCCTTGGTTGAAGAGCGGTTGGACCGACCGTGGGACGAGCGAGGTTTGGATTTTGTTTTGGAAGAAACGGTGGAGGACGACGACACTTTGCGCTCTCGGTCCCTGTCGCGATCTCGGTCATTTAGTCTGATGGGTAGAAACATGACGTGGGATAAATGGGTTCGAGTGAGGTGGAGGGGGAGAAGGGAATTGGTGGAAAGCCACAAGTAGTGTCGTTGTGATATTCTTTTTTTTTAAAAAAAAATCGAACCACTTTTCTCCCCCTGCAGTCTTTCTTCCCCACTAATCGTCTAGTTACCTCGTAGATTAAATCAAGATAGAAGGAATAAGAGGCTGAGAAGTTAACTCTCTGAAGGCCTCTCGGAAGTGTGTCACAAGCGGAAGGTTGGCGATCGCTCAGGTGATTGATCGATCCAGGGCCGATCAATGGGCTGTGTTATGTAGGCAGTAACACTCAAGTTGTAGGTAGTCTCGTCTGGCGCTTAAGAGTGCGTCCAGGAATGCGCGTCTCACTGGTCGAATGCCAATCACACGGCGTTTGAGTCACTCCAGGAAAAAACCGGTTGAGGGGCATGCGACATCCCGTCGCAAGGACGATCTAAAAAAAGAAATAAGAATCGAGCAAGGGAATGGATAAATGATTGATAAATAAGGCTAGGTCGCACAAAAGGATCGAGAAAGATCGAGAAGACAATCAGGAACGGTGCATAAAGAGAGAGAACTGGAAAAAACACCGGCCTTACTTTTGCGGTGAAGAGTAAGAGGTTGGACTTCCCCGCAGGGCTGGTCGTCTTTAGAGAGTCTGACGTGGTGGGCCTGCTGCATGGAAGCCCAAAGATGAGTCGATCATTTGACGGGAACTAGTGAGTGGAAGAGGGCAATTGATCTTAGTCCAATGAGGACATCAAGCTTAGGCTTAGAAGAACAGTTGCGAAGGGGAAAAGGGAGTACCCAGTCTCATATCGAGAAAGTTATCCTTTGTCGATGTGTCTGGAGATGTCATCCTCTTTAGTGCCTAAGGCAGATGCTGGCTTGCCTTAGGCTGCAACGAGACAACAATGGTACTGTGTAGCTACACTTCTTGGACAATCTATCCACATAGACGACTAAGGGTACCATAGTAGGAATATTTCAAATCCGAATAAGGTCTTTTCGGAAACAATGATCACAATAATGTCCATCGACTTGTCGACAAACTAACTCCATATCCATGCGATCCGCCAATGTCTAATCCCACGTAGTCAGACCATTCGCAGCTTTATTTACTGGTGACATTTCCAGTATCAGATTCCCATTCTTTTCAACGGCCACTCCGCTGCAGCGTGCAGTTCGCATCATCTTCTCACTAGCTCGAGCTCTATGTCCTGTCTGACGATCCCATACCCAACCTTCCTTAAGCCACATCCACGTCAAATATGCTCGCAGTTCCTTGCCATATGGCAGAACTGATTTCGACTCCGTAACTAATTCGGACATGCTTTTGCATGAAGGAAGATTAAGTGCTTGGGGTAAGCCCCATGCGGTCTAGGTTAAGCGCGGCGATTTTGCGCAAGAGATCGATGGGGTGGTCCAGCATGCCATTTGGGTTTATGTTAGCGTATGGGCTTCCAGCGAATAAGTCCTTTCGGCAGATGCTGATGCGTTGATCTTGGGAGTTGGAGGGCGCTGGAAAGATGGTCTATGCAGAGTTAGTCCTGAAGCTATAGATGTCAATACATCTCAGGACTCGAATAACACCCACATGTATTGGTCCTTCTTGTACTGGCATTCCATCGCAGTCCAGTTTAAAGACTTTAATAAAACCGCTAACATGATAGTAGTCCGAGTGTCTTGTCCATTTGACAATGAATACTCGCTTGACCGCTCCATTGCCACCTACCAAGAGAAGATTCATGTCGTTTTCGAGTGCGGGACTAGACTCCGCCCAACCACACTCCATAACGAGCGTGGGTATCTTGACGAAGATGGACTGAATAAAAACGTCTGGTTCTTTTCTACTTCCACGGTATCGTCCTTCACGGAATTCCAGAGCTACCAAAATCAGCTTCCAGTTTTTATCTGGGGAGGTAGTGTTCGAATCATACTTGCACCGTGGTATGCATGAAGATCTAGACACTCATCTAATGTTATTAGGCTATTGAGATGCCAAAGCATTTGGCACTGCGCCTGCCATGGCTCTATCGCGTTGTGTATATAAGAAGGCGTAATGTGGAGAGTAAAAACACCGACTTTGGAGTTAAAAGACTTTCTAAACCAGGATTTGGAATTAAGTAATGATATACTGTGTATCGCGAGGAAAATGCTTTTACTTACCTTATGGTTAGGTCCTCATGCTGAGTCTCGAGAAAAAGCCATGCACTTTCTACCCAGGTAGGCTGTAGACCTTCGTACACGAGAAAAAGTTCAGGCTTTGCGTCCCCGATGCTCCTTGTCAAGTGATCAAGAAAATCAGGATACTGAGAGAAGAGGGAAGCATTGAAATGCATGATCGATTCTGTCATTTTGAAATGTGTACAGGTTAATGTGCAAGAGCTAGAGGAGATTTGAGATAAATGGTGAGGGAAGTGTTATTATAAGCGGGTTGTGCACATGTCAGGGTAATGTCAAGGTAATGTCATAGAGATCATGACCACGTCATCCAAGCGTACCTTTTGGACACAAGTCAGAAGACAGAAGTGAGAGTTCAAGGAGATATCAATGAGGTAAGTATGGCACACGTATCATTACTTGAAGCCCATGAAGCTGGGACTCAAAAAGCAGGTTTCAAAAGCATATCGTTCGTTTGCGGCATCTCTAATACGTTTTGAATTATGGCGTTTGACTGATTTAAGACCAGAAGTAGGATAATTAGAGAAGAAGCCGAGGCACAAGATGCAGAAAGTGAGAATAATCCCTCAATTATGATCTGGATTGGCAAAGACGACGCTAGGTTCCACACTCTGCTTTCTAATGTAGCGTGAAAGGCGATTTGGATGTACCACTGCCAATCGCACAAGCCCGTTACACCTACCATGAGACTTGCCCGAGGTCGTCAGGAATGTCCCACCCATGCAATTGACAAACTCTTGTATATGCAGCCACAGCTTCGCCAACAGAATAATCCTGAGTACTCCGTGGCTCGAGGCGAGCCGGTACTGGATCCCTGCTGGTCAGAGCCATGCGGACCTGCAGCAAGACACTTTCAATGCTGGATACAGGGGACCAACCTGAGCTCGTCAGTAGCTCCATGCACATCGCCCCCCCAGCCGTAACATGCCCCCCACCGCCCTTGCTAAAAGGTAGAAATCGCGGGCGAATAATGCGCACAAAGGGGGGTGACATCGGGAATTGAGGTGGAAAGCGCAACTCCATGACAATGGCTGTCAAACCGGCCGCCTTCAGATCCTTGGCCAGCGGCAGGGACGGTTCAAAGCTGTGTAGCTGCACAATCCACTGGTAAACGTTGTTCACGAGATTTGGATCAATATACCAGCCGAGTACATGCAAGGGCTCCCGTTCTTGCACTTTCAATGTGGCCTGGAGATGCCTTTGAAGAGACTTGGTCGCTAACATTGTGGCATACTTCGGTGGGCCAAGTAGCCGAACAGCAGACTCCTCCAGACTTCCGGGTCGAAAGTCAGTTTTGCACAAATCATAGACGGCCTCATTCGCGGCCTCGCCGTGAGTATTCGTGCTAGCTATAGTGTCTGCGTCGAGCAGCCAGTGATCATCAGCAACTGTAAGGACACTGTCGTAGTCATCATCGGAGACTAGCACCACATCATGAGAAAGCTGCCTTTCACGTGTACTTGCTGTTGTCTCTTCAGCATGCTGCTGACTCCAATGACTACTAACAGCAGAAATAGGGAGCATCAGAACTTGACCATTGGGGCCACAGGCCTCATGCTCAGGGCGCTGAGTATAGGTAATTGATGGTTCTAATCCCACGCTGTCCATCTTCAGAGAAATACTCCTATACCCAACGATGAGATACCTGGGTTGAATCCAATCCAGTTTGTCTACCACATAGTATCTGCTGTTGTGCACGAATTGCTCGGGGGCATTGACTACTTCATTCAGTGACAGGGCTCTGTCGATCTTCAGGATGCTGTTGCGCCAAGGTCTAGCCACCTGATCGCAAGTTGCATATACCAATGAATCTTGAAATCGTGGCGACATATAAACTCCGTGCCCCGAACTACGGCCATGCGCGATCGTTTTGAAGTGGAGCCCTTCGCGTAGAATGCTATGCCAGTTGTATACTGGGCTTCCATGCCAAGCAAATAGCGTTGGGTACTCTGCATTATGGGAGGAGGAAAGTGACTTTACTGCGCTGACAAAACGCTGCTCCTTATCTGGCGCACCTTGAGCGAGTCTGAACTGGGCATATCCTTTAAAGTCCGGGATTCGGTGTTCAGGATCGTCCTCGTACGTGATACACGATCGGTTTGATGCAATAATCCATCTAAGAACATAAAGCGCAGCTGGAGATATTCTATCGCTCCACGAAGCCAGCATTCTTTTAAAATTGCCGTTAGGGTGGCTCAAAATAAATGACCGCATTGAGTTAACGTCGGGAAGCGTATCTAGAAGCGTCACTATCGCATCGCATTTTGCACTGTCAGGCAAGTCGTCGAAGCATCCTTTGTATATCACAAATTGTACCATATCGCTCTCTTTGGAATTAATACCATGTTCGGTCGGTATTTCCATACTAACTGGAGGTGAAAGCTGAATAAAAGGGGGGAAATTGGCGTCCTGCACGCGACAGTGCCACTGGGGCCGGCCATAGCGAATATGTGCACCGGAGGGTACAATCGCAATCCAATCGCCCGGTCTCAATTCCGGTGTATCATGGACGTCAAGCTGCATTGTAGTTTTGTTGAGCCGTCCATGGTAGATCATTTGGCCGTTTTCCTCGCGATAATATGTAGGGACATTCATTCCAAGACCCGTGGGGAAGTCTTCCAGGTGGCCAGCCATTGCTCGAGCATAGGTAAAACTGACAAGCATATCCACGACAAGAGGCTGGGATGTTATCTTCCACTCCAGACTAGGCCCCATACCAAGCCTCATGTACTGGTACAGACACAAGCTGTTTGAGCAAACATAGGGCATAAGTGCCTCGAAGCCCTCATCGACCTTGCAATAACAATTGAGGCAGAACTCGGTGCACTTGACAAACCTCCGAAGGATGAATTGTATTGCAATCAGAGGAAGGGATAGTGGAGCCTTTCCTTCGGAGATATGGTCTTCTCGCAGGAACTGTGGAGTTGCATCGTTCCAAGCTTCTGGAACGAAGTACACTTCGCGTGCTACCTCGTCAGAATCTGGGAGCCTGCCTTGGCTGTTCTTCAAGTAAAGTTCGGCGCCGGTCCACGTGAAACCATGATGGAGACGATGCCGCACTAAGTCTATCAAATGGGTGTTGAGAAGTGTATGCAATGAGTCGCCAATAAAGAACGACTGCATATCCGCACCCGCCTTCTTGGTATTTTCTGAGATTTCGGTCTCTGTCGAAACAAAAGCCTGCGTAGCAGAAGTCAAGCTAGGTTTGTAGGAATTGCAAAGACCAACTTTCATCTGAATTAATGGTGTCTTCGGCATGGACCTGGATATTGCCTGGTCGAGGTTGCAGTAACCAAAAGGGTATCGCAGAAGCAAAACAAGATATTGCGATGGACGGACATTCCAGGCCTGCATGGCAACTTTGGAAATACCAAGCTTCGCTATTCGACAGGAGATTGAGACCATGAGAGATCCAGTTAGTTCCCCGAGGAAGCCTACTCGATAACCGGCCTGTCTTACTGCACTAATGTCTGAGCGTATTTGCTTCATCACCTCGGCCTTGTCCATCGACGGTGTAAATTGGGCGGTAGAGTCAATATCGAAGTCCATATCATCACCAGAGAAAATCTCACTTTCAGAATCATCCTCATAAAGGGGATCCAACGCAGAGTCCACCCCAAGCAAAGCATCATCAATGCTGTCACTGATGCATTCCAGAAACGGCTCAATCGCTAACCCCCCAAAAGTCGGTTGTAAACGTTCAATAGCCTTGGACACATCATCGGGAATGTTATCGCTCGCGGCGAATGTAAAGTATGTATGATCACCGGGATAGTCATCAGTGTCTGCCATACGTCATTTAACAGCAGTCGGTGGATCGAGGGGAAAGACAAAGGTTCATACCTAAGACCGATGTCTGAAAATCAATCGTCTGAGCGCTGAAGGGTGCCGTATAGGTAAACAGGACTGAGCCATGTTCTTCGCCCGCCCTAACACCTTTCAGATGGGGAAATCGCCCTGGCACCGAAGCTTGAATGAGATCCCTCTGGAACTCCTTGCGGGGCATGACCAATGGAGTGACGATGTGGGGCGTGCACTGATGCAGCTCAAGAGGGAATAAAAACCTGAGATAATAGGGTGCCTGGAGGGGAGCTTGAATAAGAATAATAAATAGAATATGAGGAAAGTGTGAGGTAGGTAACAACAAGAAATATTTCCGTAGACTAGTTCTGACTATGAAGCAATGAGAATCAGTCCCAAAGAAAGAAGCCACCGCCTTTACCTAGGTGCTGCCTGGTTACAGCCTTGCCCACGTGGAGTGTACATATGTGTATCCCATTTATCACCCACGGAGAATGTCTACTAGAATATATTCTCCATAAAGATATCCACCACAGAATGCGCATTATACGCAGCCGGTGGCCGTACGCGTAGTCAGTAATTTTCATGCGTTACTAGTTGTAGTGCAATGTACAGTGTCCATGGCCAAAGCAAGGATGTGTTGTATTACTAAGTTGTATAATCTTAGTACACCGCCAGATCTGCATAACAATGATCCACTTCCGGAACATTACTCCGTCCCGTCCCGAACCAACATCAATATTTCAATGCCATTATAAATCTAGCCGGCTAACTAGTCTAGTCAGCTATGCTCGGGAAATGACATGACGAAAATAACTTCCCAGAACGTTCCCCGAAACGCAAATTAACAATACATACAGCTGAGCCAACATTCGTGCGCCGTCTGCTTTCTTACTAGCCGTAATTCGCCGTTTGGTGCCGACTGTATACAGAGAGCGTATTCGACATGTACGCGACTGATACTCATCTACCGTTAAAGCGTAAGCGGATCATCACTTCATGTTCCGAGTGCCATCGCAGGAAACAAAAGGTATACCAAAAGCTGGTCTCCAATACTCTGTAACTCTGTTTAACTAATGTCATTCAGTGTGATCGGCAATCCCCATGTAACAATTGTTTGGCGCGAAACGTCGCCAGGAAATGTGTGTATAACGCTCTCCAAAAGTATGTGCGCTTGCGTCAATGGCTACCATAAAGCGTCGTTATTCTAATGCCGTGCGTAGTTCTGGCAAGGTAGCCGAACAACCAGAAGTGTTGGGCCCAGAACCCGGCGAGGATCGTGTGCCGGTGGTTCCAGCCGACAATGCTCAAGGCTCAGGAAGCCTCGGATACTCCTTGGTTGCTGGGAGTAACGCTTTTGTGGGATTGAAGGAAGTCCGTCTTCAAAGAATAAAGATCGATGGCTGGGAGTCGCCGCTAATAAACGATAGGTGCTACAAGACGAGGATGAGTTTCACCTAATTACATCTGCTTATAACCGTCCGTTCCGTTCACCAGTTTGGAAAACACATGCTCGCACACTGATATCACGGCTACCTTCGAAACCAGTACTGCAACAACTGGTTGATATATTCTTCTCGGAGGTAAATTGGCATTACTTTATACTCGAAAGATTCTACTTTGATGACCTCTTCTCCCGTTGGCAATCCATCGAAACGCGCCCGGTTGATTATCTTAGCGCCCAGGAGCTATCGATTGAGTTACAATACTTCCCAGCTCTCCTATTCCAGGTGGTTGCCCTCTCACTCCAATTCCTACCACCCGGGGCGCTCGCTCTGAGCCAGCTGTCATCGCCAGAACTTTCCTCATCATACAAATACAGTGAATCAGGGGATGAGCTTGTAACAGTGTTGGGTAGACATGGTGTAGCGCTCACCGCTGTCTTAGCAGACTTTCTGCGTGCGGCTTGGCTCAAGAATTTCGGAAGGGGTATTGAAGCATGGCATAGTGCAGGAAATGCCATCAGGTAAGCCTACTTCGCGCCTCCTTGTTCCCGGATCGATATCGAATAGTTAATATGATCAAGACAAGCACAGGAGCTTAGTTTGCACCGGCAACATGACATTCACCAATCAAGCCCAGATAGAATTGAACAGACACTGAGCTTGATATGGTATGAGGATTTCAAAAAGCGCGTTTGGATAAACTTGTTTGTTTGGGATAGGTAAGAAAGACAGCAGGATGTATGGTACGTTCCTAATTAGCTCATCTTAAGTCTCATGGCTATGATCCTTGGCCGCCCACGAACCATCCACCCGGACGACTGCGACGCCAAACCGCCAATCGACTGTAACATCCCCAAGGATCCCTCGAAGACAGTTCCAATGACGGTACAGCCGGGTGAATCTCCAAATGGGCCAACCACAGTATCAGCAGGCTTATTTCGATACGCATTAGCATGCAAGTTTCATGAGATGAGGGCCTTGAAAGCAGATAGACCCCATTTAAAGGACCATAATATTATCCAAGGCTTGCACGCACAGGTGATATCGTTGCTAGAAAATGTGCCACCATATCTTAGATTTGAAAATCCCGATATTTCTTGGGATGGAGAACACCCCTTTCTGCCTCAGCTTCGCGAAGAGGTTTTCATGACAGCGAACCTGTTTTTGATGACACTGCATCGACCACATATCCTTGCTAGTGCACAAAGCCGAAAGGCTGCATTGGAAGCGGCACTGGCCACGTTAGAATCACAACAGCGATTCTTCGGGCAAACAAGTGAACATCACTACCCCTTGTTTGGGCTTGCGTTCTACACTATCGACGCATCTATCTTACTTTCTGTCATCGTGGCATCGTACCCGCCGCACAGCCACGAACCGAGACAATACGTCTACCATGTTCTCCAGCAAGCAATCGATCGTTTATCCCACGTACAACCCTACAACTCAGTTGCCAGGTCAGGACTCGGTATTGTCCAGCGATGCTATGACAAGTTGAAAGAAGTCTGTCACTCCCCTATCAACAATTCCGTCACACCGACATCCTCGGTCGTGTCTCCTCGGTTCGAACTACAGAGTCTCCGCCAAGAATTGAGCCATCGGAATAGCATGCCGGTGAAAGACGTCCAAGCGGCACCTTCATCTTCTAGTGGGCCAGAAGGGCTCGACCTATTAGCACCTGGGCTTTCTTTCATACCCGACAGCTTTGGCGAGACTTACTGGCTAGACCAGTTAAACCTCATCCAACCGTCGCCCGTCGTTGCCCAGGACCCCGACATGTTTTGGGATTCCCTGTTATTTGATCGTAACATCTTTTAATGGAGTTCAACCTGTGTGAAGCCTACACATTGTACGATTTGCAATACAGGGTTGCTATTTAGGTGTGAAATCTGGGATAGCCTACAAGGGACCTACATAAAGCCTTGAAGCATCAGTGACAGCTACCACTGCCCGCTGGCGCTAAAGGTAGCACAATAGCACTTAATGGAAGCTTCCTCCACAATCCTGTGATGGATGCGATATCCTTTCAAACATGGATTTGACGCCGACCGAGATCTAGGCCATGTTGGGCAATGCTCTGAGGTAGTCTTTAACACCTCTTCAGCAGGCCTGTGTTTGAGTCTCACGTCTTGTGCCCAGGATTGCTATAGAGAGAGCTCCAGCCATCAGATACGTGCTTGAGCACGGCACAGAACTGGTAGCTGGAATGGTCGTCCTTTCAGTCAGCTGATGACAAGCCAGAGATTACTCATCTATACCTCGAATATGGTATAAAAATATATAAAAATGCTATTATGGCCGGTGGTGACTAAGAAATATACGGTGCACGACGCTTTCAGATTTGCAGAACTATGATGCCCTCGCTTTCCAGACCGAATCGATGAGTTCCACTGGTAATACTATGCTTTACCATGGTACCAAGAACGTCCAATGCTGAGTGAAGATAACCGTTGGTTCCAAATATTACTCACAAATGGACGGATGCGACAAACACTTCATGAGACTTTGAATCTGAGGTATGCCCTCTAGCAGCTGTGGCTACCCTCTTGCTCCGAATCCTTGCATCCACTGCTACAAAGCTTTGGATGACCGACAATGCCAGGGTTCGTGCAATGGAAAAGAATGTTCTTCAAGTCTTCCTTCTCAAACTCTGTTCCCTTCAGCACGGACTTTAGATCATCTTCCGTGAATCCTATTCCACGTTAGTATTTTCTCATTCATATCTCTAAGCGCTCATGTCTGGTTACCCTTCTTGCTTATAAGCTCATCTGAGCAGTAGTCGAAGCTTGGTGTGCATACTTTATCTGCAACTGTAACTGTGATCAAGGAGAAGAGCGCGAAGAAAACGGAGGAGGGCTTCATTTTGGGAATTGAGTCAAGGGGATAATCAATACGATGATGACGTTTATGTAGACTCGGAAGTAGTAATATTTTAGAACAATACTGAACATAACTGAGTCCCCTGGACACATTTATAGGCGAAGGAGCCGGTCTACATTCCTGGTGAACAGACGTGGAATGTTCTCTACGTCATGGTATGTGGCATTGTCATCGCTGGGCGTTCTTGGAGAATTTTTGGAAATAGCGCATTGATTGTGTTTTCCTGTCCTTTTTTTTTTTTTTTTTTTTTTTTTTTTTTTTTTATTTTTTTTTTTTTTTTTTTTTTTTTTTTGTTAAAGACAATAGACGATAGCTAACTCAAGCTTTGTGAATTCGAAGACGTTGTTTTGCATTATAAGCGCGAACCAAATGCAGCCAGCTTCTTTTTATTTTTCTTCCTTCGTTCCTTTCTTTCCTTCTGTCTGTCATGACGCTTCTTGGTCTAATTTAAATAGTCTAGGCCTTGTCTTCATCCCGTGACTCTTACATACCCCTGGCATGAGAGTCAAATATTGGTTCCCCAGCATTCTTTCTTGGAGCTGACATTGGGGGTTTCAGGTCATTCTCGATGTTAGGGGCAGTCACCCCGCCACAATTTACATTTGAGACCGTTGCTATCCAAAGGCGCGATGCGGTTTTTCCTCCAAACTTTCCCCTAGAAGCCATAATACCCTTCAAGTCTAGAGCATGCTATTCAAAGTCCAAATAGACAGCCTTCACTTTGATGATCATTTTGTCTTTCCACTTTTTTTCTTCTTTTTGGTCTCCTTGCCAGCGTTCCTTTTGAGTTTTGCTGTTCTTTTTGTATCATGATTCCACGTGATAATCAACTACAAAAACACTGGATTTTGTTTTTCATCTCATTCACCACATATATGGGGGGGGGGGAGGGGAGAATGAATAAAAAAAATAAAATAAAATAAATAAAAAATAAAGTAAATAAATGGATATAAAATAAAAATTCATTGAAGAAAGAGAAAATGGAGGAGAGAAACTAAGGAAAAAGACGAAGGAAAGATACTGAAGATATGAGTCTAACGTTCCCGGCGCTTGGCGGGCTTGTCCAGTTTGCCAAGGTCAACAAGCTTTACCAATGGAAGGCTTGACATGCTTGAGTCAGGATGATCCATGGTGAAACACATGGTTTCTCGCTTGATATGATTTGTGGACCGCGTCCAAATTGCCGACCCTACTCGGCTGTTGAGCGATTGAAGTGGCCGGACTCCAAAAGCAATCCAATTGCAGGAAGAATCCACTCCGTCAGCAATTTATATGTCACTTTAGCTTATGCCAAAGTAGACAAGTGGTTTTCCGTGTTAGGGAAAGGCCATCAAGTGTAGTGCGCTTTCCACACGCTAAAGCACGGAGCCGACGCAATCACCCCCACCAGCCAGATATTGACTGCGCACGAGTCAGCAGTAGGTATTGTGCTGCTTTATGCGTGCAAACTATAGTGGATCCGGTAGGAAACCCCTCGATATCCATCTGACCTCTGGGGATAGAGACAATCAGCCCCTGATGGCAGCTGAAACTTCGGTTATCAACACATGAATCGACCGAGATCCACCGTAACTCCTAGGTGAGATTAGTGTAGTATCAATCCAGAGTCAGATTTTATAAGTATGCTGCTCTGTATCTGGTCTGCGGAATACTCAGGCACCTTACATTCTAGTACTATCCTTAATCATTTATTTAGTCTTTCCTTTACCCATTGACAGTCATGAAGCGCAGCGCGCTCATTCTTTCGCTCATTCCCCTTGCCCTTGGGTGTGATAACCCAAGTTCTCCCGGTCATAGTTGCGCCTCAATCTACTCGGTTTCTGTTGCGGCTGCTTCTAGCTTTTGTGCCACCTTCACTGCAAGTACGGTGACAGCCACCACGGGGGTCCCGGCGGCCTTTCTCAGCAATTGCGACTACAAAACCAAGCATCTGTCCAGTGCATGCAGCTGCCTGGGCACCGCAGCTGTCCCTACTGTTGCGACTCCAACTAGCGTGGTAGGCATCCATTCGGCGTTCTATTAGAATGGTGGTGCTACTGAACTAACTCATGGGATCAGGCCTCTGTTTTTGTCACTTCAGCAACTGCTACCCCTACACCTACTACTTTCAAGACAAGCACTGCTCAGATTGTTAAGGTCGCAAAGGCAGCCACATCTTCTACCGCAGTGATCACTACTCCAGTTCCTGTACCAACTGCCAGTTCATCCTTTACCGGTAACGGTGGAACAACCTGCACCGTAACTGAGTACGCAGCAATCTCGTCCGCTGTGGCGTCTTGCTCCAACATTCTTTTGTCCGACATCTATGCACCCCCTTCTAGCACAATCGATCTCCAAGGCCTGCAGACAGGCGCTGCTGTGATCTTTGCTGGCAAGACTGTGCGTTCCTATCCCCCCTGCCTAGGAGTTATGTACTGACTCATGGATAGACATTTGGAGACACCGCCGATAGTGACTTTGATCCCATCGTTGTCTCTGGGACCAGCGTTACCATCACTGGTGCTGAGGGCCACGTCATTGACGGCAATGGTGCAGCATACTGGGATGGAGAAGGTTCCAATGGTGGCTCCGACAAGTCAGTCCTTACAGAAAACTACCTTAAAAAGGCAACTACTGACCTCTTCTAGGCCCGACCACTTTTTTGTTGTAAAGAAGATGTACAACTCCCGTATCGAGAACCTCTACATTCAAAATTGGCCTGTCCACTGCTTTGAGATTGAAAGCACCGAGCACCTGACTGTCTCCGGCCTGACCCTCAACAACTCCGCCGGTGATGCCGCCAATAGCAAAAGTGATGGTGACCCCGCGGCACACAACTCCGACGGCTTCGATATCAAAGAAAGCAGCTACTTCACATTGGAGAACACCTGGGTGCACAACCAGGATGATTGCGTGGCAGTGACCAGTGGAACTGATATCGTCGTCAACGGAATGTACTGCTACGGTGGACACGGGCTGAGCATCGGCTCCATTGGCGGCAAGAGCGACAACACCGTCAACGGGGTCACCTTCTCCAATTCACAAGTGATTAGCAGCCAAAATGGTTGCAGAATCAAGACTAACTCGGGCGAGACCGGTGAGGTCTACAACATTCGTTACGAGAACATCACCCTATCTGACATTAGCGACTACGGTATCGATGTTCAGCAGGACTACTTGAATGGCGGTCCTACCGGTGAGCCCACTAACGGGGTCACCATTGCCAATGTCACCTTTGTGGATGTTACAGGAACGATGAGTGACGGTAAGGACTATTACATTCTCTGTGGAGAGGACAGCTGCTCCAACTTTGTGTTTGACGGAGTGGACATCACTGGTGGTAGCGGCGACAGCTGCAACTACCCCTCGACCGGTTGCCCTTAAGTTTAGACTATGAATCATAGTCTATAATTCGAACACCAAGTAGACTTATAGGCGAAGCTGGAGGAGACTGGAGGCTTAGTAGATCTTAGCAATTACTGAAAATGTGAACCAGGGGTTCTTGAAGATAAGTTATATTCGTACAGTAAACCGTGACCTGTCTAGGAGGGCATGCCCAAAAATATCCAGGAATAGGCACAGAGCACCTTAATGATCCATATAGTAAGAATATGGGTATAATACATTTAACGACCATGAATAGAACAGGTAGATACTCTAGATATTCAGTATTTACACCAATCTCAACCAGACACCCCACCCTCCCCCTCCTCCTTCGTAGTCAACTCCTTCAAACTCCTCTTCTCCTTCTCAACCCCATTCTTCCTCTGCGCAACATCACAAACCTCCACATCCCCACACTCACACTCACCCTCCCTAACCCACCGATACGTAATACTCCACCGATCCCCCCTAGGCCTAACCGACCCATCAGCAAGGGTATCATTCTTCCTCTTCTTAATCCCATGAGTCCAAAACAGCCTCGACTCCCCCGTCATCTGCATCATACACCTCGGCACCAAATCAACATCCACCCGCTCCTCCCCACGCCGAAACTGCATCATAATCGGCGCCCCAATCGACAACGCATACAGCTGGTCATACGCCATATGCGCATCTACATGCGGCGGGATACCGCTACCCGGGGGATAATACTGCAGACAGACTTGCTCCGGGGGCCGGCCCTCCGTGGTTGGAATGAGTGGTTGCAGCCAGTCTGGGAATTCCTTGTACGGAATATCTGGGTCTATGCCGAAGGTTTTATAGTCGAATGAGTAGCCGTAGTGGAGGGATATGCGACCACTCCGGGAGGGCCATTCTAGTTCGTTTTGGAAGATGGAGATGAGTTGCGCTTCGTGTGAAGGCGTTATGAAGTCTTCTTGCCAAAGTATGCCATGTGGTCTTATGGGGAGTTCTTGGTATTTGGTCTTGTCTTGTGAGGTCATCCTCAAGTTCTTGGATGTAGTTCTTGGTTGGGTTGGGGTGGAAGCACGTGATGGTGGAAAAGTTTTGTTTTTGATGCGTCCCCGCTGAGATGGATTCTTGGGTTGTGTGGGTCGCGTTAGTGGCGGTTGTACCGTTGTTTTTGTATGTCTGTACTTATGTCTGTGTCTGGGGTATGTATGTACTCCGTCCTGCGTGGTTTTATATGGGTTGAATATTAGTATATTCGTTTAAAAATACTATACTCAATCTAAATATACTACTGCATACTCATCAAGCTGTGAACCTGCAACTCATGGAATGACCACTACATCCCCACCAATATATATATCAACCACTATCACCGTTGATTCCCACTATAGACAAAACAACTTGAACTTCATAACCCGTTAAACCCACCCCAAAACTGGAAAGCCAGATCCTAAGCAGCAGCACTCCCCCTCGTCTCACGCACCCCCAACCAAGCACCACCGAAAACCACCCAAACAGCACCACAAAACCAAACCGCCGCACCCCCCGCAACCACCTCCCCAGCAAAGGTATTCACAATCATCGCCACCAGCCCAAATAGTCCCCAAAAGAACCCCATAACACCGACCCCGAAGCCACGGACCGGAGCCGCAAAGATCTCAACCGTATACGTCGTGAGAACCGCCAAGCCCGCAAACTGCAGGAAAGAAAGGATGCATTCGAAAGCCAAGAGGGCGTTCCTTGACCGCGCTAGTGTGGCAAGGAGCATGAATAGGCCGGTGAGGAGGGCGATTGCGGAGCCGGTGCGTTTGCGGCCGAGGAGCTTTGTTTGGATTAGCATGCCAGCGGCGATGGGGCCGGGGATTGCGCAAAGGGAGGTGTAGAGGTAGCGGGTGTAGAGGTACTTGGTTGTTACTGTTGTTGGGGTTACGGGGGAGAGGTTGTGGGTGGCGGCGAGGTAGGCTGTGAGGGAGGTTTTGTGGAGGGGAAATGTGAGGCCTGTTAGGGCCCAGAGGAGACAGAGGATGGGGAGGCCGGTGGGTTGAAGGGCGAAGAGGAGGGAGCGGAGACGTGGAGTTTGACGGGGGTCGGTGGCGTCAATAGTCGAGTTGACTCTGGCAAAGGAGGCTTCGTTTAGCCAGGTGCGGCGTTTACTGTATGTGGCCATGTCGGTGACGAGTTGGGCTGCTTCGGCGTCGCGGCGCTTGGAGAGGAGGTATTTGGGTGTCTCGCGGAAGGGGAATACGAAGCGACAGAGGTATAGGAATAGGGTGATGCAGCCGAATGTCCACCATACGTACCGCCATCCTTTGTTGGAAACGTAGTGACAGGATGTGCTGCTCTGGCTGGAGTGTGTTGAGCCGTCAGCGCGGGAGGAGTGTGTCGATAGGGCTTGCGATGTACTGATTGCGTCTGGGCCGGTGCCGCAGGTGTATCCTGCAATAAACGCCCTGAACGATATTAACAAGGTCTGGTCTAGCATGCCATTCGTGTGACTTACCACCCGACTGCAGCTGAGACTAGCTGACCCAATCCCCAGAATGCCCCTTGTACGGTAACCAAGAATTGATGGGAAGCCGGAAGCGACTCTATTAGGATGATGGCATCGACTAGCTGGTTACCTGCGACAGCAAATCCTACCACGAAGCCGACAACACAGAGACCGGTGAAGGAAGGCATGCCGGCACCGACAAGCCCTCCCATGCCCATCAAGACAATTGTGCTAGTGAAGATCCACCGACGACCCAAGATGTCTGACATCCATGGCCAGGCAGTTGCGCCAGCCGTCAGACCGGCGGCCAGACTGACGAACAGGTAGGATGATTTATCTCCGGAAAAGAAGAACTGGGCTTCGTTCGAGGCCGACGGGGCAATAACGACGAATGACATCATCCAGAACTAGATACAGGTTAGGCCTCATGATGTGATATCTTCCGATAAAGTTTGCTTACGCTGTCAAGAAACCATCCTACGCTGGTGATGATGAAGAGTACCCATTGATATAGGCCCATTTTCATGTCAACCAACGCCTGATTCAGCAGCTGTGCTTTGGCAGCGTAGACTGCATTGCTGCCGGCCTGGTTTGTAGGAGTGCTAACAGATATGCCATTCGGACTTATGTAGGACTTGCTGGGATCTGCTCCTTTGCCATGCAACGATTTCTCCACATCCACCACCAAAGTAGATGCAAATGCGCTCTGTGCCTCAATCTTCCTCTCAGCGTTCCTAGCATCATTGGGGGACTGTGATATTTCGCCAGCCATGATGGTCCCCAGGCTAAAACTGTTCACTGCTAGCAGATAGACCATGAGAGTGAGTGACAGGAGAGGGGAAGTAGAGAGGAGGACCCCGCTAATAAAGACCGAGGGAGGAATATCGGGCAGCACCGAAGGCTGCCAATGACTAACACATACTTGCAGACCGGACGATATCGATGCAAACGATATCACACGACTTGGCATGCATTGATACAAGCAATAGCCCCGCGGAGATAGACATATTTCGCTTGTGGCTGTTCAATCACGGCTCTGGCGTTCCGATAACAGATGTCATTGGCAGTCCTAGCTACTTAGCCATACTCACATTCTGAATATCCATATGCCTTTCTTAGTATGATCCTAATTGATCGAGCTGTGAGAGAATGGATGCTGTCAATCAGATGATAGAATACTTGTGACTACAATCTACAGGAGGAATAGAATTTTCCCCGTGTCTCGGACTTAGGACATATTACTAGACCAGACAGCTGCTCCTAGAAGTCCTCTGGGACAAGAGTGGGGAAGACAAAGAATCACAATTGGTGCACCGTCAGTAGCCCCATAGCATCGGCTCTAAATCGTAAGTTCATTTCTCTTCTCTAGTTCACCATGACATAGGAAACCCGTAAGGGAAATGTCTTCTTAAACGAGGTAGAACGTGGCTCATGAGAAGACTCTATGATCTGCCATAGGAAGGGATCATAATATTAGTTTAAGATGTCTAGAAAATTTGCTGGAATGACTTATAATGATTAATGAATGACATGAACTAGCGAGTCAACTAGCCCTAGGCCAAGGTCAAACTCGGAGTCGGTCTGAATTACCGGATGCGGTAATACAAAGCGGATCATAGCTGTTGGGCTAGGAATCATCACAGTCCATAGTTTGGTTACGGAGATTAGATAAAGTGATAAGGTAAAAGGTATCTTCAGGACCAATCTCGTGAAGAATAGTGTGCGCTAAGTATACTAGGAACCCGATTATGGGGCTACAGAGGAGCACAGACCTAGTTACCGAGGATGCTTGCCATGTGGAGTATTATAAGGTAGTCTATGCGCATGTCCTCAGCATAAAGCGTCGTGATTTTTCTTTGACTTTTCTTGTGCATGATATCTGGCCGCGTTTATTCTAACATACAGTGAGGGCCTTACTCATCAAGCACAGTGAATGGCACTATCACGTAGCCTAGATCGTCCCGAGTTCTTGTACCTCAATCAAGCATCCCAAACGGCACACACAATCTCACCCTCCAATTCCTTCTGTGCCAGAAGAGGGCCAACATGTCCCGTCTTATCGTCCCAGCCAGCTACGGCCACGCGATGGCTACTTTGTAACGCAATAGCGATCGCCTGGTCCTCGCCTGATATCTCAAATTGACGAGGAATCGAGCCATACGCCGGGTACAAACCGGTATGCGTTACATTAGTAGACACCTTTCCGCTGGCATCAGCACAAGAGAACACGGAAATGGTGTCGTTGTTGGTTCCAAACTTGTTGTCCTCGCGATTACTGATTACGATATGGTTGTTGGCAGGCTGCTCCAGGACGAGCAAAATGACAGAATATTAGCTTGCATTCTTTTGAGGGTATACCGAATTTCAAGGAATGAACCTACCGAGATCGCGATTTCTGCAGCAGTAGCACCGCTTGGCAGTTCCGGGCCACCATACGTGGTAGTCTCGAAGAACTTGTTAAAAGCGATCGTTCCATTCTTGGGATAGTGAACCTTGTATCCCGTCAAATGACTGTTGAGCTCCGATGTCAAATAGAACCGAGTATCGATAGCTCGGCCCGGACGTGCGCCCTTGGGCGTCCAGAATGTGCCATGTCTGGGGCCAGACCCTGGAGACACCGCCAAGGGTGTCTGTGGTTCTAACAACCCCGTCGAAGGGTTGATGCGGAAGATACGCACGAGGTCGGCTCCCAGATCAGGAACCAGAATGAATTGACCGGTGGGGTCAAGGACTACACCGTGGGGGTGTGGTGCATCCTGTCGGTCGGGGTCTGTGCCAGGACCGTCCAGCTTATATGTGAAGGTCTGGCGACGGGTAAAGACACCATTGGGGTCCAGGGCATATGCTGTCACCGACGACCCTGAGCTATACAGGGAAATTCTCATTAGAAGTCGGGGCAGAGATGGGACCATGATTAAAATCGGGTGCTTACTAGTGGGCCACCGCAAAAAATGTGCGATTTCCCGCAGTGTACAGGTGGGATTGAACGGGGCCGAGTACAGTCTTCAATTGATGAATCTTAGACAGCGATCCGTCGGAGTCGACTTCGAAGGACGTTAATGTGCCGTTCGGTCCATTGAGACCCTCGTCGAGACAGAACAGGAGGCTCTTATCATCATTCAGCATCAACCAGGAAGGATTGGGACCGCAGTCGGTTGTGTCTGAGATTGTCGTCAATTCATAACCTGAGTCGGACCTGCCGAGCTCCAATGTGCTAACTGCGCCCGCGTATGACGCCGTATAGAGCTTAGATGCAGAGGATGCTCCAAATAGAGCAGCTGTAAGATAGAGACCCTTCATTTTGCTAATTCCCCCTGATTTACCAGTCGATCAACAGATATGGCAGCAGAAGCTGGTAGACAAAGTGCACAAGCGTGGTGATGTTTGTTGCTTTTTAATCTGGCCACCCACATTACGCGGGGGATCGCCCAGCCCCCGGGAAAAATGCCGGGAAAAATGTCACGTCGGTTCAACACTTCAACCACACCACATCCCGGAATGCTGTCCTGCAATTTCGGACATGCGGATGTTGATTTACCGATGATTTGCTAAAATGGCCGCTCCGGAGCGCTGGATGATATAATCCTCATATATACTCTTAGAGGGCTTGGTTTGATTGGTTATGTCTGATTGGCTCTTCTGCAGGATCCGAAATATAGTGCTTGGCTGCATATGTAACGTTGTCCAGGGGATGGTAAATATACTTCCCGATTCTGTGGGGCATGCCGGATATCATAATCTGCTGCCATTCTCTGCAGAGGCCTTCCTTGGTGGGCCCAACTACTGAGACCCTTGCTGAGACATTGCAGAGTTACGAGAAGAAGTATCGCTGAAAGCAATGCGAATAGGGGGACATATACACCGTACGCTGCCACGCCACGTCATGGGTTGTTAATCCGTCTCCCAGTCATCTAGTCCACAGCGTAGGGTTTGGGGGACTACTAATATGCTAGCGATCTAGGGCCTTATGACGTCATGACGAGTTGCTTCTAGTGTTCTTTCCAAGGATGGCTTGCTTCAGTTTCATTCCCAACGGGCTACCTAAGGAGGTGTATTCAGTGCGGACCGCTAGCCCTCCACTGCTCCGTCAACCAACGTTCTGATTCGCTATGAGTCTGAAGCCAAAAGTATAAATCTAAATATTGAGTTCTAGTGGTACGGGTACACACTACGTGACATCGTGAACTCGGAGGCCAGCTCTCGGCATGCCGCAATCCGGGACCCGCGGTTAGATACTGGCAGTCTTTTATGGAATGGGACTAATATCCTTGTGGTCCATATTGGAGAGCCATTATACGTCGTTGTCGCGTTGTTGGTCAAATTAGCCAATCGATGTTCGCTAGTGTAAATCGGGCTACTATATATCCGGTACTAGTCCTTTATCTCACTGGCCGTGCTCGGCATCCTGCAAGATGAACTCCTTGTCCAATTTGTACTAGCAAGCGCTGTCTCAGGTTGACGCTTTATTAGGCAAACAAATAGTTACTAAGCGGCTATTTTGTCATCACGCTCCCGACAAAACCCCTTGACTAAAAAGGAAATCCACTTTAGCCGCCTTAGGTGCGGTATAAATGTCAGCATAACTGAGGCATGGGACTTACTCATTGGTGGCCAATTGTTTGACAATATATTAGTAGGGATATTGTATGCTCTATATTCCCAAATAGATTCCTTCCCCGTCAGCACTTACCGAAGTTATATATCACTGCAATACTCGCCACGGATGGGAATTCTTTAGTAAGTTGGGCAATGACTGGCGTGCCTATCGTTATATGACCTACATGTCATATTTTAATATAGAATCAAGTGCGATGGCGCGACTCCCTAGGGCCATTGGATAGTAGTAAATGTACGGCGCAACAACGGCTTCTACAATACCCTACTCTCAGGAACGGCATTCAAATTTGACCGATCGCATCGTAACGACACTGAGTACTCAGCAAAGTAATCAGCTCGTACTTCTAACTACACTGAGCAACAATGTCATATGACTTCTTTCGAATTTATCAGTATGACCTACTGGTCCAGGAACATGCTGCCGTATGTTTGAGCTAAATGTTAGCAACGTTATCGAATCATGACCCAGCTGTGCACGACACTGACATCCCTAAATCAGCCAACGAAGTTCCCAGAGGGCACTCAATAATATCTCCCAGGCCGCAATGATGGCAGTTATACTTGCATCACATGTCGCTATACTAGCATAAAACCACTCATACTTCAGGATATGAGCGAACAATGACGATACGGAGGCCTTTCTAACGGGCTTTTCAATCATATCCAGATTCCATTCGGCCCTGGGAATGCTCTGACTTCATACATACAGTCTCCGCCCCGTAGCTGATAAGATATGATCATAGAAAAGAAGAACCTGGCTCCAGGCTGTTACATGGCTTCTCTTCCTGAGCCCCCAGCTACTACATGCATGTGGGTGAAAAGATTCACAAGCTATTCCCATTCAAACTGTTCATAGTCGTAATCGTAATCGTACTCATAATAGTCAGACTTGTGCTCTTGGCAACAGGTCCAGCATTTCTAGTATATCTCATTAGTAGGGGGCATGCGCATTATGGTAATTTACCTCCCAGTGACACTTACACCGATCTTCTTGGCGTACTGTTGCGGGAGAATTAGTATTGCTCAAGAGTTAGAACATCTAGGGCGTTGTATTACTTACCCAGTGGCGTGGGCAATCTTGTTTGTGGTGAAAGCACCTTCTCCAACAGACTTCAGATGAATCAAACGGGGTGGCAGCCGCTCCAGACAGAAGAACGGAGGCAGCTACAAAGGTGATGGTGGAAAACTTCATAGTGATAGTCTTGCCGGGGATGATGCAAATGGAACTAGGGAAATATCTCAAAATGATGTTGTCTTAGGGAATTGCGGTCAACCTTTGGCGTTCTTGAACTTAGACTGATCGAAAGAAGTGGAAGGGGAAAGGACTATTATATGCCAAATGGTGGTAGAATTGACTGTATATACATTGTTCCACGGTAGGTAAGGTGAATGGTGGAAAGATTTGCGGAGATCATGACTGAATTGCTACGTAAGGAACTATCTGGATATCTCATCGTGTAAACCCTTTTCCATGTGATCCGACGGGTAGATCAAATGACGTATCCAGACATTGTCGACACAGAGCTTTGTGGATTTTGGGTAGAGGAGGACTGCTGTGCACCAATATTTGAGTTTTACTAATCGTGAGTCTTACAATGAATAATATATACGAGATCTGTGTTACTGGGATTTTCCACAGGGATCCGATGTACCTCAAGGATTGTGAAAGCTATTCTATATTCCATGATACTCTCTACCTTATCATGCTATCATTGCTTGTAGATTGGACTGAGGTATCCTTGTTCTAAACACCAAATAGTATGGTAGGCAGGAGAACTTGCGCGGAATCCGTACAGGCTCCTTATTTATAGTACGATATTGTCGTATCAATACTAACATAGAGGCTGTTATGTCAAGAGAAGGAACGATTTTCGATTCGTTAACTCTTAGAATCCTGTGTAACCACTGTTCGATACACTTGATACCATTGTGGGAAGTATGACACGAAGTGTCAGCTCGAATGTACTTGGATATAATTGAAATTCCAAAGGTTGCTGGAAAGCCCGACGTCACACGTTTTCCAAACACGGGTAGGGGGGCTGCTGGACACGCTGGGATTAAACTCGCTGTTAACGAGACTTGGCATATATGCAAAAATATCGATCGGGGTTTGATATGTCCATTAGGAGTTGCCGTGTCTTGACCAAATCGTGTTTGTACTTCAATGTGTTCGCAAATGAGCTGTCATGATATGACTATGACGTTTATTTAACTCCAAACGAACAGCATCGAAACTAGATGCCGGATAGTTTGATTTCTCTAGGATCCTCTCCAGCGCGCTTCATTCATTACTTAACTTGATTTCGTAGATGTGTGCTATACGCAATAGCTTCTTTCCACCTTCTGTCTCTAGGAAACGTGATGAATAATATGGTGCAGATGTACCTCTTCAGCATGATATATTTATAGGCCGGAGTCGACACAGAGGGAACTTCTTGGGTTGGTTGAACACAGGATCCCCACCAACCGTCCCCGTTACCGTCTTCTTGTAATGTCGAGTGGCACAAAACATATGCAGCTTATTGTGGACAGAGATAATACTTCTACGTTAGCTGCCAAATCTCTCGAGGTATACACGCTAGCGGGGATTCACATGTACGCTGAGCGATCGGTTGCGATTCTTCCTGTGGTAGGTCTGTAAACAAAGGCATATCCTGGACGCGTTTCCCTAGATGAATCCGTTCAAAGACGCAAGAGCAGCAAGGGCTTGTGGTCTACTTGCGGGCGATGTCTCTCCATGCAACTTTAGAGTGTTTGAACATTGTCATGGTCCAAGGCTGAAAGGAAGACAGTCTCCAGTATTTGATCAATGATATTATTAGATGATTGCAACTGCAGGTGGCTATATGACATTACATTCATCACACGGACGAAAGACCCACAGGGACTTGATTCTTGCGCTCCGCCGTAAGGCATATTTCTAGGCGCTGAGGTAATAGCAGTATCTCGTAAACTACGCCGGTTACGACTCCGTTTCTATTTTGGAGTAGAGAGATCTGTGACTCAGCCATAAATTGAGTGGACTATTTCATAGAAGGCTTCGCGGAACCAATGCGTGAGTGTTGGGAAACACACACTATAGTGAGCGTACAGAAAGTCTTGCTTGGCCAGAGCTTTATTACTCCTCCCACTCAAAGAGTTCATAATCGTAAGGCACCACCTGGCGCTCTTTGCAGCAAGTCCAACAGCGCTAAAACGGGTGTTAATGGGCTATCTACCTTGCTTGGATGACATCAAGCTTACCCCGAATTTCTTAGCGTGCTATGTATGACACACCGAATTAGCGTAGGACTGCTAGTATATAAACGAGCTTACTCACCCATTCACTTGGGCAATGGGACCTTTCGTGGAAGCATGCTTTCCAACAGATGGCCGAGATAGTGTCGGCCTCCGAGAAAAGTGGGCCAGCACTTACTCCGGAGAGTATTGTTGTCACAAAGGCGAGGACGGTTGCAATCTTCATCTTGGTAGGTGGAGGCTTCCTTAGGTGAGAATCCGATGAGGATGGAAAATATAAAGAATCCAATGTTGGGTATATGTGGAAGGAGTATTTATATTTAATCACAGCGATGATGTCTCGGAAAATGATTTCATCATGCATACAATATGATGGATGATAGTCGGTCATGAAGAAGAGGTTTCAGTGGTACGCAAGCAATTGACTTTATCTATAGAGTTAAGATAGCGATTGATTTGTGGTTTTCGCGACTTGATGGTCTAGGCCAGTTGTGGCATGTAAGGCTCGGGTAAATCGTACAGCTCGGTACGAAGTTTGTGTCGCTGGAGAGTCTCTCCGTCTTCATGGTGGGGTTATATCATTATTTGTCCGTTGTCCCACGCTACGTAGCATGTACTGCCGAAGCTATAATTCCAATCTAGATACCTGTCTTAGATTGTGAAGGCAATATAAGTCACTCTAGATTCTACCTGAAATGTAGGCTAGGCTGGACGGACCGATGTATGTGTAAAGCTCAGGGATAGGAGGCAAATGACCGACGTGATCCCTGAGCGATTGTTAGTCTTTATCATCAAGGGCAGCATTGGGCTTACACAACTACAACATGCATGATAGTCTAACACTTTGATGCGCATTTGGATACACTTCATTTCGAACTAGTGCCATCATTAAGTGCACTTAATAGTCTTCTGGAAACCAGTATATCCTACTTAGAGAGATCGAATAAATTATGTCTGTGTCGGGATATAAGAGAGAGGGTATAGTGATTCTCGAAATCGCCTTATAGCACATGTATCAGACGGTGGGACACTATGTATTAACTTAGCGTGGATTATTCTTTTACAACAAGGGTCGCACGAAAATAAGGGAAATTATTACTGCGAGCATTGATAGAAGAAGAGTAGTGCATAATATGGACATCCTAACATGGTCATACGTGCTAAGATAGCAAAGATGCCTCCGGCTGGAGTAAGCCCAACATACATACTATAGCACTGAAATGAAGCTGCTGCAGATCCTGTTTGGAAATTTTGCAACTCATCCTTCTCGAGCGCCTACTCGCCTACGAAGCAAAGAGCATGTTTTACCAATAGCGAAATTCGTTCGACTATTTTGTAGATAACAATGGATATTTGTAGAAACCTTTATATTGCACGAAGTAAATCCATTTGTATAGTTGGAACTTGAAGAGGTTCCAATGCCCTGAGAATGATTCAAGTGTCTACACAGCAAGTAGCCATCTCAGTCTCGTTTCTCTTCATTTTGGCCTCTCTGTGCTGACTTAACATGTAGCGACTCAGTGACACGGCAGACCTCGCTTCATTCCACGTGTCCATGAGGGCAGGGAGATATCTGCCTGAGACGACCTATGTAGACAAGTACTGTGCCTACTGGAAGGTTCTACGGCACGTTTATTAATTAGAATATGCTTATGTTCATTTTAACTAGAACTATTATATACTAACGAGCGGGCTTTGGTCGCTGTCAAAGGTCAAATGCTAAGGGATGTAAGACGTCTACTGACCACGACATTGTAATCTTTTACGTATGATCTTTTAATCAAACATTTAGAACGAGGCACTTGACAAACGCGCCCTTCAGAAGGCAGCTTAACATATGCATAGTGGCTATGTTTAGAACAGTCACAGTCGAGGATTAACATCTTGGACGGAAAAGATCATAATTGGATGATGTACCAGCACTACCATGGCCTATTTCAGGATGTTGATGTGTGCAGTATCTGAAACTTACAATTATAATATCCCTCGGCATTAGCTGATCTGTCAGGAAGAATCCGTTCACAAGTCAGACGAATGTTCTCCAGTGTCGGATGTGCAGGATCAAGGCTCTTAGCTTCTATTCTCCAGAGCTGTTCACCGCATGAGGCTAGACAGAAGCTGTCTGATATGACCTCTTTGAGAGAAAATGTCTTTTCTGCGTAGTCTCCTGTATCCTCAGGGGTTAATGCAATGGTAGATAGGATGTCGCCCTCCTCTCCTTTCTCCCCCGTGCGATTTGCTGGGACTATGGAGGCGAAAGTCTGAATGTTTCCACTAGATGGATCCTCGGAAATCCAGGACTTATTCCGAATATCCATCTCATGTAGACGTTGGATGGTGTAAGCTTCCGTCCATATGTTGTATTCCGAACCCACTTTGTGTTCTAATTCGCGGACTACCCTCCTTTCTGGCACATTGTCGTTCACTAGGTCAACTGCCGAGGTCGTGAGAAACGTCTGAGTGGAGGGGGGTATAACATTCTTGGAAACTTACGGATACGCTCTCCAAAGTCATGTATTGCCCTCATACGTTCCAGAAAAATCTTGATTTCAACTCTTTTAACCCAGAGGGACTTGATGGCCTCGCGAAGTTTCTGAGCGACTCGGTTAGAAAGTGGTGATGGGAGCTAACAACAGTAGTAGAGAGGAGGGGGAAAGATCCAACATACTTCTCGCTGCATATAACCACTCAAGGCTCCCCATATTACCTGTAATACAGTCGCAGCAGCCGCCAACGCACCGACAACTTCAACAGCAGCCAGTCCCACGGGACCAGTAATGATGCCTAAGACGAAGGCAGCGCCAATAATCACACCGCTACCAACACTTAAAAGGCCGACAATATCAAAGACTACGCTGGAGGCATAGTCTTCTCGGTTAATCCTATGTGCCTAATTTAGCATATAATCCCTATTAAGAATTGTAAATTATGGGTACGTACTGAGCTGCAAGTGCATCGTATCTCCTTAGTTCCACTGAGTCGGTGATCTGGGAACGGACTTTGGTTTCGAGTTCTTCTGGGGTGTTATACCCATGGTCCTTTAGCACCTTGTCTAACTTCACCCTGGCCTTTTTGAAAACAGCTTCCCTGTTTCAAACCATTAGTTAATATGTTCCCCATGAATTTGGACGGGGCGAGGCTATCACACTTTTCCCTTTTCAGCTCGTTATATTCATCCGCCCAGTCCCGGATCTGAGTTGCCAGTTCTTTCGCTCTCGCGCGTCGATTTGGATTGTCTGGGAAAAAGGTGTCGGCAATGCTCTGACTATTCCCCATTTTGTAGTGAGAGATGGTACGGGTTTAGGTTGAGAGTTATTGTTTAGGGAGACTTGACTTTATAGACGATTATTAGCATCTGAACCTAGCTGATCGAGAGAACATGTTATAGTTAATATTATGAGTGGCTAGCTGAACACCCAAGGGGGGGAGGGCCTAGTTTGGCGTGTGTTGTCCTGAATAGGCTCAATACATGGACATGGAGGATGCAAACCTGGCTCACTCGACTCCGCCCATGTAGCTGAATATGCTGTACGCGTCACGGGACATACAACCCTGGCTTGTCAGGGATTAAGAGAAGTGACCCCAGCTAGCCATGAATGTGCTGTGGGACCCTATTGAGATCATCTAACCTTCAGCTTCATTTATTAAAACAAGAAATATGTACCTCACTATCTACCAATAGCATAGGTCAGCAATATGCTACATCATTACTACATCATTTGTATGTCCTGGCAAGTACAGGTATTGTCAGCCCTTTCTATCACCGTAATCGGAGGACTCTATTTAGATCCGATGTTAGGGTAGAGTTTTCGTGACTTTAGCCTGTATATTCCGGGTGTTGGGCTCTCAGCGCTAGTATATCTCCATATAATCAATGTAAACGTGTTGCTTGTATTTATATAAACTGAAAATTATAATCAGATGGCGGAGATATAGATGATCATGGCTGTAGTATATCTGGTGGAGTAAAACACTTCACTATACTTCACATGAAGAGGGGTGGCAAGTAGTGCTAAAGTTTCTTAAAATGGGTGGGTCGCTGGAAATCTTTGTTTAGTCGGCTTCTACGAGGGCCTTTCTGACAAGAGCCGAGCCCTTTTTAGGTCCAATGACTAGAGATAAGAGTCCTAGAACGTTGATCACTCAGCGAATTGTTCAGCTCGAGAGCTGAATTGTCTCAGACAGTCAGTAGACGTTATGTAACACGTTCAATTGATCTACTGAGATCCAGAACTCTGTCAGATTCACTGCTCATTAGCTCTCTTAGTTTGACCTCGATTTCAAGCTCCAGTATTACCTAATGCTTTTTCCAGTATGAAGAGCTGGTTTGTTTTCTCCCTACGGCTATGCGATCATATTGTTGACTATGCTAGTTGGATTGTTTATATGGTTCAATGTTGCACATCCTATTATAGTAGTAACATTGCTACCGAGCTCTGCTGATTTCCTTTTGTTTTGTAGGTTCTTATAGCGCTGCACCGTGCGACAGTCCGTGCTAGTAGTTTACAAGGCAAATTAATATTAGATTAGCAGAGTTCGCCAGGTTGACAGCTATCTCACCAGGCAAAGGCGCTAGGTTAGTATGCGTTATCCTTAAAGGGAATAACTCAAGCCTAGAACACCGATTTCTAGTATCTACAGCTTACAGCTAGGCGTGGGGTAGGATTTGCCCCTCAATGCAACCCTTTTCCGGGATTGAAACAGGGGGTATCTCAGCCAGCCACAGAAACATTGGACCCTAGTTGGACCTGCAGCTGCTTCCTTTTAGACAAGAAAGTTACATCTGAGAGTTCAGCTCCCACCTACGTCATTAATGCACGTTTTTCCTGTGGGGTTTGTTCTCCCCTGTCTTGTTACAGGCATAACCATAGAAATCGATGCCCTGTAGTAGAGTAGAGTGGAATCTTGACTTAACCTGCTTGTTCTGAGCTTCGGTGCCAATAGTGCTAATGCCATTGTCACACAAGTTAATATGGACCGCAATTTTCTCATATGTATATTGAGCACTATAATAGAACGGATTTCAAAGTGAATGTATAAGTTCATGTTGATTTTAATAAGCCATGGGGAAATGCAAGAATCAATAATCCATATTACTAAACTAATAGATGACTACATTTGAAAACATCCCGGTCTGTGTGGCTGGCTGTAAGCCCTTGTTCGATCAGCCCCGATGAAACGTTCGTCACTCGTGCTGATATTGGTGTCCAGGGCATGACACCAAGCAATGTGTGTGTTGGGAACGTTTGCCACTTATAGAATTGTCTCTATAAAACGGCTCCCACTCTCGCTGTTATGGACAGAACAATCAACCATTTCGAGTTTCCCTCAGCAGAAAATTTAAATACAGATCTACACTGACATCATGGGCATGTGGTATCCAAGTATGGTACATTCCTTAGAGCCAACCGTTTACCTGCAATGGTTCTGGTTCATGTGATGAATAATCTCTAATGAAAGGTAGACAACACAAAGCGCCATGACCGTGCGCAACAGCTCATCACCCAAACGAATGACTTTCAGGCCTCCGTCCGTGATGCATCAAAGACACAGGACAATCTTCGGGCAGACATCCAGGAAGATGTCGATGCAGGCCTTAAGATAAGAGGGTACACCACGATCACTGCAATGATGACCGCGTATCAGAAAGATTGGTCTGAGAAAGATAAGAAGCACTACGAAGACATGGTGACACAATTTGCGAACGTGGAAGAGAACCTGGCAACTGAGATAAAGATCATGGGATATGTTGCCTCCGCCGCAGGTGTTGTAGGAGGAGTTGGTGAGTATTCGTCCCGCTGCTCATCCTAAGTCACTCTCTGACCATCTTTCTCTATAGCAAAGGCAGGGCTGTTGTTGGAGCACGGCAAAATTGCAGCTGGCTTTAGGTGTCTTGGGGAAGGGCTTCTGAGGTTGATCAACAAAGGTAATAGCAACCTGTCTTATTGCGTTACTTGCGGTCACTAATACTCAGTAGAAACTGAAGCCGCTACGCGCTTGCTGAAGACTGCTGTCACTGCAATTCAAGAAACGGTCAAAATCTTAGAGATCCCGGAAGCTGCTGCCAAGATCTTGAACGCAATCAAGTTTATTGCAAAGGTTGTGGGTGCTATCGCCATCGTGCTGGATGGCATTCTCATCGGGTTTGACCTTTATGAGGAGCACAAGCAGAAAGTGGAGCTCGAAGAGTATGTTTCTTCTCCTTTTTCCCCCCCATCCTTACCGGCCGGTATGGATACGGCCCTGTGTTGGTGGGCAGTTGTATCTCTTTAGTCTTCACTTAGTTTATCTAATGGCTAACTTTAACCTGGTAGCGCGATAAAAGATCTGAATGTGAAACGCTTCGTTGCCTGCTTAGTGGGCGATTTGTATAGCGCCTATCGTGTTTACATGGGTCATATCTACAGCATTACCTCGGATTTGGCTGAATCTAAAAAGCCAGATGATAGAACGCAACAAAGGATCAAGAAAGATATAGATCGTATGACCAAGGTTTGCAAGTCCTACTTAATGCCCCTTTAACTATTGTCACATTACCTGCATAGCTGACTCTACAATGGCATCTAGGGGGCAAAGGCTGTAACATTCGATACTGTGTGGAAGAAGCTTCAAGATAAAGATGTTGGCGCGTATACGGATGCCGATTACAAGAAGGAGGAACTTGCAAAGATTATCTCGAAGGACTCACGGTTTGAATTCAAGTTCACGGACCCAAAGCACTAGGGAGACTCTCGCTAGCACCAACCCCAGTTTGCGAGGTCATCTTCAAGCCCATGTGCAATGGTGGAGCCTTCTTTGTGAAGCTACCTTTTCTTCGAGATCAGTCTGGTTCCCCTTGGTAGATAGTTTCATGTGTAACAGACGCAGGTGAATGGACATATTTTACACTCTTAGGTCAAGCGTAAGGACCAGAATAAACTAGATCCGCCCAACGTCGTGGTTAAAAAGAAAAAGAAAAGAAAAAAGAAATAGAAAACAAAGTGGGACGCAGAAGAAGAAAGAAAAAGAGAAGACTTTTCAATTTTACTGGAGCTTAGAGCATTCCAACAGCAAGGTGGCGACTGGCCAAGAGAAATGAAAATTAGCGAAAGCGTATGACAAGCATTGCCAGAAAAAGAGTTGATCATAATGGGCTTTACTGGCACTACTTGAATAATAGAATGCTTTTGATTTTAGCACTAGTGGTGGGGGCTGAGACAAACATGAATTGACAGATTGGGAGCTCTTTCTTGATATTCTTAAGCTCTTGTATCAGTAGATTCCGTACTGATGAGAACACCCGTCACCCACGCGGAGAACTTCTCCTCGTCCTCTTTGATCAATCTCGAAGTTTCCTCATCCTCAAAGAACGCCCAGTTAGCGTCAAAATGCGCCTTATCCCGATACGTCAGTACCGCCACCGCGTCGTAGTTGAAGTCCACCTGGCCGCCCATTAAGACCGCTGCCGGAAAGTCAGGCGGCCCATCTCGTTTTACGTAGTGTCGCACGTGGGTCAGAGGGAAGGTGTCTCCGGTTAGGTTCTTCATGAGGGGGATGTGGACATTCTCGTAGTGGTCGCGGTATTGATCTGGGGTGAGACCCTCTTTCCGACGGCCAAACATAAGCAATTGGAAGCCGTAGGTGGTGAGCGGTAGCCCCGAGGCAAGCTTCATATTGAAAGAAAGAGCGATGTATAGGTGTGCTAAGCTGGGAACAGGGATAGTAGCTATCGTGAGTGAGATGATGGCCGTTGTTTCGAGAAACGAATACGTGACCCAGGAACAAAGAGATGCTCGGAGTTGCTTGGGATCGTCGCTATTTAGGCGGCTGGGACTTGGCAGGGCGCCTTAAAAAGTTCCATTTTCTCTCCCAAACCGTTTTGGGCATTTTGGGCGCCATCACTTTAATCGCTCCAAATCTGGACCGTGAGTTTGATTAAGTACTAACTGATGTGCTTTACCTCTTATGTTTTACAATACCCGGGGACTATAACAAATCGAACTATATCCAGTGGTCGAGAGAACTTCCTAAAAGTATAAAGCATTATTAGGACTAGCTAACTAATCACCATATATATCATAACTACTAACTACTAGTTATACATAAGGTTGACTCAACAATGGACCAATACTGCAATACAGAGAAGTGATGATCATGTGACTGTACATTGCTAAGTCGCCTGATCCCTGATCTCCTGGCGGTATTTCTCACCGCGCTTCTTACCATGGCGTCAATATTCTGCCTGCCAGTGTCTAGGCAATATTCTACCTGGTGTACCTTGTTTCAACGCCCTGCATCACCAGTGCGTGAGTTGTCTCGATCACCTTTCACTCTCGAATCAACGGAGAAACTTGAGGAAGAAACATTGTCCTGGTACTCTCCCGATAGCTTTTGTCCCGTCAGAATCGGCGAGGTATTTCAACCGAGGTATAAGGTGATTGGAAAACTGGGCTATGGTGGATACTCAACTGTTTGGCTGTGCAGAGACCTGCCGTCAGCTTGCCCCACAATCAGGGAGCGATGCGAAAAACTTACTTTGTTCTAGGCAACATGCTTATGTCGCCCTGAAGGCATTTGAGCGCAAAGAGAGACAGAGGTCTACCACCATTTGAATTCCCTCGACATCGTAGATCATGCTGGCGTGAAGCTTATCCGCAGAGCATTCGATAGGTTTGTTCATCCTCCCTTGGGGAGAGGTCTATATGACTTTCGCACCCGACTAAGGGCCAAGGTGCTTCCCGAACAAATAGCCAAATTGACCCTGGTACATCTTCTTCTCATAGAAGCCCTCTAACCGAACTTTCACAGATATTTAAGAAAAGAACATCATGATGGCTATCGAAGACACTACGATCTTAGCCAACCTTGACGAGGAGGAGAAATCCAGTCCTAGCTGGCGGAAAGTCGTTGGAGATCGGGTGATCTATGTAACCCGAAAGCTGAGAAAAACCAAGCAACATGGCCGCCCTACGGGATGTGGTTTTGGTCAGGCTCGGCGTGGGTGGAATACTTACTGTGGGGATATTCAGCCTTATATTTACCGGGCTCCCGAGGTGCTCACATGGGAACCCGAGAAGAGAACATCGGCAAGAGAGCTATTGGACGATCCTTGGCTACGGTCACCTTAACCATCCTAACCACTCTAACTGTTCGGCTAGTAAACTTTACATGATAGCAGTTTAGGTCCCGGGTCTACAATCCTATTTTTAGCCACCGAGGGCTAAATCAGCTGTATTAGCACCGGGGTTGAACTTGAAGCTGAATTAAGTCTTGACTCAATGACTGGCTAGCGGCTTGAAAAGGCTGGCAACTATTAGGTGATACTCACGCAAGCGCCCAGCATCCTATCCATGGCCATCGATAAGGCTTCACTTTTCAAAATCTATATCCATCAAAATGGTCCCTTGTGAAAGGTCAAGGTAAGCTGCATCTTGCACCCAGTTGATAGAGCATTAGCTAACGCTGATTGTTGGAAGGATTCAAGTCCCCCTTTCATATCTCATATTTAGAGTAATAAAACAAACTTAATGCATGAAAAATACGGGGTACTGTCGAGCTGGGGAACCTGATTCTAGAGCTCTGGGTACTGTATGGTAGCAATAGGTATGGCGGAGAGAAAGCCGATGCACATTTTCTAGACTCCTCTCGGACCGCTTCCGAGGGTTATTGGATCTCCGCTTGAGCCCACTGGCCCCTACAAAATACAACAAATCAGACGAGTAGGACTATTGTATACACACTAACTTCGTTGATGAACATGAAAACTTCAGATTATACTGTCTCTCTAGCGGAGGCTCAGGCACGGCTCCCTCCTCCAGTGGAATCGAGTCGGTTGCTTAAACAAATTGATCAGCGGGTAGACCAGCTTCCTATCCTCGTGGTTCTCGATGACGATCCCACTGGCACACAAACATGTCATGGAATCAATGTTTTGACGGTGTGGGATGATGCAACGTTGGTAGAAGAGTTCCACACATGCGACCGTGGATTCTTTATACTCAGTAACTCGCGCGCGCTCCCTACCGCCGAAGCTCGCAGACTCATATCCGAAATCTGTACGGCTGTGAAGAAAGCGGCGGTGCAGGCCCAGAAGACCTTTGAAATCGTCTTACGCGGTGATTCGACTTTACGGGGACATTTTCCCGATGAGCCCCAGGTTGCCGAGGAGGTTATTGGGCAAGTTGATGGCTGGATCCTCGCACCGTTCTTCCGACAAGGCGGAAGATTCACCATTGACAATGTCCACTATGTGGCCGATGCTGAAGGGAACCTGGTTCCGGCTGCCCAACCCATTTTTGCAAAGGATGCGACATTCGGGTACACAAGCTCCAATTTAATCGACTACGTGGTCGAGAAGTCAAATGGCTCAATTCCCCGTCATCGTGTGCAGTCTATCTCTCTGCAGGATATCAGAGAGGGGGGTGCTTCTGCAGTGGCCAAAAAACTGCTCGAATTTGCGCAAGGATCTATCATCATTGTCAACGCGATGATTGATACTGACCTGGAAATCTTTATCCTTGGTCTACTACAGGGTACGCGTCACCAGTGAACCAACCGGCCAAACATGTCTGCTGACATATTTGTAGCAAGATCTGCTGGTCGCAGCTATATTTATAGGACAGAGCTGCCTTTGTCTCGACGCGACTAGCTATAAGACCGAAGCCTCCTCTCAGTGTACGAGACTTGGGACTAAACACAGAGACGTCTTCTCCGGGTGGGCTGATCATTGCCGGGTCCTACGTGCTCAAGACAACCGATCAGCTTCAATCTCTGACTTCGGGGCGTGGGTCTGAACTAAAGGTCATCACTCTGGATGTGGGGGGACTGCTGCATAGTGCTGAAAGCAGCTACACTACAGTACTTAATGCTGCTGATCTGGCTGGCAAGTATGTTGTCGATGGACACGACGTCCTACTTATGACAAGTAGACGACTAGTTAGTAGCCATGATGAGCTATCTAATTTGCAAATTGGAGGCAAAGTGTCTAATGCCTTGGTTTTATTTCTACGACTCCTGATTCCCCGGCCTCGATATATCATTGCTAAGGCGAGTTGTCCGCTATGTAAATGGATAATGCGAAGCTAACATATGCAGAGCGAAATAGGGCGGCATCACTTCATCAGATTTAGCAACGACAAGTCTTCGCATGCGACGTGCTCAAATCATTGGCCAAGCATTGGCGGGAGTACCTATTTGGCGCTGCGACGAGCCGTCCTCGAAGTTTGTCGGTATCCCATATGTTCTTTTCCCGGGGAATTTCGGCCACCAGGAAGCCCTGTTAGATTTGGTTACGAGTTGGAAAAGCAAAAGCCCCGAGAAACGGCCAAAAATGCAGTATCAACGACTTGGCAGCAGTGGGTTGAAAGTCTCCAAGATTATTCTCGGTTGCATGACATTTGGCAACCCGTCATGGGAAGGCAGCCCATGGGTTCTTCCAGAGGCCGAAGCGCTCCCGCTACTGAAAAAGGCATATGACTGTGGCATCAACACATGGGATACAGCCGATACTTATTCCAACGGGATGTCTGAGATCCTGATCGGAAAGGCTCTAGAGCAGTACAATATTCCACGAAGTAAAGTTGTCATCATGACCAAGCTATACTACCCAGTTCTTCCACCTGAATCGAATGCCCGACCCAATCCTGCCGTGAACAATGGCGACCTGGTTAATCAAATGGGGCTAAGTCGGAAGCACATCTTTGACGCAGTGGACGCATCTCTTACTCGGCTCAAGTCCAGCTATATCGACGTTCTACAACTACATCGCATCGATGATACCCACCCGGAGGAGGTCATGCGCGCTCTACACGATCTGGTTCAAATGGGCAAAATCCATTACCTGGGCGCCTCCAGCATGTATTGCTGGCAGCTGGCAAGATTACAATATGCCGCAAAAATGAACAATTGGACCACATTCACTAGTATCCAGGGTCTTTACAACTTACTCTACCGAGAAGAAGAACGTGAGACAAACATGTTTTGTCAAGCTGAGGGAATTGGTCTGATTCCGTGGAGTCCTCTGGCACGTGGGCTATTGGCCAGACCATGGAATGTCAAAACAGATCGGTCCGTGAAGGATGCAAAGACTACAAAGTGGTTCTCTGGTGAGCAGGACCAGAAGATTGTTACAAGAGTCGATCAGCTTGCGCGGTCGAAAGGATGCAGCATGAGTGCAGTTGCGATGGCATGGTTGTTGAGGAAGGGCGCTTGTCCGATCGCCGGGTTGAATAGTATCGAGAGGATAGAGTCGGCGTCGGAGGCGCTGACGGTTCGTTTGACTGATGCTGATATACGCTTTCTCGAGGAGCATTATAGACCTCTTCCCGTGCAAGCGATGTGATTCCTGTTCTTACTATCAAATGGTAAAATGAAGTTATTATTCAGATATATATTGCACGAACGATTAGTATTGTGGAGTAGAATCATGCCAGATAAAATTCATTAACTGGCCAACCTAACCCTCATTCTCCTAGTAGTAAGATTCCCAATCTTCATTCAGGGTCATACTACGAGAATCAGACACTTGCATCCATTGATGCAAGTTATTTGAAGCAGTAATTTGAAGCAGTAATAACCGACCCTGGAGAACACTAGATATGTCTAAACCGAAAAGGGAAGTAGTTCGTCTGAGTTATAGCAGGGCAACAACCGCGTTTTCTTTGGTACCCACTCCTGGGTACTGAAATTGATAAGCAATGGTAGCTATGGAAACTAGGCAGGTCATAGCTCCTCCATGAGTATACTCCGGACACCGTACAGAGGAAAAAGCATCTGAAAAGATGGGAGTTTTTAACAGTGACTATTGTACATACTAGAATGGTCATGTGATTTATCACTTCCTAATGTAGTATAGCGGGTCCTCATATCTCATGATAGGAGATAGACCTCAATGTTCTGTCTTCCAATTGACAGATCACAGGGAACCAACTTGGTGATGAGCACATCCCCACCTAAAAAGCCATGATCCTCTTCCCACGATGCCATCTGTTTGAAATAGGGGACCAACCATGGTGTCCCGAATGGATGCGAGCCTACATCCAATCATATCTAACACGCGTGTGGAATCTGCATATCCCGCCCTTCAGCAAGGCCCCTCCAGCAGGTATAGCGGCGGACCTTATTCTGGAGCACGTAAAGGATCCAGATTCATTCACATTTGTTGATCTTTGTGCGGGTGCAGGAGGGCCGACTGGAACGCTTGAACATGTCTTGAATGCGAAGCTTAGAGAGGAAGGCAGGCCAACAGCGCGATTTGTTCTCACGGATCTGTACCCCCGGGTTGAAGAATGGTCTGCGATTAGTAGACGGCAGGAGAATATCTCGTTCGTTTCTGAGCCTATGGATGCGACAATATGTGAGAGAGTGGCACCGAGGAATCGGAAGGAGTGCAGAATCTTTAATCTCTGCTTTCATCATTTTGATGATTTGCTGGCGTCGACTATATTGCGGAAGGCGACGGAGTCTGCTGATTCGTTTATGTAGGTTTGTCAGTTTGGATAGAAGGAAGTGAAGAGAAATGCTAATGCTTGGACTACTGGTAGAATTTTTGAATTTGCTCAGCGCAATTTCACTTCGTTGCTCAACATTCCTGTTATGCTTCTTTTTCCTTTTTGGTATACAGCTTGTCGGTACAGATATTCTCCTCTGCACTTATTCTTCACATATGTGGTTCCCTTGCTATCTTTGCTTATTTCTTTTGATGGCCTGGTGTCGACCATGCGTTGTCGGACACCGGAGGAGATTCGAGCGCTCTTGGATCGACCGGACTTGGACCTCAGTGACTGGGAATTTAAGAGCGGGCACCGTATGTTGTTCGAGCCGTTTGTACATATCTACTACTACATCGGAGTTAAAAAGGAAAAATTGTAAATATAGGACACAGAGTCAATGCTTTGGCAGTTAAGTAATGCAATCTTCTTTCGTGCAACCCGTGTCGCTTCATTGTATTGACGATTCTCCTATCCGTCTTTTACACTCTCTAATAGCATCAGATGCTAGAGCCCGGGCCTGACGCCTTGACATGAGACCAACCCAGTCAGTCTCCCGTGTCATACCCGAATGCCCCAGAATAAAATCGCGGATCCATTGCAGGATACCATCTTGCATGTGAAATGCGCCACGGTTTCTAATTGCTCCATTGACATTGGCTGTAGTGGGGGCCTTGCGTAAGTCCTCGTAGACCGTGAGGGACTCATGGATCAAACTGCTAAGTGTCTCGTCGGAAGAGTTCTTGTGGCTATTTAGCCGTTGTGCAACTAAGCCTAATAGCATTCCCAGCACAGCGCCGTCCTCTGCTGCCATTGCAGCACCTTGAGCTTGATATGGCAGCGTTGGGTGACAAGCGTCTCCTAGTAGTGTGACCGACCCCTAGTAGATTGATGCAGGTGAGTGGATATTCCTTCGCGCTCTCAGTCTTCTCTAGGATCAGCCAACCTTGCTCCAGGTATCTAGTTCAGGCAGGTGGCATAGCTTCCACCTAACCACCGATGATATGCAAGAGATCAACCTCTGAAGTCTATAGCGAGAGTTAGTGGTCGCATATACCATGGTAGCCAGTGTAGTAAATGGGAGCCTCCTACGTTGCGTCCCAATTGTGAAACCCCGATTTCATTTCCTCCAAGTCACCCTCATTGGTACGTACTCCAGTAGGCAAATTGTCAGGTTGCAGCAGAACCAGATTATATTCTTCACCACCTCGTACCGGATAGAAGACGGCATGCTTCTCTGGCCCTAGCCAGGCAGTGACAGAAGTCTTGCTACAAAGGCTGTCTATCTCCGGATCGCGAAGGGCCTCAAGTTGCCTCCTTGGGAAAACTGCACGGTAGGCCATGTCACCCGTCTCAATGAGTGGAACAGGTCGATCAGAAATCGTGTCTCTGAGTTTTGACCATAGCCCTGACCCCAGGTCAGCCTATCGTGGCTTGAATGCCATTGGACAGGACGCTAGACAAACCATCGGCGCCAATGATAATATCCCCTGTCACTACCTCACCACCTTCGAGAACAACCAGTGTGTCCTCAACATCCAGATCATTGGCATTAGCTCCGAAACGTATCTCCACACCTAGAAGCATAGCCCTATTGAATAGAATTTGCTGATAATCCGCTCGGTGAATGATACTGATCGAAAGTGAGACAAGCATGCTCAGCGGTCCAAGTGATAGCAGATTATACTTACACCCATGGAGCTCCATACTCGCGAGCGACTGTCTGACCACATTCCATAGATGTAATGAGTCCACCGTCCTTGTACCGTCGAAGATCCATTGATTCGACAATCGCCCCTTTCTCTAAGACCTGTTGCTTGAGGTCTAGTGCCTCCAATACCCGCACGCCATTGGGAGGAATTTGAATACCCGCCCCAGCCTGAATATATTAAATACGCTCCTGTCAGGATATCTTTGCTCAAATCAAGCTTTTGTAAATGATTTATTCCTCATACTTACGGGCAAAAGTTCAGAGCTGCGTTCGAGGACAATCACATCCAATTTTTCGCGTCGACAGGCTATAGCACATGTTAGACCACCTATACCGGCGCCTACAATGATAACCCTCATGGTGATCCTTTGTGCCGAGCGCTGTTATTGGGGGTCCTTTGGTCTCGGTGAGCTGACTTACGCTACTGGATGTTATAATCATTAGCGCTAGAAGAGCCTGCATACCCTGCGGGGTTGTAATTTACGTCTAATGCTAGGCGCTCTAGACCACATCCCTTCCGGTGGCTGGGAGATTCCCAGGCTAGTTCGAGGGGCTAGATGTCTCTGAATTAGCAGGCCTGCTTTTAAACATTATTAATTTACTGGGACATAGCTCGGCCATAACCCCTGTGGAATTGACTTCGGTTGCTAGCCTGGTGTCTGGTCGAGTCTGTCTGCATTACAGACTTTTTTTCACTTTAGTTACAATGCCCGTTTCTGCGTATGACGATACCGTTTGTTTTGGCCGAGAATGGTTATGATATGCATTGAGCGCTGATAACGGTCATTGGGGACACAATAGCACGTCAAGAGAGACACGCATAAAAAAAATATAAAATAAAATAAAATACAGAAGATAAATAAAAGTAAAATACAAGATAAGATGGAATAGATGTGAGCAAACGAAGAGAAACAGAGGGAGGGAAAGAGGTGAAGAAATATCATGAATAGTGTTGACTAGTTGGGTATGACCGCACTCACACGAGCAAGTGTCTTATATGGGATTAGGAGGGCTTGGTGCTCGCAGAGGTTGAATTTCCCGGTCTCATAATTCCGGCTGCCTTCGGCGGATTGGATAATGCGTGTGCCATGAGCTCCAGTCTTGCCTCCCTCGCCCCATCCATAGTCATCAGTGGGTTCATATCTCGCTTGACTTTGGAGTCGAACTCGTTTGGAAGCCAATCCTCTCGTTGCGGCGGCACATTGGATGAGGAGATAATCCGTCTGTAGGGATCCACGAGGAGCAAAGCAAGAACCTTGCGGTGGCCCGGCTTTGACCGGTCGGCCAGGGAGAACGAGGACACACGGTGCAGGACCGTGTTGGGGAAAGTGAGCAACCGACCATCCTGGCAAAGCACGCTGCCCAGTTCTCGGGTAACATTCGTCTTGCCGTAGCCAGAGGTGTCGTTGCCAAAGCCGTAGATGGTTTGGAGAAATTCATGCCTTTGCTGGTACCAAACACCTCAGAAGACGCTCCTTCCATATTGACGGAAAGAGAATATACTCGGCGTAATATTTTCGCTATCATGGTAATATATCGCCAGTGCCACGATGAGTTCGTTCCGAGAGGCTACAGGATCAATCCTGGAGGGGAAGAAGCGATTGATTGCGCTTACCAATTGTCCCTCAACATGCCAGCTGCTATCTTCATATTCCGGGTTCTCAGGCGTCAGTTCGATATTGGCCAGCTTCACAATGATCTGTAGTCTCTGGCCGGGAAATTCCTTCCGTAGGTCGACCTTTTTGTATTCTGTCTCTTCATGGGGCCTAAACTCTCCAGGCTCGGGAAGTATGATGGGGCGTGAAGCTTCCCATGGCTCCGTAAGTTCATAGTACGCATCTTCCTCGGCCTCTGACCAGAGGTAAGGAGTATTCTCATCGCTATAATCTTCTATATTCACTCCGTCCCAAGGCGGGATAGGTTCTGGCTCGATATGTTCTCCATACTGAACTTCGGTGTATTTGATTCGATCTTCGTCAGAGTGTCTCGAGGCCAAGCTCTTCTCCCAAAGCGGAATCGTTATTGTGATAATCTTTCCGATTACATCATATAGTCCCTGATCCTTCACCAGCTGGAGATTGTTAATATAAGACGCAATGCGACATCCGGACTCGGTAAGCTTCACGTCACATTGGAGCCATTGGTTGAGAAGGGGGACATCAGGTTTGTGTGATGGTCTGCGCTCCGGATAGACATATACCTCTTTATCAGGTGGCACTGGAAGTAGTTTCCCCTGCCCCATGCTCGCTATACAATCATTAAGGTCAATAGTCAGGTCCGGTAGAACGTGAGTTCGACCATAAATGACAGGAAACAATGATGGATGCACGAGGTCAACCACCGTTTGATCAGATCGAGGATGGCTGTCCTTCTCATTCTCTGGTATGTTGTCAGGAGGCCATATTTGCTCTTTCAACGCCCGCTGGAGGGGTTTGGAGATAGCGGTATCGGATTTGAGCACCCGATATCGAAGACGCGGACATATCTTGTTTCATTGAGGATGCCAGCTTTCCATTGCAACTCATTGATAACTTCAGAGCCAAATTGAACCCTGGCATCTGAAGGTGAGGATTCCATAGCAAGACCATCTTCATAAGAATGGCGTACGTGTTCTACCTTTGAAAGTCATGACAAGCAGATGATTCCTTTGGTATCTCCGAAGCTCTGAGAGCTACAAGCCCAACTAAGGGGATTATGGAGAAATCTATTCCGTACTACGTAGAAAACAAATGCTGAGTACTAGGCCTATAAAGGAAAGCGGCCTGATGAGCTGGAGCCTGGAGCCTGAGGTACTAACTAAGTACTGAGCGCTAACGTAACTTGTAAACGACCCGCCACTGCAAACGACCCGCCATCGTCTGTTTCCCATATTAAACAGCATATTTTTAAGCAATAATATCTCAGCCATTATTAGATATATCAGTCTATAACCAAGGTATTATATTAATATTAGCATTCTTTTCTATATAAATAAAATTTAAGTAAAAAAGAGGTCTGAAATAAATAAATTCTAACTATATATTATAAAATATAATATATTCGATCTTATTTTAGTGATAAAACTGTGGAAAGATTTTGATTATGTATATATCATTAATCTACTATAGAATAAGTTATATATTAATTTTTAAGTAGAGATAAATTGAATTGGTTGAGATATTGTTATTCAAAAATATGCTGTTTACTATGGAAAACAGAAGATGGCGGGTCGTTTGCAGTGGCGGGTCGTTTACCGAATACGTTATCGTACTTTTGGCGAGGTCGCTCAACCCTCGATGCCGGAGAATAAATCTTTGTTCGTATATCACTAGAAAAGAGGATGGGTATTAGTATACAGTGTAAACTTGGAGACCAGATCTGGCTATATATGATTCCGTATTCCTCGTCATATTATTTAATCTGCAATACCCTACGGCAGAAAGCTGGATGCCAGGTCCGGGAACGTGAATTCTCCAATATCGCCGAATAGAAAGTCATCCATCTGCGGCGCCGTGTTGTTGACAGGAAACTGAACGGGGTCTTTTCCGAAATGCTGAGTTGTGTTCGTGAAGCCCTGTCCGCCCGTTGCTGCAATATACGCATTCTGAGTTCTTTGATGGCCGTCGGACAGACTATTAATCCCTAGGCTGATAGCACAGCTGGAGAGCTTCCGACTGAGACCAGGAGCCATGCGCCGGATTGGATGTTGAGGAATACAGTTTTGATTGCGGAACAGGTCTAGGACGGCGCCAATAAGATGGAATTCCTCCTGTACATTGAGAGAGAGTTGTTCGTGGTGGTTGTGACATATCTCCAGCAACAGATGACCAGCAAAGGCAATCATGATATGGAAGTAGTGAGGCATACCAACGAGACTAGCCTTCAGCTGGTGGTCATTCAGAATCATTTCATAGATCCCAACTGCGGCATCATGGGCCATGTTTGCGGCAGAGACGAAATGCATCGGGATAGGATTACCATGAAGTCCTTTGAATACCTGATGACCAAGGTAGAGTTTGCCAAATTGATAGTGCATCTCCAAGCCCTTTCTGGGAAAATCGCCAATGTATGCGTTTGTGATGAATAGCGCAGAAAATTTGGCGAACCATTTGTCTAGCTGTCTTGAGTAATTTGTGATGTGGTGTGTAAGAGTTGGTGGTAGCTGCGTCTGATTATCGGACCCCAACACATCTCGGACCTGGCCCATGATTAATAATAGGGACACTTGGGACAGAATCCGAACATCTGATTCCGAGGTCTCGGCTCGATGTAGGTATGTTTCCCAGCTCACTGCTATGTCTTTGTCGCTGCGCAGGAGAGAGTCACGGTTGTGCAGGATCGAGAGATGTTGATCGCATACGAACAGGAGATACCACAATCGAACTCGATCCACAGCGGCAGTCGGGTTTGCTGAAGACGGGGAGCAGGTCTCCGGGTCACGAGCCCCGATGAGATAGTCGAAGCTGCGATGAAGACGGATGTCTGCTGCACGTCTAATGGCATCACTGCAGAGAATTCGCGAAGCATCGGCGAGCCAGAACGAGGCAATGCACAACGCCCTCAGATATCCAACGTCACGCTTTTCAAAGAGTGACCGCATCACGAGCGCGCGGAATTCTCTATTACATGCTGCATAGTACTTCTGGTCCTGTGGGTCATGGAGGGCTGACACGGTGCAGATGGCGGCAAGCAGGATAGGAGACGTAGTGCGTAGCTGGTGTAGGTCGTGATGTTCACTGCATATTCCGTACAGATAGTGGTCAAGTCGCGAAAAGTACCGATGTAACAGCTGCTCGGCGACTGTGACTGACACAATGCCCTTAGTAATGAGGTCATCTCCATGAGTCGAACGGCTAGCACGACGACCAGGAGGCGACTCGACGGATTTAGGACTGCCGAACTTGGCGATATCAAGAAATGTGTCAATGGGAGCATGGACAGCAGAAGGTGAATCGGGTGGTGACACTTCGCATCCCTCACTCTCTTCACGGTCGGGCTCTCCGCTCACTGGGATGGACTCTCTAGCTTTTCCATGGTCGTTTACAAGTGGCTTTGGCCGGCCGAGGTCCAAATGTTGGCAAATGATGTCAACTGTGTCATGCAGGTTCCGCAGGTCAGATTGTACCAGCTCCACATTTCTGGTTAAACGGTAGGGGTTAACATGACGCTCTGGGTCACACCTGCGGGGAACTCACTTCACGTCTTCGACCAGCGACTGAAGACTACGATTCAACACGCAAGAAAGCGATCGGCGTCGACACCGAACACAAGGAGGGCCATCCTCCGGCATGTCACATCGGATCTAACGGAGCATTAACTTCAGCATTTAGCAAGTGGAGGAACGACCAACCTTGTTCTTCCTACAGGCGGCACATGCGGTGATTTTGCGCGTAATAGAAGGCAATACCTCCACCAGTGGCGGTACTGCAGTCGACTCTCCGGGTTGATGTTGCGGATTTCTCTCCGATACATTATTCGACTGGGGCATGCTGAGTGGACTTTGTTGTTCTACATTGGGACTGAATCTGCCCGCTACCGGTTGTTCATGATTCGACGCTTCTGTTGCACTCCATGTTCGTTTACGCTTGACCATCGTGGTTTTCGATTGTATTATGTCGTTGATGTTTTGAGGTCTGAGGATGCATTGCTGTCGTCCTTTCTGAGAAGTCAGAAACAAATCGGATCTTCGGGCTGGTAACCCCGCATTGTCGGCAGATCTCTAGCCGGGCATGTCGGGGGATGGCCGATGACTAGTTACTCTATACTAAGAAAGGATATAAAACAACTAGCAAACGCCTTAGCCTTCGTACAAGAAAGTCTATTTATTTTATCCGTTGATGAAAGACCCACTCTCGACACAATCATGACTTCCTCAGTTGCGGCAAAGACCAGACCCCTACCTCCTGGAATCTTTTGTCCAGTAATATCCCTTTACAAATCAACACCTCGACAAGAAATCGACTATGAAGCCTCATACAAATACTTCTCCTACCTGATCCGCGGAGGCGTTGACGGCCTTGTTTTGGGTGGAACAACAGCGGAGGCAGTTTTACTCTCCCCATCAGAACGACAAGAATTAATCAAGACCGCTCGACGTGCCGCTGTAGACCTGGGGTTTGACAATTTCCCACTGGTAGCTGGTATCAGTGGACAGTCCACCAATGAATCGATACGTTTGACACAGGAAGCTCGCGAGGCAGGAGCAGATTTCGGGCTCTTGTTGCCCCCCAGCTATTGGGCTAAAGCTGTAACGAAGGACGTTATCATCGACTTTTACAAGGACGTTGCGAATGAAAGCATTCTTCCCATCGTCATCTACAGTGTAAGTTACGCCGCTTCATAATATCCACAGCTGTTTGAGAAGCTTACCGAGATATAGTTCCCCGCAGTTTGCAATGGAGTGGACATGAATTCGGATGTCATGTCGACGCTGGCCCAGCATCCCAACATTGTCGGTGTCAAGCTGACCTGTGGAAATGCGGGTAAGGTCACACGGCTTACTCAAGAGTACTCGCATGAACAGTTCAGTGTCTATGCGGGCTCATCAGATTGGCTCATTCCCTGCCTGAGTGGTGGTGGATCAGGTTGTGTCACAGGAATAGGCAATGTCTTCCCTAAGTCGGTCGCTCGGCTATATGCTCTGTGGAAGGAGGGAAAGGTACAGGATGCCATGAAGCTGCAGGGCTTAGTTGCACAAGCTGAAAAGGCCTGTAAAGAGGGTATCGCCCCAACTAAGTTTGCGGCAGCGCATTTTGCAGGGCCCCTGGCAGGCGTGACGGAAGCTGAGGCATTTTGGCCCCGAAAGCCTTATAAGCCGTCACCACAAGGTATGCAAGACTGGGTTGTGAATGTAATGCAACATTTAGTCGAGATGGAGAATTCTCTACCGGATGTATCTGGTCCCGGTAGGGCTCAATAAGAAACCATATGTAGCAAAACAGAATTAGCAAAACAAAATCAATTTAAATTCTTTCCAGCCTTTTGATATAAGAGACTTATATCTGTATCGTAAAGACTATAGCAGCATGTTCAGCAGCTGATCTATCGTTATTATCCTAGGTTTAGGAAAAGGAATAATGAGGTAGTATCTGCACAACATACCCCTACTATGATTATTGTATAGTCATATATATGTTATTGTAACCGATGAGGCCGGTATATGTAATGGAAGTATACATTCTGCGCAAGCAAGAATAGTCTAGATAGAGAAGAAATCATCTTTAAGCTGTACATACTTGATCCTTTGTCTCCAGAATGTGTACGCGATGTGAATCTTTCCTTCACCAAGCACCATACTCGGGTATGACAATTCGCGATTCAGCTTTTTCTCGCTGTTGTTCGTCATACAATACCCATCACCATCTTCTAGCACCCGTTGTTCCCACGTCTTCCCTGAATCATCGCTCCAGGCAACGCATAGGGGTGCCCGTGGTGCTCCCCAAAATGATTCCCTGCCATCTTGTGTAGATCCCTGATCTTGGCGATCGTCAGCGCCATCTCCAATGTCGTCGTATAGGCCCTGTCGACGTCCAGTGGCGTCCAGCTTAGATGAATGATTGTACACTAGCACAACCCTCCCAGAGGGTAGCACGTCAAAACAGATGCCCGCATTGGGGTTAGGAAGAATGGTAGCCTGTGGTGGGCTCCATGAAAGACCATTGGGCGATGTGGCCAGATATACGTGGTCCGCCCATCGACTTCGAAACAAACCAAGATAGGACCCGTCTTTCAAGCGCTGAATTTCCATATGAACACAGCCTGTACTTTCCGGGATAACTGACTCTGTCCAGGTATGTCCCTCATCCCTTGAGACGCGGATACAGGAGATATCGTTATTTCCTAGCCAACGCTCTCCTGGCTCTACTCGGCACTTGAAAACGGGAATCACCCATGCACCATCATCCAGAATGATGACTGGTTGGCGTATGAAAATACCGGAGTCTGGGAATAGAACTTCTTCTTTTCCCCAAGTGATTCCATCATCGTTGGAAACGCGATGCTTCACAATTGCCGAGTCTTGGTTTCCAGCGTGCTGTGACGTGTATAGAAGCCACAGAGCTCCGGCTGGTGTACGAAATAACACGGGGTTTTGTTCGCTACGAGTATTGTCGTGGGTCATTCGAATAGCTTCTGACCATGACTGCTCGCCCGATCTCAGACGTGATAAGTGGATACTGATGTCTGGTTTGCCTTCCATGCTGCCGCCGAACCAGGCGCAGAGGAGATCGCCATTAGGGAGTAACAGCAGGTTTGAGGCATGACTTTGGGCTGTGGCGCCGGGAAGATAAGCCTCTCGGTAAAAGTATGGCCTGGTGGTCTCGCGCACCAAAGTGTCTTGGGGAAGTGCTGGAGTTGACCCCATGTTCAAATGCACATAAATGGAATAGTTCTCCTTGCAATGAATGTTGCGCAAATGATTAAAGAGTTTCCTAACCTTAACCTTGCTCTTAACTGTATCCAACCAGAAAGCTTCGGTATATAATGACAGGATTGCGTGGCCTTCTGCCGAGGGGTTGTGATTCAAAAGCTTAAATTCTTTCGGCCCTCGTCCGATAGGTGATAAAAAGTCGGTGGATAGTCCGACCGTCTTTTACACGACTCTCCACATTTCCCCAGATCTTCATTCAGCGGAAATGTGGGGTTGGTGTCTGCAAGCTCAATGGGTTTGTTTGTTGCGTGCGATGATCATATGGAGTTGTTTAATCCATAAATGCCAGCATATCATCTACTATGAGCCTCGCTTCCGCTGGGCTTTTCTCATTGTCGAGAGGAGTCGTGGGCTTCGAGAATCATTGTTTCTATCAGAACGTCTATCAGTCCTTCGAGTTCTCCTCGTACCTCTGCATTATCCCCTGGATATTCATAACACCCGCATAACCAACTTATTATATAACCGCCATCCTCCATGGCAGGGGGTACTAGTATCTGGGCGAGCAAGGAGGCAAGAACCGACCCGAAGGAGATCTTTAATCTGAGGCTTCTTTATCTCCTTATATCGGTGGCCTGGGGTGGATGGTTCTATGGCTTCGACACCGGTAACATTGGAGGCATTCTCACTTTGCCTTCATTTGAAAATGCGTTCGGTCTAAACAACCTACCAACTGCAGAAGTTGATAATCGAAAGGTGCGATTTGCTCCGCCTTCCGCGCTGATTAAACCAGACTTTAATGAGGTTACAGGGAACGATTGCGGCAATGCTTGCGGCTGGTGGCTCCGCCGGAGCTCTCTGCGCTGCCCCAACATCAGACTTCCTGGGACGGAAATGGTCGGTCTTTCTGTGGGGATTTATATTTGTGGTTGGGGCTGCGATGCAGATGGTGGCTGATTATGATGTGCTTCTTGCCGGTCGATTCATTGGCGGGATGGGGGTGGGCGCCAGTTCAATGCTCACTCCTCAGTTTCTGGCCGAGAATTCACCTAAATCTGTTCGAGGATCAATGACTGCAACATATAACTTGATGATCCTAGCCGGTATAATGCTCGCCTTTTGGATTAACTATGGTGTCTCCCTCTGGTCATTCCCCGGCGTTGAACATGATAACACGCAATGGAGAACGTCAATGGGAATTCAACTCATCCCCGGGGCTCTGATGTGCCTGATGATACCATTTGTGCCTGAAACCCCTCGGTACTTGATTAACCATGGTCGCTCCGAGGAGGGAATCAAGAACCTATGCCGACTACGCAAGCTTCCTATCGAGCATCCCTATGTCCAAACGGAATACCAGGAGATCGAGGCGCAGGTACGATACGAGCAGGAATGTCATCAGGGTCACAGCTATTGGGTGGTGTTGCAGGACATCTTCCTAATCAAAAGCAACTTTCAACGGTTTTTCCTCGCTGTTATGTTGTTCCTGTTTCATAAGTTCACCGGCACAGATTCCTTGAATGTGAGTAGTCCTCTTGTGCAATTGCAGCGATCCAGGCTAACTGTATTCATCTCATAGTACTATGCACCTGAGATATTCGAGCTGATCGGTGTGAAAGGAAGTTCCAACACTCTTCTCACAACCGGTGTTTATGGCGTGGTGAAGTTTGTGGTGACCATCTTCTATGTCACCTATCTAGTGGACCGTGTTGGCCGCCGGCTTCCCCTGCTCGTTGGTGCATGTCTCCAAGCGACCGCAATGTTATACCTCGCATTATATCTCCGGTTTGCCGGAACTAACACCGATACTGTTGGAGGAACTCCTGCTGGTGGTATTGTTGGTATTGTCTGGATTTACATCTACGCCTTTGGTTGGTCCTTTGGACACAGCGTAGCATGCTATGTCGTCGCGGCGGAAATCTTCCCAACTCGGATCGTAAGCTATCCCTAGCCTCTCCTTCCCTTCTCTTCTAGGTTCAATTGACAACTAACTATACACTATTACAGAGGTCGGTCTGCATGTCAATTTGCTTTTTCGTCAACTGGATTGTCGATTACGGTATCACACGGGCTACACCGAATATGATTACTGAGATGGGATGGGGCGTCTTTCTGCTCTATGCGCTACTAACCTATGTCGGGGTGGTGTTTATCTTCTTCTGTCTACCCGAACTGAAAGGACGATCTATTGAGAGTATAGATGACCTATTTCAGAGGCCGCTGTGGAGCATGTGGCGACACGCATACCCCACAGAGGAGGAGAAAGTACGACAAGGTATTCCGCAATTGATGAAAGGTGGGAATGAAAATGAGAATGACAGAGACGGGGACAAGGATCGTCCAGTTCACATTGAGTCAGTCTAGGGTCTATGTCTACGGCTACTACTAGGCTTGGAATTCTCATTAAATTATGCGATACCAATATATCTTCCCGAAATATATTTTACCCATGTCAGTCACTGAGGAAAATTGCAATTGTATACTATTAAGAAACACTGTAGATTAATATAGGGCTTTGTGTACTGGAACCGCTTCCGGCCCTGACAAGCCATTTGACTACTACACCATGTTTTGTTTCTTGGATATACTTTACATCATCAAGGGTATTCTCGATATCATGCTCATATGAATCGCGTCTAGGAAATTAACTTGGTTACCTCTGTTTTCCATTCCCTAATTTGATTTTGGTCTATAACATGACAAAGGGTCAGCTGTAGATAGAATATATTTCCTACATGGTGTCTCAAACTAATAGTTGCGAAAGGTCAACAGAGTGCTACCCAATAATACGCTAGATATTGATAAATGGACATTTATCGGTCCATTTCCTAACGTTATTGAACATGTCATTAATTCGACACAGTGCCCTACCAGACAGAATAAGCCGGTGATGGAGCTTTTGCAACCGCCGGCCTTCTCTCCGATGCATCCCCGCACCATCAGCTAGACCCGGGGCAACGCGATATACGTGCAATATGGACAAACTTTATATTAAGTCACATATTGGTGGTCGTCCGAAGCTCTCCAGTGATCAAATTGACTTACTACATATCACACTATGGCAACTTTCACTCTCAATACAGGCGCCAAGATTCCGGCCGTAGGATTCGGGACATGGAAGGCGGCACCCGGAGAAGCTGCTGCGGCAGTCAAGACAGCATTCGAGGTTGGGTATCGGCATTTTGTAAGTTTGGTTGTGTTCTTTTGCTTTTGCTTTTTCTATTGCTTTGACTACAAACAGAGCTAACGTATAAACCCAGGACTGCGCTCCGTTATGTAAGTGTTGCCATAGTCAGGAAGATGGACATTTCCAGTATCTAATTCTACCTACAATGCAGACGGCAACGAGCGGGAAATTGGAGCAGTGTTTAAAACCACAAAGGTTCCTCGAAGTGAATATTTCGTCACGACTAAACTGTTAGTCGTTCACTTGCACCCTTAGACAAACGTGCTTACAATATCTAATACACGATCACAGATGGTCATCAGACCACCGCCGGGTCGAATCAGCACTAGATAAATCCCTTCAAGATCTGGGCCTCAACTATGTGGATTTATATCTCATGCACTGGCCAGTAACACTGGACCCATCCCCCAACCCAGCCGAATATGGCAAAGAGAATCGCAAAGTCCATGCAGCGGGCTGGGATTTCAGCGACACCTGGCGGGAGATGGAGAAGCTGTTGGGGACCGGTAAAGTGCGGGCAATCGGCGTGGCGAACTTCTCAACAGTGAACCTGGAAAAACTACTCAAGACGGCGAAAGTGGTGCCCGCCGTTAACCAGACTGAAATCCAGCCTTTACTCCCGCAGGATAAGCTGAATGCGTATTGCCGAGAGAAGGGGATTCATCAAACGGCGTTTGGACCATTGGGTGGGTCCGGGAGTACTTTGCATTCTCATCCGGATATTGTAGATATTGCGACTAAGAGGGGGTGTGATACGGGCAATGTGATGTTGAGTTGGGGACTTCAGAAAGGGTGGAGTGTTATTCCTAAGAGTACGAATCCGAGGCGGATTCAGGCGAATCTTGTGGGAAATGTTGAGTTGACGCCGGAGGAGATGGGGAGAATGGACGCTTTGGCTATTCCTAAAGGGAAGAGGTTTAATCGGCCAGATTGGGGGAGTGTTATATTTCATGATGACGCGGAGGTGAATTTGAAGGAGTAGGTACTAAATCTGCTTCAATATGCTGGAACAGAATATGTATATCTTTCACCAAGTGTACGCCATCTTAAATTCTAGCTCTGGCAGAAGAGACAACACTTGCTATGTTGTTATAACCTTGAAATTGTCTGATATCTGTTAGAATATATTGATACAAATGGTATTGCCATGGAGACAATCGGTTAAGGAACAATATGGGCCTGCCTGTCCAACATAGACTATTCACAGCGGTATACACCTGCCGAATTCGTATTTATCAGTTGAATCACAACACACTTTCACCTCTAGCATGTATGTTGACATTCACTATGTTGGGAAGTCACGGGGCACTAGGAGGCTCTGTAGCCTAAATCAGTAACAGAAGCTGCCTAAGCAGGCAGCAGTGTCAGGAGGTGAAAATTCTTTTCTTCCCCCCTCCTCTCTCTCCCTCCCACTCTATCTTCTACCAACACTGTCTTCTTTGGATCAGCCTAGTAGGCTATCCACTACAACTCTGTATCCTCTGGACCAGCCAAGTGGGCTATCTACTACGCTTCTCATCGCCTGCTACGATACTTCATCTTCTCCCATCTGTGCCTCCCCTGAATCAGTCCAGTGGACTCGCCTCTCGTCATCTGTACGCAGACGTCATCTGTGCACAGACGTCATCTCCATACATCATAGCTTGGCTAACTCTGACTTTTCTGGATCAGCCCAGTGGGCTATCCACCATACCTTTTGCTATCCCAACGTCCACGCAAAAATGGAACCTTCACGCATGACACGAGCTGTTCACTCTCTTACCCACCAGGCGTCGTTCAGAGACGCTGTAAACAGCATCCAGCAAGCTGTGAAAGATGCCCTTCCCTCAAAGAAGGGGTACGATTCTGTCTGCGTACTGACCTTGAGATGGGCAAATGACGACTTGGGACTTGCCGATATAGAGAAGGAACTTCTTAAATTCTTCTCTGTGGGTTATCATTACGCCACGGACTCCATTCTCATGTCCTCGCTGTCAATACCCGATGCACTTGATGATATTCGTGAAAGGATTGGGAAGCTGATCGCCAAGTACGATACCCCCACAAGCCTCTTTATCATTGTGTACGAGGGCCACTCGTCTATATCTCCTGCAGGGTTCAGTATATTGTAAGTATATTTCTTCTAGACGCTGATAGTGGACCAAACTAACTAACACAGTGGCACCACGCGTGGAAACCCTCCGACTCTTCTATGGGCACATGTCGACGCCGAGTTGCTGCGAATCCGCCTTGCGGACAAGTTGGTTATCCTAGACTCCTGCTTCTCGACCGCCGCCGCATTAGGTGGTGGCAACAACGAGTACCTTGCAGCGTCTTCCTTTGAGTCTGAAGCGTCTGGATGTGTGGAACGAAGTTTCACACGTCGCCTTCTTGATCTGCTGGGTAACTTGAATTGTCCCGAGATCACTGTGGCACAACTCCATGCCAAGCTAGTCAAACAGGCCAACAATCGTCATAGTGAACTGGACTATACCCCCGTGCACATTTCACACATGAATAAGCCATCCATTACACTACGTCCACTCGACAAAATGCCGAGAGAGGTGGCAGCGCTGAGAATGACAGGGGAACTGGCAGATGGGAAAGTCTTGATTTCGGTTCTCCTCGACGGGAAATCATCGATACCGAAGATTGGCGATTGGAAGAAATGGCTCATGACATCTATCCCGGAGGCTGTTGCTGATATCAAAATAGAAGCGGTCTTTGAATCAACATCTAGCCTCTGCCTAGTTACGATGCCGGTGGCTGTCTGGGACATGCTCAAGAAAAATGATGCTTACGACTTTGTGGCTTACGTGGAATCACACAATCTCCTCCTTCATCAGCCTGGCCCCTCAAGCATCTTAGAAGGTCGGGCGGGCAACGTGCAGCTTCCCACACGAGAAAAGTAAAAGTCCTGTATTCTCTGCCATCATCCTTGTTCGCGCTTGCTTTGCTGTAGTTTAGTTCTGCGTACTTCGAAGAACAATGAAGAAAGTATCTTGCTAATTCCTTTGAGGGATCGTTTTCTTTTGTTACCTTATGTAGTTGGTAGGCGTACTACCAATATAGTATATACTGATATAGACATAGATGAACGGTTAGGAGCAGTCAGTTGGATGGGAAGATGTGATTGTAAAGACTCCAAACAGCCAGATGACGGATGCCATGAGGGAGAAACACCGGGCGGTCTGCACCTCATTGACTGACTGATTGTAACAACACATACCACCCCTACTATTCTGCAAACAGGGGGGCGAACGTTTGACCCACCACACGGCGGTTCAAGGTTCTCACTTGGGTGAGTAGCATCTCTAGGACATCGTCCAAGAGCCTTTCGACCAAATTACACGGACTGATCGCGCACTAGAGCACTAATTGGCTGATTTGAACCTCTCCAAGCGTAACTACTAGGGATAAACCAAACGAATACCTCATTTCTCTGACCTGGAAGTCCGACTCTCGTCCACCCATATCAATACAGTGCCTCTTGATCGGGACATCCGATCCCAGTCTGAGCGACAATCCAGTATATAAAGAGCCAAAGCAGTCCGCGTGTTTCGTAATTTGAATATCTGTCGCGAGGCTGTATTTGACAATATAGCTGAACAGGTCATCGACCCGAGCAACGAATGTTACCCACACGCCTTCACACCCAGCAAACCCAACCAGCAACCGCCCTGCCAATGATCAGGCCTTCCTATACGTGAGTTATACCCTGGAAGCTCTAACTCGGAAAACGCATCCCCCTGAAGACCATTCGCCGTTCGTTCGAATGTGTGCATGTGGATGGATCACTGTCCGATATTTTGGGACAGATGAAGAAGAGAGCTTAAATCAATCCTTGATAGACCAAGACTCTCATGGATACACAACGTGCTGGAGTCAAGCTAGTTGTCCGCAACTGGCATGGTCTCACATTGGTATGTTCAATAATATCGGATAACAAGTCATTCATCTGGAGCCTTGACTCTATTTACGAAGGCCGTACGTGCTAGACAGCCAAGTAGGAATGCCGCGTTTTTGACAACATCATTACCAGCCAATATAGTCGCGATTATGATGTTAGAATGCAGTAATACTGATTGTTGTTTACTTAGTGGGTTTCAAATCTCAACTGCTTTGAATGCCAACTACATCGGAGTCGTGCTTTCGGCCTGTTTGTTAGAGACAGGCAGAGGGATGTCCACAAACCAAAATACAACATGAACAGGGCTAAAGGACCATTGTGAATAACGTTGTGGAAGAGCAGAGACAAGATGGGCATGGCGAGGACACACTCGCAAATAATACAAGGCCGCCGCTCTGAAAAGCAATCATTTTCCGCTTTTTCTCCACCTTCTCTGCCGCCCACTCAATTTGCTTAGATTGCTAACGTCATCTCTGCCTGAAATGTTGAACTACGTAAACATTTTACTTGGTTGATTTGGTCTACATAAATTGCTTTGCTGGCACCTGTCGCCCCATGAGTCTCAAGATGCTTGGCGAGATTTCAACCCCAAGTTTTCCACTGCTCATAAAGAAAGGCGATTTATGAGGCAGGCAATTAGTAGTAGTGAAATACATGACAAGAACGTTAAGGAAAATGAAAATTAATACAGAGTGACAACTTTGGATCGTTGTACCTTTCAGAAAGGTGGTTAAAGGCATTTGCAACAGTAATAGCTCTTCTATAATGATCAAATATAATGAATGGAACTCATTAAATATAACGCCGTGCACATATCACTAAATAGAGCCTACAAGCTGAAGGAAATATTAGTGGACTGGGCAGATGAACAAAAACGGCTAGAATTATATGAGGTATGATATATAGAGCAACATCTTGGATACATTGAAATGTGAAAAAGTAAAACAAACGGAGATAGCTAATGAACCACGAGTTATACAAAAGCTTGTCATTCAGGATATAAAGGTAATTTAGCAGTCTTGTCCCATAGACGGAATACCGTAGGGTGTTGCGTAATCTGGAACGCCTGTGTGTCCTGTGGGACCACCTTCCCTTAGAGGAGTTGTGTAGACTCGTGGCTGGTTTGCATGCAGAGCTGCAGTCTGTGGACGAGCTTCTATTTGGCACATCCGCCCATCAGTAAATATACTCCGGTTATTGAACTCGAGTGCGATGCACTCCCGCTTACCTGGGCCCGTATAATAACTAAAGTCTTGGCCCATTGTAGTCATAGATGTTGACGAATGCCTAAAAGTATTCCCAGATATCTGCTTGGAAGGATAATCTGGAGAATGAGGAGGAACGGACTGGGGATAATCCCCCGGCCGCGATGCTGATCGCTTCACCCACGCCCGTGGCTTCTTTCGGAGCCTCAACTTTACACCCTGGTCTACGAATGACCTTGACAGGCAAGTTGAGTCTGCCATTCCAGGAAAGTTTTTTGGGCGGTACACGGTGAAGCAGTCTGACATGATGGACTTCAGATGTGTGACGATACCCTTTCCCATTTCAAACAGTGTGAACTTGAGCCGAAAGTATCCTTCAACCTTCACAGACAGGTCCCCAAAGACGAAGAAACCCGCATCGCTGTTACCCTGGTCCTTCAGTCGGTGAAGTGATGAGACCAAGGTACCGGTCAAAGTCGTGGATGGCGGTACGGGAACTGGAATGTCATTTAAGGGATCTAACAGGCTGCAACACATAAAATAGTAGGGACTTTGGAGATAGTGTTGAGCAAGGTAAGATCCTTCTTCTCTTACTCGCAACTGCACGATCGGTTGGGGATCAACCGGTCTGCGGTCTTTCTCCCTCGCGCCGGCTACACGCCCACGAGTCGGCTGCTGGCGGATGATTAATTCAAAGTCAGAACCGGGGGACGACATATTCAGCGTGGAGGCTTCGGAAGCTCTGAGTCTTGCGAAGAAGAGAATCGTCCGGAGGCGTCGACGCACTCAACAAGGCGAGGTATTAAACGAGACGGACCAAAAAGAATGGAGAGCCCAAGGATTTCGATCGGGACACCCGTGGATAACACTTGGGTAACCAGAAATAAAGGAAGACACTGAGAGGAAGATACGTTGGGTAGGAAGAGAGATCGTGTGGTTGTGCCACAAGGTAGAACTCTGGAACCTGCTACTAAATCTAAAAGGCCATGCTGTCAGAATGACATTGGTGTGACTAGGAGGTAATAGGACCTCCGTCAACGGACCCTGAACTGCAAAGATATCTTGGCTAAGTGAACCCTATTGGGGTTGACCACCTGGTTTACCATGCCAAAAGAGTCTTTTGCTCCCCGACGAATGCACCGACTATGAGGTCTTGGGTCTGTAAATATCAAAGTTAAGGGCCCATCGCAACTAGAATGATAGAGCACGTTGATCCAGGATTACGCCGCCACCTGATATCAGTTATGTACTCGCCTGCCCTAGTGATAAGACAGTCGCGCGCCCGTATGGGTATTGCGCATACTACATCTGTAAAAGGGTCCATACTTGCAGGTTTCCGGACAATTGAAAGGACTAAAAGGCACCTTGCATCTGACCTCTCTCCCTTTTTCCATTTTCAAGAATCCTGCCCAACAGTTCATTGTATTACTTCCATCGTGGACTATGGCAGTCATTTTTCAATCGTATTCTAGTACTTTGAAGCCGTAACCGCGTACGGAAGTGTCATACGATGGTCTGAGACAACTCCATCCTGAAGTTGGAAGGGGTGGGATGTGTTGTAAATGGCTTAAGATGGCCCCGGGTTATAATTTGATAAAGAGTGAAGGAAGGGTGGCAAGGAGGTCATACAACAAAATGGATTCGCTGTCAGGTGAATTTCACATTGTTATGGTATTATGTTTGGTAGTATTCTAAGTACTCTGGTAGTTTCCCAGCCTATGGAACCTTACCATAAATGCATCCTTGTTTTCATCACACCAAAGATTCTTAGTATGGTAGGTTTGTGAGAGTGAGCTCCAGGGCCTATCATAACATTGGAGGCTAGCTCTTGTTAATGCCTTGTTTAAGGATACCGTTCTTCATTTTTAATTATGACAAAAGGGCCTGGAGGCTGAATTCGTTGACTAGATTGATTATGTTGCTTGGTTCTATCAATATGACTTTGGGAAAGAAATCGCTTAGGAAGAACAGCAGCGCTAGCCTAACTAGGCAGCGTCAACAAATTATATTTCCTCTGATGAGCGGTCCGATGTATACCCTTCTCCATGGCGAAGACATTGTGAACCTGGGTTAGTTGATAAATGCAACCAACCTGAGTTAGCAGACGGACCCAAGGCGAAAGGGTTGAGACTGTGAGCCTTTGGGTTGTTCGTCGTGCTAGATACCTTGACAATACTGAGCCCATCTCGTCCTATGAATGTGAGGCCAGTACACCCGTCTTCAAAATACATTGACCAGGGGCACTCATCCTTTGTGCCTAGAAAGGGTGTGAATGCGAATTAAAAAAGGCCAGTACCCGCAACAGGGAACTTGGTCTGAAGTTCGGACGTCTTGATGCCACTGTGGCTAGCTAGAGAGCGACTCTATATCTCGTAGTCAGTTGCGAATAGATGACTGTCAGTGGTCTTTCGTGTTAGGTTGATCATGACGGATGTCTATGTCTTGAACGAGCCAGCCACCCTAAGGTCCTTTTATTGTACACTCACAACATACTTGCTGCCCCTGGTCAGGTCATTTTCTAAGAACCGTTTGCATTCGAACCTTAGTATTGGGTCCGAAATAGATTCTTGGATTCAGTACCGATTGGCCGGCGTTAAGACTTATCGTAGAAGTGTGGGTCGGCTGATGGTAGACCTTCTCTACTACTTCCAATGCCTGGTCTGCCAGCGAAAATTTATAAGGCCAACGAATCTAGCTAACAGTTCCAAGCACTCTACTTGATGCTGAATATAACGTAAAGGAACCAACCGAGGGTTAAGGCTGGGTTCTTATCGATCTTCACACTCCACATGTCTTCACAGCGCGGTGCATAGGTCCTCCTCAGGTTGCAAATGGCTGATCTAACACTGACTTTGGCGTCGGTCTCGGTATTATTTTGTGACCGAATCATACCAAACCGACCATTTCTGGCCCTGGCCTCGCAAAACTTGTTTCGGATTGTTCCTCCCATGGAGCTGGCTGTACCCTGCTATAATTTTAATGCGATTTATATCAGATACGGTATCACTGATTGCGCGTCACGTAAAACTAGTCATTTGAACTTTTGTTTATTCATAGACCTTTAATTCACTGAGCCCGCGAAGATGTAGATTGAGGTATGTTAGACTGAACAGGGTCGTTGCCGGACAAAAGTACGCTCCCCGGAGCCAAGAAATTATGCTCACCTGATCTACGTACGGTACGGCGGACTAACCTGATCGGCGTTGTGCTACCTAAATAAAGAATGAAAATCAGGGTCGCCCTTGTCTCCGGTCTAAGACGACGGACTCCGATGCGAGTCAATCCCACACATGAAGCTTCGATAGCACAATGCACAATCAGAATAACGTTAACGACCAGGAATTGGAGGTCCAAGGATATACTAGGGTAATGACCCGGCGCTTCTCGCCGTTGTCCCTTTGTCTCTCGGCTTTGCCATGACAGCAACTTGGAATGGCTTTGGAAGCGCCACTGAGACAACCCTCGCGAAGGCTTCCTCATCCGGCACGATTTGGACCTTAAATATTGCCGCTATGATGAACTTGGTCGTCTCTCTCGGCATGGTAGAGCTCGTATCAGCTTATCCCAACTCCGGCGGACAGTATTGTTGGGCGTTTTGTGCTGCGCGTCCAAACTGGCCACCCTTCGCTTCCTATATGCAAGTAATGATCCTATCTACTACGTCTTCTCAAGTATTTTGCTTATTTGTCACTCTTCTTTATATATAGGTCTGCTTGTGGGAAGACCTGCGGGTGGTGGCTCGGTCTAGCGAGTGTGTGCAACCTTGCTGCAGTTATGGTGTTAGCTATGCTCCACCTGGGCGTTGATGGTTATATTGTCCGTCCATGGTAGGAATGGCTATGTTATACATTCGTTCTGTGGCTCGCCGTTGTGTTTCATATATTTGGAACACGCTTTCTCCCCCCATCTAACAGAGCTTTAGGAGAGTCCAATATATTCAGGCGGACAAGATAGCTTGCTCAGGTTACCTGGAGTCTACTTCTCGTTATCGACGCTTTCGATAAGTGCCAGTGTTATCCTTGGATGTGCGGCCCCCAACTTCCAGTCCACAACATGGGCATTTGGGGATCTGAAGAGCTCGAACGAGTCTTATGGCAAGGGATTCCTTCTTTTTGGTGCTTGTCCAACAATACGTATGACTTTATTGGCACCGATGCAGGTGCTCATCTCGCAGAGGAGATCTTTTCGCCATCAACCAATGCACCCAAGCTGATAGTATGCGTCTGAATACTATGCTCCAACCCGGTATGCATATCACGGCTAATGGACGGAAACACACAGGTATACCCGATTATAATTGGACTACTAACAGTTACTACTGTATAATTCAAACTTAACCCGCTCGCATTAATAGCCTAAGCTCCTGACGTCCCGAGAATGGCCATTCGCGGTGGCATGCATGTATGTCATTGTCGGCATTGAGAGAGTCGTGAACCCGCCAAGTGGGATCGGTTTAATGGAAATTTATTATCCAGGAACAGGCAGCAAACCTCTCACCATAATACTCTTAGCGGTATTCTAATTTTACATGTTCGAATGCGTTGTCGCCAACATCACAGGGTTGAGCGGTCAAACCTGGGCCGCATCAAGAGACAACTGCTACCCCTTATCGACTTGGTTGTCGCAAATTCATCCGCAGTTCCAAATACCTGTAAACGCTGCCGTCCTGTCGGCTATTTCCACCACGGTAGGGAGCCTCCTGCATCAATCCATGCAATGCCAACATGGCTGACTATCCTAGCTCTACGGTCTGATCTATGTAGAATCAACAACGGCGTTCACGTCTATGGTAAACGCCAATATCGTTTGTATGATGACTTCGTATATCATCCCTCACGATATCGTGGCCTGGAGGGGCCGTTCTACAGTGCTTCCAGGGTGGCTATTTGACCTTGAGAAATGGGGACAGCTGGTGAATGTTAGGAGCTGTTTGTGAGTTGGTGTGTTGGGCGTCGTGGCCTGATTTCCTACCAAGCTCCCCGTCACTGCTTCTAACATGAATTGGGTTAGGTGAGAGAGGCCTTGCCTTGATGAACTCTATCCGCTTCAGTTATTATTACCAGAGAATGGGGATAGTAATTTCAAGTTTCTTGTAGTATAGTCATCCTGGCTGTTACCGCCTACACTATCATGACTTGGCGTCTGTGGCAGCAACATGTGTTCAAGGGACCAGGTGTGAATTTGCATATGCAAGAGCAATGTTCACTTCTGGCGAGGGATAGCAATGATGGCTTCTCCAAAGAGGTGAAGGGTGAGTAAGAGCCCTGGGCTACGTAATAATGATTAGCAGGAGGCATTTGGGCAACAATTAGCGTTGAAGTCTACTTTCAGCTTTTAATTAACTTGGCCTAAGCGCTGTCTCGGGCGTTTCCACGTTCCTCTATTTTCAGTCCATACCAAACTAAACAAAGGCCGTTCTGATGTCTCCAACAGACATCACTTCCAATGGTCAAAGTGAAAGGAAAAGATGAAATATTGTCCTAACATTCACCTAGATTCCATAGATAGATAATGCAGCGTCAACATTCATCTCTTGTATGTCCTGTTATACACCAGAGCCTTGCATTTGTACGCCAAATGCCTCATCGTAGCTGACTAAGAAGGAGTTGTAGCGTAGTTAGTTATGCTATCACCCTCTAGCACTCTCTATAACAATAATTTGGGGAGTTCGTACAGTCGGACAAAGCTCACATGGAGCTTTGCACTGTCATGCTTACCCCGCTGTGGTCTACATGTCCAATGTGATATTTCCCTTCTGTCAGTTAGAGTTCCAGAACAATCAGAACTTCCCTTCACCCTTATGCGTGGCCTGGTATTAGCTACAACTGTTAATGTGAACTAACCTGAACAGGGCGCTCATCACTGCCCATTAGTGAATATATCAGTATCTTTTCATCGCTCGACCGTATCATGGCGATATCAATGACTCACGCAGACCTTCCAGCATTCACCCCAATCGAGGTCCGGCGCTGCTTAACTGATTACGAATTCAATGAATCGATGTCTGTGCCCAAATGCCTAGTCCTGGCCTGCCTATATAAAGAGCCTCCCTCCCCTCCTCAGACAGCCTTCCTTTCCCATACTCATCATCTCTCATTAGCTACCTTCCTAGTCCTGGACTCTGTGCCTTTGTCTATTGTCTTCTTCCCAGTCAGTCGCCCTTGACTCACTTCGAGCCTACATAATCCTATAATCCCCCCACCCCCCCGCCCACAACACCCACTGCTGTCGGCTACCTGTGTTCCTTATTCATTCTTCTTTCCTAACCGTGACTTCTTGCTCTGGCCTTCATACCACGGTCCAGCGGACCTGGTAATACACCAGATATATCTCATCACCCACATCGTGTGCGATTTTCCTTCGTTTTCCTACGTCCCTACATTATTCTGTTTTCCAGTATGTCTACCGAGTTTCGATCCGAAATCATTGAATTCTCCCGTAATCTGCAAAGCAGCTTGGGCTGGTATAATGCGTTTGAACCAGATACCCACGGGGTCTTGAGTGGTAAGCCGGAAAACCTTCGAAAACACCGGGAATCATGTATCACACTTCACGGATATCAGAGCTTTGAGTGCGAGGTGATCTGCGCGTTTTCACTGAGGCCTGTGTCGGCAGACAAGTTTCGGGACTTTGGAAACACAAACGACACCACATTTCGATTTGCTCTCACAGGAGGCAATGAAACCCCTGCCTTCCGAGTTAATCTTTGTTTGCAAGGGAAGAAACGTGCCTGGTACTTTCGTCTCCTTTGGACCGCCTCAGGCGAAAAGGGCTTTCAAACCGCACGACCAGACAACGTCGCAACAGAAATCCCAGCGCCAGGTTTCTATACCTTCTCAAATCGCCTACAAAGTGTGCAATGGATGGGTGGTCCAACCGAGATTCTGAATGAATACCTCGCTCAGCTGACCCGCGGTAAGGCGGGAAGTGAATACTATCAGGTCTATTGGACGCACAGCCAACCCCCAGTAGCTTATGGATTTGATGTGCCGCAAAATATTGACGACGACCTGTCAACTGCTCAAAAAACGACACTCCACTTTTTCCGCCGAGCAAGGGACCCTGACATGTCCATTAGAATAGCAACAAGGGCACGGGCAACGTTAATGGATGCTTGGAAGAGAATGTGCGCAATGCCGGTGCCAACGTTTGCGGCATACCCGTTGTACGACTGCCGATATGTTGTCGAGCAAGCAAGGTGCGCACGGATGCGCAACATTCCTCCGATTACAGATCCACTCGTCGAAGCCCATCATCGCCGACGAGTCAAAGGTTGGATGAACACGCCACCCGGTTACGACAGAGTGACAGCTATCGTGAGTGTGCCGGTTAAGTATGCCTTCATCAACGAGCGGGAATATGAAGTTATCAGAACTATTGGCTTGCGACGTGAAGCTGAGCACCAGAAATCGCAATACATCGGCATCTTCAACCACGAGTATGCATTCGACATATACCCAGTGTCCACGATACACGGGAACCGAAATCCTGTGATGGATGAATACTTCTATGGTTTGCTGGAAGTGACGCCGGCCCCTGGGGCCGCGTCAAATACCTTCACTGAGCAATCTCTTGCCATCCCTGAACCCGGTACCTACGTCGTTGTTACTGAAAGACGTCGAGCTGCGAGTAGCAGCGCTGGAGAAAACAAGTGGCCTGGGGTACTCATTAACCCACCAAAGCTCCCTCCGAATATCACAGTACCACCAAACTTTGTATGTATCCGAATCAAGCGACCCGAGCGATCTGACGCAACCGGTAATGTGCTTCGCCTGGAAGGTAATGTATCCTTCGGACGAGAAGAGGCAGCCTTTGTTCAGTTGAGCAATGCCATCCAAGCTGTAATGTATGGGAACAAGGACCTGGGGGTCCCGAGGAACAACCCGCTGAAGACGCTGCTGCTTGGGCGGGACAACTACACCATCTGCCTGCACAGAAAGCTGGAAGCATTACCAACAGACGCCACTTCATACCTTGACAGAATCAGGCATCGGATGAATGTCGAACAGTACCAAGCCGTCGAATCAGCTCTGTCCGTCGGAGAGACATTCAGGGAGCTCGTCACACTGGTAACTGGACCGCCAGGTACCGGCAAAACCTCGGTGTCCGCAAGAATCGCGTTGTACCATTATGAAACTAAGAAACCGCTGCTGATCGTATGCGGTTCGAACCAGGGACTTGACGTGATCTCGAAGAGAATTTTGAAGAGTCTTGGATTGTCGAACGAACTTAGTGGTCCCGTAGGCATTTTTCGATTGGACACAGAATATCAGGAGGAGGCGGAAAGCCAGTTCGCACCTGGCATCCAAGCTGGATCTGACACCGAATTCGTCTCCAAAATCCGCTCGGACCTGGGTCAGTTGGGTATTTCAGATGAAGAATTTAATTTACTCCGGTCAAGTGTCGAATCATCCACTAGTAAGGAAAACAAGTTGTCTCTTGGACATCATATCATCCAGCGTCTTGACTACGCCAAATGGTTGGGGTCCAGGTGGCTTGAAAGTGAGGACGAGGAGGTGATTCTATTGTGGACTTTCCTCACGTATCAGGAGGCACTTGCCAGGCGCGGGTTTTTATTTTTAGAGGACGTCTCAGAAGGTGCGGCTGACTATCGTCGTGCAGTGGTAAACGCCGCCGACACGCTCGTTGGGGAAGATTCGGCAGAAATGCTGGCAAATCTGATAACTCGACGGAAGGCAGCATGGAGGGAGCTCCAGCGGTTCTACCTGAAGAGGGCCCGGATTGTGCTCTGCACGGCCAGCACAGCCGGCCGCAAGGTGCTTCAGGGGTTTTTGCCCCTCGACGGTAATAGTCGAGGAGGCTTCCCAGTTAACCGAAGCGACCGCAGTGAATGGTATCGCTCGCTACTTGGGGTCGGTTAAAAAGATTGTACTCAGTGGTGACATCAGGCAGTTGGGCCCAACTGTCACGTCCATATACGCCAATGAGTTCTATGATTTCGAGAAACTATCCCTCTTTGAACGCCTCCTCTCCCAAGATGTCCCAGACGTCAAACTCCTTCGCCAGTATCGCATGACACCCCAAATAGCACAATTCCCCAACAAAGAGTTCTATGGTGACCGCCTCGTGACCGACCCTACCGCCGACACGCACTGTATGGAGTTCCAGGCGGTAATGAAGGAGCGCTACGGTGTAAAATCCGGAGATTGTTACTTCTTGTCTATTACGCACTCTAGTTTGTGGCGGCGCCGAAATGCGTCGTCAATGTTCAACCCAGAGTACGTTGCGGAGGTGACAGAATTGGCCCGCGCCTTCATTAATGCCAGCATCTGCCAGGAAGATATCCTGATCCTCTCCTATTATTCAGAGGAAATTCGGGTGCTGAAACAAGCAATTCATGGTATACTCAAATACGGTGCCGTCGAGATCAAGTCTGTCGACTCCGCTCAGGGTAGTGAGGCGAGGGTGGTCATCCTCTCGACCACTCGGCCAGGGGGGAGTCTCGGAATGGGGTTCGTTGCCGACCGACAGCGGCAAAACGTCGCAATAACTAGGGCACGCCAAGGTCTTGTCATTGTCGGCCATGCGGGGATGGGTAACTCCTCCTCGGCGGCGGCGCAATCCTGGGTCAAGCTCGTCCAGCACTACCGTGAGAATGGCCGCCTGATCTCCACCAAAGGCAACCGACATAACCTGGTGAACGCGCTTAAGATCCCGAATGAGAAAAATTTCACGCAAGTAACGGCCCGTTGACATTTTTTAATTCTTTCCTTATCTCTCGCTCTTCTTTAATGGTCGGTTTGTTCTTTTTGGCTGAGATTTTATTTTTTGCTGTTTATTCGTGGGGTGCTTTGTGCAAATTTCTTTTCTATATTTTAGTAATCATGCAATTCCAGCTATTTCGTTTAGGTATTCCCCCCCCCCCATCCGCTTAAACTTTCCTCAGTGATGTAGATCGTCATCAAATACTCGTAGTCTGACAACAGCGTGGTGCCTAGCGTAAATCCATAGCAATAGTATTCGTATCCGTACACCCTAACAGATGTCGGATGCCCTAGGTAGTCACCTAGCGCTGCCGCTTTCCACTGCCTAAGCCCAAGCAATTTGGTTCGACTCGTTCCACGATGATAGTCTACATCCCGTCCTAGAGAATGGGCGGCCAATCAAGTAGCCGATGAGCATTCGTTAACACTTACACAAGAAAAGGTATGTCTTTGAGGTCCAACCAGTTATCTACGAGGAGGTTCAAGGAACGTGGAATGGATTGGGTCCAGTTGAGTGAGGTAATATTTGATCCAGCTGAATCAGGCTTGGGGCGGTCTAATTGGTGTAGCGTTAGTCCAGTCAGAAGCTCAGGTGCTGGATACTATACTGATGGATTGCAGGTATGTTCGGACCACTGGTTACCCTGAACAAATGATCTTCAGCACGGTAAGGAGCACTCTTTGAAAACTCCGACTTGGAATCATGAAATACCTTGAATAACCACGTCAGCGGCGGGTCTAGCTACGTCAGTTGTTCGAGAGCCTGAGCTAGACCATCTTTGCGTTTGCTTAGTACTCAACGCCCTTAGATCTCGTATGTAAGTGGCCTGAGGGTCTGCGTAGCTCATGGACGGGTACGCACTATGAATCATTGAATCAGTTACATAGCTGTAAATACATGGAGCATCAACCTGACCATGGAACCTTTGCTGCAATTGTTTCTTCATCATGTTTCCCCCGAAGATCAGAAGTTGCCCCTTCCCGGGCAAACCCATGCTAGTCTCCATTTATAAGCTAGTTCCAGGAAGATGAAAAAATATTGGGTCTTGATGGATGCCGAACTCACCTTCTCCACGGACAGACGTCCTAGGGTGCCAATGATTAGACCTTATTAAAAGTATACCGTCTGCAGGGGCCCACATTTAGGCTTAAGGGGAAGCTTTCTCGGCCGCGTTTAAAACATCTTGGCTCCGCGCCGAGAACGACTCATACAAAGTACATGCTGCGGGCCGCCAAGAATTTCCAGGGGAATATTTTCAGGTCGGTATGGTGAATCTAAAGGATTACTAGAATGGAACAGAGCCGTACTTGATGATTTCGGTCACGCATGTATCCCCGTCGGCTTTAAGAAAGGCCGCAGCGCCCGACAGCCCACTCGAAACCATCGCCAAGCGCGGATGCCCCAGCGAGCTATAGTCTATGATGTTTCTAAAGACTTTCTGTAAAAAGGTGGAGTTGCCAGTTCGGATTTAAGTATCATTCTCGAAGCGCTTGGTAAGCAAATAAGCAGCACTCTGCGATAGAACAATATGGATCAAGGCATTGACATTCTTCAACACTGGTGCATAGCTGTATAAATGGGACGTGCAACCCCCGTTGCCAAGCTACTATTGCAAAAAGCTCATACTTTATTTCATATGTATAAACTGAAGAACTCAACATGATCATCGCATTGGTAATTGGCGGCAACTCAGGCATCGGCGAAGCTGTGGCACCACAGCTAGCGCGCCAACCGGATCATCATGTTATTCTGACCGCGCGAAACCTCGAAGCTGGCCAAACGGTCCCAGCAGCTCTAGTCAAAGAAGGCTACTCGGTATCTGCCGTCCACCTTGATCTGTCCTCCGACGTGTCTATCTCCGCGGTTACCAAGCATATCCAGGAGGCTTACGGCAAACTGGATATCCTTGTCAATAATGCCGGGATTGCCGTCGACCACCACTCTGATCTGTCTATCCGGGAGAATCTGAGTATGACTTTCGATACGAATGTCTTCGGAACCGCTGTCCTGACCGATGCACACCTTGACGTTCTCCGTCAGTTCACTGCACCACGGGTCGTCTTCGTTTCCTCTAGCGTTGCCTCACCTGCGCTCTCGAATGACGAAAATTGGCCGTATTACCATACCATCTCCAAGTCCTACAAAAGTAGCAAGGCCGCTGTGAATATGCTCGTCCTGCATTATTCCAGGGCTCTTCAGGATGTCAATGAGCTAGTTGATTCGGTATGCCCTGGGTTGGTTAAGACTACGATAAATGGATATCAGATGATGGGGTGACACCGGACCTTGGTGCGCGCAGGATTGTGGAGCTGGCGTTGCTGGGTGCTAATGGGCGTACTGCCACCTTTTTGGATAGGGATGGACCTATCCCTTGATGAGAAATAACGTTGTTTGCAGACTATTAGCAACACATGTCAAGACACAATGTAGACTTGATTTCGCGAATAGAAGAAAGAACAATACGATTTAATTTAGATTTGCTGTAGCCATGCTACAACAGTGGAATATGGATATAGAGTCATGTGATTATTCTTATCATTGGTTGCATATTATTCGTGGTGCTGCATTGGTCTGAGGTTTGTAATAGAAGGGTTTTGTGGACACTAAGACTCTTAGTGAGTGCTGCATGGAAAGGATAAGGGGGACTAATCAGTATGTGGGCCATCACACACGAATTAAAAGCACTAGAAGTGCCGATGATGGGGCAAACATCAAGACAATAAAGGTCAGTATAGCGGAAATGCACACGGGAGTCTTTGGTCCGTGGAACAATCCATGGATCACTAACAGAACTATCGGCCTTTTTAAAGGCGCTCAGGACTGTGTAAAGATGGGCCATGCGAAAATTCTTCGAAACCACTTAGCATCGGAGTTTAGCTCGACTATCAGAAGCAAGGAAGAACAGCAAATCACTCCCAGGCAGGAGGACACCGACCTAGCTATCATCAAAAGGGCCATTGAGATCGCTGAAAAGCGCAGCTGGCCAATATATCATGTTGCGCTAACATAAATTAACAAACGCGTCACCAGCCCCAGTATAGGCTTCAGCAGCATTAAGAGACTACAGCAGACAATTACAATTCGAGGGAAAGAGCTGACAATGGAGGAGGGGATATATCTCAAGGAACTGTATAAACCCAAAGCATTTATTGTTGCCGAGTCCCTTTAGCAATCTCTCCGTGACAGAGTTAAAGTTAAGATCTAGTATACGCATTTTCTATACATACGGGGTTCTCTCACGATGGATAATTTTTACGCTGTAAAATAGAGCTGTTGGCCCCTATTTCTTCGAGGGTATAGCCAGTAACACACTTGAATTAATAACTGAGTAAAAGGCGACTCTCATCTAGTCACATTCCGCGAAGGTAGGATTTCTGGAGAAAAACAGTTCGATAGCAAACCGCCGCCCAACTATATATTTTACCCTGCACTGTCCTGCTATTCATCTGCCGAGACGTAGTCACAATGGCCAAAGAGCTATTCAAACGCTATCATGCAACCTTAACACCAGCGGGCAGCCCAAACACCTGGTTATTAGCTTCGAAGCCGCAGGCCGAAACACCAGCGTCCTCCGTCAGGCAACTACCAGAATCAGTATTCTTTAGATTACCCGTGAGCGCATAAGACCATTTCTGAGCGTCACTCTCTTTGCACTCCTGCAGAGAAATAGTTTTGCCGTCTGTCGTGAGACACTTTGATTGCTCAGATAATGTACGAATCACCCCCGATGCGTCAACCTGCCATATTTGCGATTTGCTCCCGTTGCAAGATTCAAATCGCACGGCCGATGACGTGCCCGTAAGGCACTTCCCGGATGCCGTGTTGAAAACTATTCCGGTCGGTATAGCTTGGCTGCATTTCTCATCGATTTCTATTTTGTACACGGCCGTTGCATGTGTGTTTAACTGAACATGTATACCATCTTTGATGGTTTGGGTTGAGCCGTCCAAGAGGTCCTGTGCTTCATATGTACAATCAGAGGAGAGGCCTAGTATGTCCAGAGTAATATCAGTTTCGACGGAATCACTACCATGGTTCAGAATGGTGGCCAATCTGGAACCGTCGGCAAGATTCCGCGTTAAGACATCAAGGGAACTATCGCGACTGGCTAATGTTGCCTGTTGAGCTAGTGGATCCTGATCGACCTCAATCAAGGCTTGATTCTTTAGGTACTCCAAATCCTCAGCAGACAGGTCGGGAATATGGGCACTAATAATCAAGGGTGCGGAGAACGAAGCCCAGAGAGCGAATTGGGATCGCTTTTCCTCCAATGAGAGCCCCGGATGGTCAGCGATCAGGAAGTCAGGGTCATTGTAGTATCCAGGACGTTGGTACCGAGCCACCAGCGTATTGAACTTATAGTTGGTCATGATGCTGTCCCAGGCACTGCCATCTCCACCGTAGACGAGAATATCGACCGAGTGTCGGGCAAGCTCTCCGTATCCAGGAACCCAGTCCATGACAGTATACCAATCAGTCAGATTGTCTGTCATAGAGAAGTACGCAGGCGCTGACTCCGAGAATATTAGTGGCTGCTGCATCTTGCCGAGTACCTCGTGCCAATGGCCGTAGAGATATTTGTATTCCTCCTGCAAAGTGCGGCCTTCTTTCGGATAGACATTACACCCATCCAACTTGAGATAGTCGATCCCCCATGCCGCGAATGTCTCTGCGTCGATCTCCTCGTAGCCCTCGGATCCAGGATAGCCGCCACAGGTCAGATTCCCTGAATCCTCATAGATGCCGAAATTGAAGCCTTTATCTTTAACGTATTGTCCAAGCCAGGGAAGACCGCGTGGGAACTTGGTGATATTCCATTCGAGTGATCCATTCTCCGCGCGATCATAGTTCATCCAGCAGTCGTCAAGATTTATACGGTTATAGCCCGCTTCCAGTAAACCGTTCGAGGCCATTGCATCCGCTGTGTCGACAAATAGGGTCTCATTCAGCTCGCACATGAATCGGGCCCAGTTGTTGAAACCCATGGGCGGCGTCGCCAGTAGACTAGGGTCCTCAATAGAGGCAACCACCTGGGCTGGCATGGTACTGGCCAATGCAGTCACTAGCGGTATCCATTTTGCTGTAAATCGCATATTCTCCGGTGTGTTTCTATATATACACAATTGATTATGCAAGAACTCAACTCAGATATGAACTTATAGGTGGTACCTCTATTGATCTTGAAAGGCATCCTGGAACGGGCAGGATTTATAAATCATGCATTGCCAAATCGACTGATAAGTAGCGGGGTAAGCAAACACCGATTGATAACTCAGCTACTACATATAACCAGGGGGTGAGGGTATTAATTGGCCGAATGCGCCGATCCCCGCACCATATCGAAGATCTACATACTCCAATGACACCTTCAGTAACCTTTGCCGTCGGGTACATGCATTGATACGTGTACACACTACTACGGTAGTATTCATATGTAAGGAGATGTCTCATCTCATCTTACGCTACCTTCATTCTTCTTCTGCTGAATCAATGTACGTATTTTACAACATCCCATTCAGTTAGTTCTAGTAGATACTGGCCGGTGGATTACCGTCAATTTGTAGGATAGCATACGGGATGAATAGATATAGTTAAATGTACAATTACATTTTTTTATTTATTTATTTTACTCGCTATCCCAATTTACCTACGATGCTAAACGATATTAACGCCTTATACCACCATGACCACTGTAACTCGCGATTACCTCCATACTTGCTATGCATCATTTTGCTGTGGATATGTACTCCCTTATCAGATTGATGACTCCGACATATTATAATAACAAGTCGACTTCCTCTCCCTGGTGGGACTTAGAGCATGTATTAGGGGCCGTACAAGCCACCATTGCCATAAGGTTATTTCACGCTAATCTAATATAGTAGACAACATTAAAACTAACCATCATCCTAGCAAAAACTCCACCAGAACCCCAGCATAGAAATCCGCATCATCAGGTTGGTCAGCAGCCTCCCGATCGTCCTTTGACCACGCAGGACTATTGAGTTTTGCAAGAATTGCCTTCGTCGTAGCTTTATCGAACTCAGCATGTCCTTGATATGTGAGCACTCTATTCGGCTGGAACAGCCCTTGAACGTCGCATAAATCGTTCTTTCCCACTATTGTCCAATCTGAGGGAAGAGATCCATCCGGCACAGTCACTTGATCATGGTGAATAAATTGAACTTTCCGCTGCATAGCCCAGTCGTCACTTGTGAATTGTGGAAAGTGACTTAGGAACTCGGGTTCAAAGTCAACACCGTGCACACCTATCTCCCAACCCTTTGGATTCTTCTCGACCCGTACGCCATAGTCTTCCAGTAGTGCTGATGCAATCATTTGGTGTCCGAAGCAAGCACCGAAGAGCTTAACCCTCGGGTGGTTGTAGTACACATCTTGGATGTATTTAGTATCATGCATAGAACCATCGTCAGCAAAAACCTTAGATAATGCCAAAGCATACCTCGCAAAACCTCATGCATCTTCACAATCCAAGCGTGTCGATCGTAAGTTGACTTAGGTGATCCAGTTATAATTATCGCGTCTATGGCAGCGTAACATGTTGGAAACTCCTCGGCGGAACAGTTATAGATTCCATATGATATGGAGACGTTCGAGGTACTAAGGCGATCCTTATTATAATCTAGCCCGCGATCGACCATGTTTTTAAACATGTCAGGACAGGTCCGGCCTTGGATGGGCTTAAGACAGTTGAAGATCGCGATATGCATCCTTAGTCGCTCGTTCGCCAGGTCCGTTTCTTGTCCTATTGTATATTTTACCAGTCGAGTTGTGACAAAGACTAATCGAAGTTGAAAGATGTTGTCGGATAGACAATGTTCGGATAGGGGATGGCTCCGTTATGTAGTAAGGCGGGGAAGAAACTAATTTAGTGCTGGCCAGTCAAAAGGCTTTCCGCGCTTATCTAGTCTAATACACTGCTACTAGCTACATAGTGAACAGTTCTTGTGTACTTGCCTAATACGGGTGCTACCGCTTTTGTAAGAATATTATATAAGTAATTAGTAGCAAGAGTAACGTGACCGGACAACGAGCGGCCACCTCTATCCCATATGAAAAATTAAAATAGTCAAAACAGCATAAATTCAAACTCCTATATAAAAATACGTAATTCTATCGATTCCGACTGTATATAATTCTATAACCCTGTATACCACAGCCAGAATATTTAGATAGAGTATACCTAGACTGGCGTTTGGCCAGGTTAGGTTAGGTTAATGCGGTCAGTTGTGCCTAACCGCTAGGTTATGGCTAGGTTATATATATATATATTATACCATCCGCGGTTAATCGGCAGTTAATCTAATTATGCTGGAGACAGCCAACTAAATCTATTTAGATAGGCAGTAAGATAGGGCTACCTTTTGCCAGCAGTAGTTTTAGTAACCCTAGTCCACTGCTTACTTATATAGACCTAGTTTGGTATCTTGTAGCCTTATTAGGCAGAACTAGATTAACTGCGGTTAACCTAGCTTTAACCTTAACCTAGCTGGGGGTCGGTTAGGTTAGGGTATGCCACTCTATGTCCAACTTAATACTGTTCGGAGACTGGAACCTATTGTTACACCCAGGTAGTACTCTGTGACCAATTAGCTATCTCGGCTCCATACGACTTACCTCGATGACTACAATCCACTCGAGGTTGACACCGAAGGGTTGACGGGGAAGATCCGAATGCAATGACAAGAAGTACGGATGCGAGGATCAACCCAGAGTTGGTAAGCATCTATATAATGTCGTGCTTCACCCACCTAATAAGAAAAGGATGTACACTCTAAGAGATATTATCGTTCTGGAACGCATTATGGAGTAGAACTATAGTGCCAAGCTGATTTCCCACTTCTTACTACCTTTTCAATATATGGCTCAGAGATTTGACGCTAAAGTATTGTCAGGGTAATCAAATATGTATTATGCACTTACTCGCGAAGGCAATTTTGCTAGAGACCATAACAAATACATATACCCTGTTGCCTCACGAACTTCAGACTTTCATATCCAAGACACACCGGATACAGTCACCACTTTTCATATGCTGGAATGCCGTATTGATAGTCCCCAGTGTTTCACGATGAGTGATGTATTCATCAACCATCAGGTAGCCAGCGACGTAGTCATCGACAAGACTGGGTAGCTGAGACCGACCCTTGATACCACCGAATGCGCAACCCCTCCACACTCGCCCGGTCACAAGTTGAAATGCTATATAATAGGTTAACAATGCGATTATCTATACAGCTCACATAGGGAGCAAACTTACGCCTCGTCGAGATTTCCTGACCAGCTGCAGCAACTCCAATAATAATACTTTCGCCCCATCCCTTATGACAGGATTCTAGAGCAGCACGCATCACACCGACATTTCCGGTACAGTCGAAAGTATAATCACATCCCCCATCAGTCATCTCGATCAGTTGTTCCTGAATGGTCTTTCCCTCGAGCTTGGTAGGATTCACAAAATCTGTAGCACCAAACTTGCGCGCCCACTGTTCCTTATCATCATTGACATCAACCACGATAATCTTACCCGCTTTATTCTTCACTGCACCTTCGATCACAGACAAACCGATACACCCAGCACCAAAAACGGCAATATTAGATCCTTGCTCTACTTTGGCAGTAATCGTTGCAGCACCATATCCGGTCGTAATCCCACAGCCCAACAGACACGCACGATCAGTGGGTGCTTTGGTAGTAACAGCCACAACTGAGATATCGGCAACAACCGTATATTGAGAGAATGTCGAGGTTCCCATGTAGTGCAGGATATCTTTGCCTCGTGCTTTAAAGCGAGTTGTTCCGTCGGGCATCACGCCTTTACCCTGAGTGGCACGGATCTTCTGGCACAAGTTGGTCTTTCCCGACTTGCAGAACTTGCACTCACCACATTCCGGGGTACTGTTGATGATAAGCTGGCGTTTGTAGACCGGTGAGATGTGAGAAATAACTGACTAGAGCGCGATTACTTGATCACCAGGCTTGACATTAGTCACGCCTTCACCAACTGACTCAACGATACCTGAACCCTCGTGGCCCAGGATGACAGGGAACGCTCCCTCCGGGTCCTTTCCAGAGAGCGTATAGGCATCTGTATTATGGCACCAGCAGTGTTAACCAATATAATGCAAACCTCACGTTGAAACCAACAAGAATAAAAACTGGCTCAAATATATAAACCACATGGAACAACGCACCGGTGTGACAGACACCCGTGTGGAGAATCTGAATGCGAACCTCATGGGCTTTGGGAGGGGCAACCTGGACATCTTCAATGGAAAATGGTTCGCCGGCAGCCCATGCGATAGCAGCCTGATATTCTCGGCCATCGTGTTAGAAAATAGGAAGCCACAATATCCAGAAGACATGCTACAGACGCCATTACCTTGCAAGTTATGGTCTATCATTTCTCGTTAGCAAAATATCAAAGGAGCACATGGAACAGGAAAAGTCCATCTGTGGTGGTTGAGAATGGGCAAAGTGGGGTGCTCATCGTCCAGCACCGTATGTGCCAAGCTTCAAGTATGTATTGGGCATCGAAAAATGGGAACAGGTAACTCACTTTACCAGCAGTACTAGCCATAATGATTTTTGCTTTTGGGATGACTATTGATGCGAGGTAGGTGATGAAACTTTGAATTGGGTACAGATTTGACAGAGAGAGCAAACCTCCATTTGGGTTCGAAGTGATCGAACTTATATAGAATAGCTCCCTTGTGTCCGCTGTCATGATACAGTGTTGTGACGACAGAAATGACGTCTACAATTGGAGAAGTGGAACATTGAACTGAGTCATCCATGATAGACGGTTTAGAGGAGCTAGTTTCGCAGAAGGAGGGGCCCGTGGGTCCTGTGGTCAATCCCGACTCAGCTTTTCACCAAGACGAAACTTTGAGGTCCAGCCTAGAATCTATGCCTATCACTACATGACGATGTTGGTAAATCTATATTAGGTTCAGAATGGTGCTAGCTACTTTTGGCACTAGTATCGAGCCAATGATATGCCCCCATCAGTTGCACAAGCCATGTGTGTGCCAAGCCATTCACCATGTAACCTTATTTCATAATGGTAATTTTCGTATCAACGAACAACTCCATTATCAGATGAGGAGAAAAAAAAAAAAAAAAAAAGCTCTAACTGAAAGCGGTCCCCGACTTTGCTGGAGCTGTTATGACTAGGGCAGAGGATGGGGTAAACAAGCCCTACCCCGCGTATTATGCTTCTGTCGTGATGAAAGTGGAGATAAGAGGCTACCACAAATTTGTAAGCCAGATTACACTACCCCCCAAGCCAACTCGAGAAAGAGCTTTATACCAGTCGCAAGCTTGCTTGGCAAACTCAGTCAGATCAACACGTACCTTCATATTTTCTCAACAATCACTGTAGACCGCTAGTTGGTAATGAGGAGTCGTGACGTCAGGAATGTTATTCAGAACCCGGCAAGGTATTTGTAGTCCATGCCCGCCAGTAGTTGAACTCTTTCGGGTGAGTGTAGCTTCCATTTTGAAAGCTTTTCCTGCACAGCTCGTCAATATAAGGACCCAAAACGATGTCAACTAAGGAAAAGGTCGTCATCATTGGCGGTGGGTGGGGTGGTTATCGACTGGGATATGGCATCGACCACAGAAAATACGATATCACCCTTATTGCGCCAGAGAACACGTCCGCGGTAACTCCCCTCCTCGCCAGCGCTGCTTGCGGATTGTTTGACCCCCGTCTGGCACATGAGCCTATCCGGCGGAAGGACTTTCATGCCAAATACATCAAGGCCTTCGTCGTCGACATTGACTTCAACAGGCAGGCACTCATATGTCAGCCCGCGTTCGAAGAGCTGAAGGATGAGCGCTTCGAAGTATCTTATGACCGAGTGATCCTCTCGCCTGGCTGTCGAAGCAATACCTTTGGCATCCCTGGGGTGGCGGAAAACGCCATCTTTGTCAAGAATGTGGCCAATGCAAACACGGTACGGAGTCGTCTGAACGAAGTCCTTGAGATGGCTTCATTGCCGGGAACATCTGAAGCGCGCCAGAGGCAACTACTCCATATCGTTATTGTTGGGGGTGGCCCCACTGGGATCGAGGTGGCAGCGGAATTGACAGACCTTTTTGAAGGAGATTTGGGCGTTTTATTCCCGCACCTGAGGGACATGACATCAGTTACGGTGATAGATGTCGCACCCCAGATTCTGGCACCATTTGACCAGAAGTTATCAGAATATGCTTGCAGCGCGCTGAAAACCAACAAGGTCAAGGTCAAGCTTAACTGCCACATTCTGAACGTTACAAAGGATACCATAGAGACCAGGGAATCCGGGGTCACCGGCTACGGGATGCTCATCTGGGCCACCGGAAACAGATCAATACCCTTGGTCGACCAACTGCAGCTCAGGAAGACTGAGAAAGGCCTTGTGCGGATCTTGACTGACGATCATCTCAATGTTTTCTCCCCAGATGGCAACGTGATACCTAACGTGTTTGCAATGGGCGATGCGGCCGACATTGAAGGCGGAACATTACCAACGACCGCCGAAGTTGCAATTCAAAAAGCTGATTATCTTATCAACCTTTTCAATTCCGGTGGAAAGTATACTCGGCCATTTCAATATCAGCAGCGGTCGCTGGTAACATACACGGGTGCGTGGGACGGTGTGGTTCAAGGGAAGCGTGAGTACACGGGCTACGGTGCATGGCTGAGTTGGAGATCTGGTAACTTCTTCTGGACGCGGTCGTGGAGGAGAAGGATCCTGATGTGCTATGCGTGGTTTATGGACTGGTTGGATGGGAGAGAGATAATTCGTAACTAGCTTTCATGGTCAAAATTCGGAGAGTTATAATGCGTAATTTGTATATCTATCACCGGTGTTTCTGGCTGTTATTTCCATTTATGGTGATTCGCTGAACCTTTCATGCATATTTCGGACTGCAATAAAATCATCTCTTTAGTTTTCATGATAGAATTCCAAAATCGTTCCGATGTAGCCGTCACAGAACCAATTTTCATGTACCTGACGCCTCGTGTACGGTTTTGTCTTAATAGCTGTCACCATTCTATTCCATTTATAGCCCGTTAGGTCAAGATTAATAAACACATGGCCTGGTTTGAATCAAGCAACTTTTTGTCGAAAACAGGAGTTGAAGGAGTCTAAAGACAAGGAACGTAGCATAAAACAACAATATCCCATTAGCTCGACCTTGAGAAAATGTATATTACTTCCTAGTGGCATTGGACGCTCATGATATTAAGCTTGCAGGAGGGTCTGTGCTGTTTTAGTATCTGTGATGGTATAACTCGATATACATTCCTGTTTAGTAGCATAAAAATATTTATCTCAAGATACAGAAGTAGACGGCATTAAACATCATTGTATTTCGTAGGTGTCCTCTTCCCTTTATTGATGAAGATCATTACCATTAAATGTCTCAAAACGTAGAGCCTTGCCCTCTAAAGGTTGTATAGCTTTTAGAGGAGGGTGTGGGGGGCACTCAAAACACCGTCAAAGCGGGTGAAGCCGGATCTCTGGGGGCTGAAAACCTCGTCTGGATGAAAACCTTCTGCATACCGTCTGCACGACGGTTGAATAAGTCATAGACCTTCTCCATATCGCTGATATCAAAGCGATGAGTGACCATATCCAATGGACAGATTTTCCTTTGTTGTATTAAGACAAGTAGTTCATTCCAGTACTTTTGCACGGGCGCTTGGCCATTTCCGTTCAGGTGAATCCCTGTCTCCATCAAGGATCCAATATTGAAGTGATTGCACTGGGCCAAGTGTTAGTGATTGACAATGTCAGAGGTTGATCACATACATAGCCAGTATAGATGCCAGTGACCCCACAACACCCGAAGCCTCTAACTGATTCAATCGTCTCGTTCAAGAGTTCCGACGTGTCGTTCTCCATGCCTAATGTCCTCTGGATGGCGTGGCCTAACCCTTTCGCATACTCGCCAGCGGCACACTCAATTGCAATGTCCGGGCCGCGCACGTCGCACATTTTCTTCAGCAAGGATACAACTGTTTCTCCGCGCGGAAGTCTGGTGAAGTCAATAGTCTCCAAATGCGGAACCTTCGTCTTCATAAAATCCAGCCGCCATCTTCCCTCTCCACCGTCAATCATGATGATTCGGCTCGCCCCGTTCACAACCGCAAACTCAGCCGCCATCTGCCCAATAGGGCCTGCCCCCCAAATGGCAACTGTGTCTCCTTCTTTAACACCTGTATCAACCACAGCATTCCACGACGTGGCCAAGACGTCGGATAGATAGAGCCCTTGTTCGTCAGGGACATCATCCGGTAACGGTAGCAGATTCACGTCCCCAAAGGGAACCCGCACAAACTCAGCCTGTCCTCCTGCAAAGCCTCCTGTGAAGTGTGAATATCCAAACATGCCTAATTTAATGGACAGCGGTAGGCCGACAGGTTAGTAATTCCTCCGGGTGACGTGCCTGCAGTTCGGCGTCCGTAAAGTGAATTTTCGCTATCACTGCCGTTGGTTCTTTCACACAACGAGGACAGTTTCTTTTCGCAGTAGTAGCACGTTCCACAAGCAATCTGGAAGGAAGCTACAGCTCGCTCGCCAATCTTGCGCTTCTTGACTTTGGGACCGATTTTCTCCACAATCCCGCAAAACTCATGCCCCAAAATGTCTCCTTTGTGCATTTCAGGTATGGCCGCTGTGGAAGAGGTCAGCACTGCAACTAATTTGGGTAGCAGATCACGTACAATGAAGGAGATGAAGGTCGCTTCCACAGATGGTACTTCCTGTTACCCTCAGAATAACATCTTCATCATCAACGATGGTTGGCCTAGCCGTTTCCACTTTAATCAGATGGGAATTGTCAGTCTATTTTCAAGTACAGACAATACATGAGTGGTTCACTAATACACATACCGAGCTTCACTTGATTCTTCCCTTGCCAAGTCAAGGCTTTCATTGTCTGACTAAGGTCTCCGTAGCCAGTATCACCATAGTTGCTAATGTCCGTCGTGAGAGCGGGCTTTGCGCTAGACATTTTTGCGGTGGATTTAGTTACCAATTGTGAAGGTAATGACAATGGGATTGGTTTAAGTATCATTCCATCACAAGTGACAGATGGTAGATTATATAGATAAGTGCCACTCACATGGAGCTAGTACTAGCGGCATAAGACGTCACTGTGATGATTTGATCTTCGAAGATTTTCTTGTTATGCGCTATTTTACTTTGCTGTCCGATGTAGCTCGATATGACAGAATATCTACATCATGATTGCCAGACAAAGTATCAGACTTGCTTTTTCCTTCTTTTGGTAAGACTGTATCAGCCAATTGAAAACTATTTATACATGTTTGTCCATTATAGTACTTCAACCTATTTGGGTACTGTATGGTTCATCACTTTCTCTGTGTATTAAAGAATAGCTATATAATCAACAATTATATCTTTGTCGTAATTGTCTGCTATTTTATGATGCCCCAGTATCCAAGCCTGAGTTCAGAGATTGTGAGGTTATCCTTATAAGAAAAGCCACAACTCTCTAATATATGAACCCCTTATATCCTATTCACTTGGTCTGATGACTAGAATATCAATATGGCACACCGGCCTGTTGCCTTCAATCGCATAGTCACTACCCACGATCACCGAACCGGAAAGGCTGTCTTTCGGAAGGGTATCGATGAGTGTGTTCCTTTTGCAGGGCTTCCGGTTCCACCGGGAAGGCTGACTACATCTGACTATGCACTTGCCTATGCAACCACAGGATTTCCAGTGAAGGGGCTTTCCCCACCCGCGCCAGTCACACCTGAGGCAGATGCAAACCTGGACATCAAACAATATATGTCTAAGCTCCGCGATCCCTCCCCTTTAAACCCAGATAAGGGAACGTACATTCATGGAAAAAGTGTAACCTTTTGTCTCATTATCTATGGGCTGCAAGATACATTTTTCAAGATGCCACAAAACTGAAGCCTGCCTTCTGTGCGTTAAAGGTTGCGATAAGGTCCATAAGCGGCGGTGACAAAACATCGTACGTATCCAAACCAACTGCTTTGAACCTTGCCCGTACTTCATCCATACCCTTGGGGTTGAACCCCTGCTCAATAATAGATGACACAAAGCCGGCAAACTGCGGCTCTTGCCATCCTTCCTCGTTTGAGAGCTCAACATGCACAAAATCCAGCCCCTTGAACGGATGCTCCTTTTCAATCCGGCCGTAGAGGTGCACACCGCAATCCTTACAGGCATGGCGTCGTATCGCAGCTGATTCGTCGACGATAATGAGCTGGGATTCGTTGGCGGTGACCGAGAGACTTTCGCGTGGCACAACGCCAACGATGGAGAAGAGTGCACCGGATGGTTTCCAGCACTTGGAGCAGCCGCAGGCGTGGTTGTGGGCGACATTACTCTTCAGGGAGATTTCCACTTTGTTCGAAGAACAGCGACAGTAAAGCTTTCCGCCGCTAAAGTTCGGACGTCCTTTGATGATCCCATTGTCAATGAGTGGATGGAGGGACATGGTAATGGTGGTAACGGTAGTGGTTCTGACTGTGCAGTAGTTGAGATGAGTATCGCACTGTCCTGACTTGGTGGGTGGTGATGATATGATTCCAAGCCAGAGAGGTCGTTACTCTTATATACTGGCCAGGTAGCAGAGTGTGGCATGTCTATTCTCCGCATGAGGGGTTGTGGACTGCCACAGGACAGCCATAATTCCGTCATAGACTGCCACTCACTCTTCCCAGAATGTTTTTTTTTTGTTTCTTTGGCTTTTGTTTGGCGATAGACCCATGGCTTCATCACCCCTTCGTCACCCCTCACCAACCCCTCATCGTCCTGCCTGGATCTGAAGCCTAGAGGCCTTCGACGAGCTGATTGGTAATATTATTTCTGACAAATTCAGATATTAGCAACGAACCTAGCGCCGTGACTCACTTGTTGGCAATGTAACTTGTAGGATGGTTGAAAAGAGAGCACTGACACGAAAAGTTCTTCCCCGACTCCCAAACTAGGCAATTTGTATTCCAACGGTGGATTTGAGCTAACCCATATTCGACCTTCGCTGGATTCCATCCTCTATCAGGTGCACGGAACTTTTGTTGTGACCAATGTCTGGGTTGTAACAAGTAAAAAATTTATGGTATTTCTGTAATGCTGGTCCGCCAAGATTGCTGCAGTATTGATTGGTCAGATAGTAGTACCATTTTTGTCGAAAACTATTAGCCTCACTACGGCGGACTAAATCGAAGTTCCGGACAATGTAAAATATTACAAAACTCCCAATACCAATACACTATATCTTAGCCTGCGTCAGTCAAATTAATCTATCTAAAAAATATTTACTGTAGTATCTACTAATTATAATAGTTTAAATAATTGATTTAATTCTAAATATATTTATAATTTCTATAATCTTTTATTATTTTTAAAAATTTATATTTTTAGATACTGTAGCTCTTAAATTTAGAAATTACTACTATTAATCTTAAGATTGCGGGATCTTTAAGCTTAGCTTTACTACTACTACTGTCTACTATCTACTGTAAGGGCGCCTTCGGCGTACGTATTAGGCTAGCGCTACGCCGTCGGTGCTCAGTAGGCCAACGGGCTTCAGGATAGGCAGTCCAGGGAGGATGTCTCGTGTTCAGATTACTAGGGAGATTGTATGTAAGCTAGAACAGAACGAATCGCTTGAGGATCTGAATCCTCTGCACGATTCTAATATATATTATAGAGGAGAAGCGATACTGAATAAGTATGTGGTTCAATGTAAAACGCCAAGGTTTCGGTCAGAAATCTCTATTGTCCGGAACTTCGATTTACTGCGCCGTAATCCCCAGGTTGCCAAGCCCCAAACAACTTAGTTTCGGATACAATTACCTAATCATGTCCGATTGGTTAGTTAACGCTTCCCCATGCCCCAAACGTCTAGTAGATTATGTCTTCCACACAAGCATCGTCTTGTATGAACCATATCCGCGACTTGTCTGAGCTGAGCTGTATCTTCCGCACCCTGGAGTCGTTTTGCAAGATCCTTCCCATACTCGCTTCTTCCACTTTCCACAAACAGGCATGCATGTTAACCTGTATCTTAATTTCTTACAGTTATACCCCTAAGCAAAATCTCCACACCTCTTGATATCAAGAAGGATCTGTCAGACAAGGCACACCATCGGGATTTAATTGAACTTGGTTTTGTTGGGAAAGTGAAGGCGACTAAAAATATTCTTGATATTCGAATTGCAATGTGGGGGAAGTGGATGGGAGTATGTGGAACCATGATAGCCACCGATACTAAATAGTTGATGTATAATTCTATTTGAACGAATCCAATCAGGCCTTGTGAATATAATATTGCAATGATTCGTGAACACTGAAGAACGAGATCTGAAACCATCTGGAAGGATCGACAACGGAACCAACCTGGCCAGCTTCCGCTTAGTAACAACAAATTGCCTCTCGTGCGGGCCGGAGCACGGGAGCCATAATCCATACCCTGCTGGATGCCGGTTAGCATAACCTTTGGTAGCGCCACTTCCCCACAACAGAATTGTACTGTGGGGGAACTATTTCGTGTATACGAACAGATGAAGAGAGGAATTGAGGTGGTTGGAAAGCCATATAGTACTCAAACTGATCAACTTTGCTGGATATTGACCGCTTGAGTAGGGCTTAAAGATGTATAGACTAGATAGAAGAAGCGGTCGCGTATGCCACGTTCTTGTAGTAGGTATAGTCCTGAAACTTTGCAGCACTAGACCATGCAGACCCCTGCAAGACCACCGTTTTTACATTTGCGATACTTGTTTTCTCCACATCCTCGGAAGGTCTGTTGTCTCTCCGTGGATTGCTGTGCATAGACGTGCATCCTGCTCACCTATAAAGGCCTCCGTGTCGCTTCTGTAGCACCGAACTTTTTCAGGAATCAAGCCAAATGTCATCGACCAAGGGGCGTTGATATCTGTTTTGGTAACTTAATTCAACATACTCCAGTTTCTTTATCGCCCTCATTGCATATACAGACAAACACCCAGCATGCTAGGAACGATCTTGGACACAGTCCAAGGTAATCCTGTTGGGGCGATTGGTGGTCTGCTTGTTGGCTCGCTGCTCATATTCTGGGTTGTACCATTTCTATACAACTTTTTCTTCTCCCCCTTGAGAAATGTGCCTGGACCGTTCTGGGCTCGATTTAGCATTCTCTGGGAATTCCGTCAGCTGGTGAAAGGCCGCTCACATGAAGAATATATCAGATTGCATAAGAAATATGGTCAGTACCGGCAAGCTATTAAAAGTAATACCAGAGCGATGATGTTAAGATTATGAAAATAGGTCCGGTGGTCCGGGTCAGCCCAAAGAGATACAGTGTCATCGACCCACAGGATGTGAAGAAGATATACGGCTTTGGTGGGGATTTTCCAAAATCGGAATTTTACGACTCCTTAGGTGATCCAAAGAATATCTTCACTGTGCGAGATAATGAGGACCATAAGGACCGACGAAGGAAAGTTGCATCCCTGTACACCATGTCGGCCATGGTAGCCTATGAAGACGCAGTCGATCGGATGACAACTCTCTGTATTAAAAAGATGAATGAGCTTGCAGCCAATCGAAAGTTGATCTCGATACCCAAGTTCATGCAGTTCTATGCATTCGATGTGATTGGGGAGATTACGGTACGTTGGACAGAATTTATTTTATCTTCTGTGAGGAAGACTTTGAAGCTAATGAGCCGAAACCAGTTTGACCAAAACTTCGGAATGATGGAGAATATGGGCGATACTCAAGGCATTATCAAAGAGATCCATACCTTGAACAACACGATTGGCTTTATGGGTTTACTACCGGAGTTGCAGAGTACCTTCCGGGCAGCACAGAAACTCTTCTTCAGTGGAACCTCTACTGGTAAACTGACTGAATACATCTGGAGTCAGTACTGGAAGCATCGTAATACGAACAGCGGTGCCAAGCAAAAGTCCCAATACGACACCTTTCTGCGAAAGGTACTTGAGTTGGAGGCTGCCCACAAAGTTGGACGCAATAATGTGCTCGACTCATGTGGATCGAATATCGGCGCCGGTTCTGACACCACTGGTATCACCTTGAGCGCTGCTTTATGGTATATCTACCGTAATCCCGACAAGCTGGCAAAGCTGCGTCAAGAGATTGACACCATGACTGCCGAAGGCCGCATTTCAGATCCAGTGACGTATAAACAAGCGCAAGAGATGCCGTACCTCAACGCTGTCATCAAGGAGACGCTTAGGGTGCATCCTGGTGTTGGGACGATATTGGCAAGAGTTGTACCAAAAGGAGGCATCACCCTTACTGGAGGATATTATGTACCAGAAGGAGTTAAGCATCCCCATACCCTATCTTGAAAATCCTGCTTCCAGCTATGCTGACTTTGACCACACTACTAGACACATATTGGCACGAATGCATGGCCCTTACATTACAGTGAAACCGTTTATGGCTCTGACGCGGATAAATACAGGCCAGAACGCTGGTTGGAGGACAAGCCACAGCCTGACTACAGAGACTCGATGATGTTTGCAGTAAGTTACGAAGCTGATGCTGATGGGGTTTGGGTATAATTGCAAGAATAGTTGAAGCTGACATCACCCCTTTGCGCTCGCAGTTCGGTAGCGGCTCTCGAACCTGCATTGGCCGTAATATCAGCCTCTTGGAGATCACCAAGATCCTGCCCCAGATCGTCCGCAAATTTGACTTGAAGTTCGAGGAGAAGGACCCATGGGACGCATGGTGTGCGTGGTTCGTGTACCCGAAGTACAAGTGCTGGATTGAACCACGGAAGGCTGTCGAAAGTGAGGCTTAGGGCTTTGGTCGTCCCCATTACATGCGACGTGGATAATATTCTTTTGTATAGCGATTGTTCTACATTCTCACCTCTTTACTATTATCTTTGGCCTGTGCCCTTTGTTGGTCTCCTATTATTGACTTAGTTCAATAGAAGGTCTTTGTACGTGCTGTTTGGAGTAGAGGGGCTGTGGTTCCTTTAAGCTAGCCTCGTAGAAACCGCATATTCAGGTGAAATTGACGATAAGATATCTTAGAAAGTGAGACAGTCCAGTATAATCCTGGAATATTATAAACATTGAAACGTGAAGTTTGAGTAGCTCTTTGTCAATGTTAAGCGACTCCAAATGACATATGTAGGAAGCGGAAGGAAATTACATAAAGTGGCTACAGAAAGGAATGTACCATGAATATTGAGGGTGGTCAACAAAAACAAACCAAAAAAAAAAAAGAAGTAGAAAAAAACTAAAAAGTGAAAAGCTAAAATATGAGGGCGACTATTCAACTCCGCAATCAGCCCGCAATGGATATCTAACAAAGCTCATTATAAGTTCGTGGCTGAATATGTTCCCATGGGTATCACAGTTCAACTGAGTTATCATTGTTCCAAGTGCAACCGACGTGCAAGCGTTGGCCCGATTCTGGATAGCCCAGGTTTAATATAAAATCTATAGCTCAGCTTGGTGCATCCTAACAGTCACCCGATCAGCTGGACAGCTGGTGAGGGTAACCCCGTACCGGATCGGGCGATCAGGATAGACATCTTCGATGGAGTCAAAACGCTGCAATAGGCGCACCAACACATAACTCGTATTGGTGAGGGCGAACTGCTGACCGATGCAAGTTCTCGGTCCGCCGCTGAACGGGATGTGCTCCCAGATTGCCTTGCGACCAAACCATCGGTCCGGATTGAACTCCTCGGCATCTTCACCCCAGATATCCTTGCGGCGTTGTAGGACATAACTGCTATAAAGGACTGGTTGGCCTTTTTGGAGATAAATCGGCGACTTGCCATCCTTGCCACCTCCAGTAGGTAATGTAGTGTCCTTGTTAGCACAGCGGCGGTTGAAGGGAACGACAGGATGGAGACGTAAAGTCTCATTGATGAAGTGTTGAAGGTACTGGCATGACTTTAGGGACGAAAAGTCGATATCGCGCGGCTCGCTGTAGGTCCCGAATTGTTCGATGATTTCCTTGCGGAGTCGCTGGAAAATGTTTGGGTGACGGGCGAGGAGAAGGATATTCCAGCTCAGCAGTGACGCAGTTGTATCACGTCCTGCTAGCAGGACATTCAGACACTCGTCTCGGAGCTCGATGGGGTCCCTTGTTCTTTCGGTGAGAGCGTCCACAAAGACATAATGTGACCGGCCTTCTAGGTCTGCCGGCTTTTCCGTTTGCTGTGCTCTCTGTAAAGCCGACTGGACATATCCATCAACGAGGTCGTGCACTACTCGGGTGCATTCACGAAACTCCTTGTTGTTGACTATCCAATATAGGCGCTCAAATCGGAGTCTCGCAGCTAGGTACCATGCACAACGGTCAAAGCTGTTAAGAAAGCTATCTGGCATTTCGCCAGCATCCTGTCCAAGAGCAGTCACTTGGCTATTGCAACTTTTGCCGAAGAGGAATTCTGTGGCGGAATCAAGTGTAAGACGGAAGAAGATGGTCTGGATATCGATGTCAGACGTCCAACCGTGTGGTTGCGTCGGCATAGCTTGCAGGGCATTCTGAACATGGCGTTCTTCCAACTCAAGGTTATTGATTTGCGTTCGCGTAAACTGAGGTCGTATTAGTGATCTTGAGTGGGACCAATCGGCACCATCAGAGACAAACTAAATACGGACATAGCTCGGATCAGTGAACTGGCAAGGTAGGACCATTGATGCCATGGGGCACTCACAATTCCACGACTCATCACAGGCGCCCCTGCGTTGCGGCGCATATCACCCAAGAAAAAGTCATTGAATTGAGTCGCCAACATGGCTTGAATGTTCTTGGGATCGACGGTGAAGAAGTTCTCTCGGCCCGCCTGGCGCACGCGGAAGGTAGAAACATATCTGTTTTGCTGACTGGAAATTACATCGATACGTTTCTGTGATAGCTTGGGAAGAATCTTCTCTCGATCCGCTTGTAATGTTTCGAGGAGGGTCGCGATGCCAAACGGATCCCGAGACGGGTATAACGGAGCCTCTTGGCAGTTTAAGCTGCGAGCCATGTGTGCATGCTGCCATGACGAATAAAAGGAGAATAGCAGGCGTGCCGCCACGATGGCGGCCACGAGAGCGGGAATGAACCACGTTTCCATTAGGGTTGTTGTACGAGCATCGGACATGATTCCTGAGCCGATCTATGTAAGGGCTTGGTTGCAGAGAAATGATCTGCAAGACTCGAATCGGTAGCCCGACACCGAATCTGAGATCCTTATATATAGTGTATAGATATTGGCACGTTGTACTAAATTTAGAAGATAAATTAGAATGTCCTCTGACGTCCGATAAGATCTGATGATGCCCATGGACGTATGGGGCGCCTGAAAACTCTACTTGACCCATTCATGGAAAGCTTAGAGACTGCAGACCTTACACAAATAGCCGTGTATGGAATTAAATCACCTCCATAAGATCAGTAGAACAATATGGACAGTTGTTTTAGGTTGATTCCACAGTTTCCACTAGGATGAGATGGGAGCTAAAACTGTGAGGTACTTCATGGTCCACAGCCCCGCGGGAAACGGAGAATAATCTATTATACGTTTCCAACAATGAGGTTGCGCAGGAGGGCTTCTCCATTGGTCTATCGTGTTGGAGATCTACACAGGCGCTCCATTATGCCTATTTTGGCGGTGTATAGCCGTTGCTGGATCCTGCTTGGCGTCGCTGAGAGTCATCTTGGCGTTTGGGCAGTGCCAGGGAATTCAACTATGGAAGGCTTCCTAGAGCGCCAGGTTTCACCTAGCCTTTTACGTATGTATACAGAATACAGAACTATGATAAAATATCTCGCCTGTAGTGTACCTTATGTCCGAGTCGTGGGTTCAGAACCCTCCTAGTGCGGTCAGAGATTGATGCCAGGTTGACTGCCCAAAGTCAGCAGCCAATACCAGGGACTGGGAGAACCAGTGTGCACTCATAACTGGTAAATGAACAACAGACTTGATAAAGTTTCACCGCTGCTGGTCTGAGCACAGGGTTTAACTAAAGGAATCGGTTGTTCCCGTGATAGAAAGCCATATGGGACTGGGGGGATAGCGCTTAGAGAAATAAACAGCCCCACTGTCTATCTGTTCGGGGAGCCCTAATAACATCATCATCATCAACACCACCGACCACCTGGCACGAGATTAGGCAAAGCTGAACTGACTCGTGTATAGGTGGCTATTTTTAACCGAGAAAAACCACATGTCGCATTCCGACGGAGGATGGTCGCGGTGGACGGTAACTGGACAAGGCAGACCGACCCCATTAGCAAATTATGCGGAGCCACCAAGTGGCCGGCCTGATCTGCAAGTGGAACTTGCACGTGTGGGCGAAATATCCCTGGAGTGTGGTACGGAATGTGATTTGTTTTTGATTCACCCCGCTGTATTGACAATAAGTTCTAATGATTGTGTCCCCAAGAAAGGGCACCAAGTCGCTATGTTGTACTATGATTAAATCACCACGACATAGGATAAAATGTGGTACAGTCAGCCCACCGAGTATCTCCGCGAGGATGCCTCGATTTGCCGAGTGGAGCTAAGCGTGATGCAGGACGCCTAACTATATCTTCTCGCTTACAGATTGCTGCAAGTCTATTCACAACTTGACAGCAAAAATGTATATCTCTATTGGGGCTTTCCCCCTGGCTATCCGCGCTACAGCGATTTTCCGTCTGTTGTCCTATTTTTCATGGTGAGCTCCGTTCGAAAGTCATCATGGCGGATATATCTTCCAGCACCATTTCGCAGCAGTCATCCGGGAAGGAAGCGGCCGCCCTAAAGATAGCTCCAGAGACTCCACGGTCTCGGGATCACATTGCGGATTGGAAATGGAAAGGCAGTCTCGCGGCTGTCATGCTGACAACGGTTATTAATGGTTAGTGAACCATGTTATCGGACTATCCGTAAGTTACTAAATACCATATTGTAGGATATGATGTGAGCAACGTGGCCAACATCCAGCCACGACTATACGAGGCCTTTGGTGACATTGAACTCCTTCCATGGATTGGCCTGTCGTTCAGCTTGGCTGTCTTTGCCTTCCTATCCTTTTCTCGGAAGATTCTATACTGTTTCGACATGCAATGGATCTATATCATCAGCGTTATCGTCTTCATGGTCGGGGCTGCCGTGGCGGGAGCGGCTCATAATTTAGCCACTGTTATTGTCGGCCGGACAATCATGGGTGTCGGCGGTTCTGTGATTTATCAAAGGTGTGCTATGTCTCAGCTCTATTGCAAAGTCTTACGACCTGACCACGGTATAGCAATCTGACATTTGTCGCTGTGTTCGCTACCCCAGCAGAGACACCACGTCTTTTTGGACTCTTGGGTGCATTATGGGCTGTAGGCCTCGTCATCGGTGGCCCGATCGGGTCAGCTCTTGCCTCGAACAGTGCCACAACCTGGCGATGGGCCTTCTATATGAACCTACCATGGGCTGGCCTCGTCCTTGTTATGGCATTCATCTGCATGCCTAGCAAATACTTAGGACCGGACATTCCAGTATGGTCCCGCATCGCAAGGATCGATCCGATCGGCATTACGATGAACATCGCCGTACCGGCTCTATTCTGCATTGCACTGGAGTTCTCCGGACCTGTCTGGGACTGGGGTTCCGGTTCATCTATCGCGGTGTGGGTAGTCTTCGGCGTGCTGCTTGTTGCCTGGATCGTCCAACAATGTTGGTGCATCGGAACAACTCCCGACGAACGTGCCATTCCAGTCCACCTGTTCCATCGCCTCGATCTAGTGCCGCTGTGGATCGCATCCGGATGCGCAGGCGCATCATACGCTGGGACATTGTACTACACCCCGCTCTTCTTCGCCTTCGCTCGCGGCCACAGCCCTTTACAACAAACTGTCCGTCTTCTCCCCTTTGTCGTCGTCTTCATAGTAGTTGTTTTGTTAGTCGGTGGGCTCCTACCCTTGTTCGGCCGCTACAACCTAATCTACATCATCGCCGGCATGGCGACCGTGGCGGGAGCAGGCGCCATGGCCGCAACACTCAGCCCTACTGTCCCGGAATCGCAAGTACTAGGCCTCGAAGCTCTCATTGGAGTCGGGCTCGGCTGTTCATACCAACATGGTGTTGGGATATCCAACGTGATCAATAAAGATCCACGTGATAAGGTGGACAGTGTGGTCATGTTCAATTTGGCGCAGATGGGCGGTATTACTGTTATTCTCTCGATAGCGGGCTCGATCTTCCAGAACGTGGGGTTCCATCTGTTGAAGGATGCAATTGGAGGTAATGGGTTCTCCGAAGAGGATCTACGACAGGCGCTGGCCGGTGTATCGTCTGTTGTGTGGGAATCTGAAGATCCGGACGTGCTTGCTCGTGGGGTTGAGGCTGTTGCCGATGTGCTTGCTCGAGAGTACTATTTGGTTGTCGCTGGTGGGGCACTTTGTTTTGTGTGTGGGTTGGTCATGAGGTGGGAGAGGTTGGACTATGGGAGAGGAAAGGCGCTCGAGGCTTGAAGGTACGTTGGGTAATAGGGCTTGTACTGGAAGTTCTCTCTGTGTTCTAAGACTGGGTTGGTTGGTTGTACGTGGGCGTTCATGGTTACCTTTCGTCTATAGTCTCGACTGCTAGACGTTTCACACTGAGTGCTTTTTCTTTCTTTAGTGATTATTCAATATTCTTTTATAATCTTTATCACCAGATCAGACAAATTGGCATTTGCTGTAATATTCCCTATTCACGCAACCGATACATCTCCCCCAGTTTGGTGTAGAAGGTCTATAACTAATATTCCCGGACAAGGGATACGTTCAGGACAGGGTTTGGAAGGCCCATCATAATAGGAATCCAGATCGAACCTTAGGGAGGAGGAATGAGGGGATTTGGTACCTTCAAGATAGTAATATCTAGTCACATTGTGTGAATCTACTAGGCAAACAACGGCGCCTCCGCAGTCAACATTCCAGATATCGATATGCCTCGCGTTGGCTATGCCTGGGTCCTGGAGAGCACTGTGTTAGTGATCAAAGATAGTGTTATATCAAGAATCCCCGAATACCCTAGTTCATTGGACTATTTTACCCCAGGCTAGTGACTTGATCCTCAGGTCAACATCAGGCTTCGTATCGAATATTATTGGACCAGGACTAAACTCCGGTCGTGGAGCGAGTAGTAATATAGAAGAACTCGACCCTTTTGCGATAAATTTTGCACCAGCTTCACGTTTTGACCGGAACTTTATGGAATAATAGGCATGAACGAAACAGCTTGCAGGAGTCATTTACACTACGAATGCTGTATCTTGCAAAGTTTTCACAGGATCAAATCCACATCTTAGTCTGTACACGTGAGAAAGCCTTACGGGTATACCGTGCGCTGAGGGGTTCCGTCCCTTTGTGAGCGAATTTCCTAAAGGTATTGTTCTTCAGGTGGTGGTATTTGGACCGCCGCGCAGGTGCCACATTGTCTGATAATTGTTTTGATGCCATTTTAGTGCCATGCATGGTTTGAGGTTGTTCGTACTAACGAGTGAGTCAGGGACGGGGTCACGACTGTCGAATACAGGTAATAGCATGTTCTTCAAATTATTCGGAGTTGAGCCGGATTTAACTTTTATCAATCCGAGAGTTTTCTGCTAAAGTTGTTAGTATGCTCTAATGTCGGCACCTGCTTGGGCTTGGAACGGGATTCGGGACGGGATTCAATTCAAACTCCGCGATGATCTAGGTTTTAAGTGATACTTATGTTCATCATGACCACCGAGTAGTGGTCGGTGCAGGTTTTTAACCTGTTACGATATAAAAAATATGAATATTTTTCGGGAGGGTTGTATTTTCAATATGCTATATATATGTCAGAGCTAAGACACTATGTACACAGAGCTGTCGGTGAATCGGGAGTGCCTCCAAAGCGCCCAGCTGATTTCAGGATGGTATAACATTTCCCCTAGTTAATATGAGAGCTATTGTGACCTATCTACCCGGGGTATTTTATACTCCCAGCATTGTTCACACAAATAGATAACTAGACACCGGTAATGAACGTCATCGGGGTTATTGGTCAATGTTGTCGGATTTCGGATTTGAAACCCGAGTCGAGAGTCCTGGAAGGCAAATTCCGACACAGAAGCTGCCGATACCTATGCTTAAATACCCATGCTCCCACTCGCCGGGGTTCGAATTGACTGATGTTCTACTAAATTCATCCTTGTGTGGCAGATTTGCACTGGTTTACTTTTTAACCTATTTCCACCGTTCTGAACTTGTACACCAGAGCCGAGGTCAGAGCGCCATGGCATTCCTATATCAGATGCTAGGAAGCAAGGTCTGGCCACCACGGGACACAACGCCCGATCTGACTGGGCGGACTCTACTCATTACAGGCGCGGTATGTCTCCTTCTAGAGTCCTTTAACGTCGACAGCAATCTCACAAGGGTTGTCTCTTAGAACTCCGGTCTTGGTTATGAATCAGTGATCAAATTCGTTCGTGCCTCTGCCAAAAGAATTATCATTGGTGTACGGTCGGTCGAGAAGGGCGAGGAAGCCAAGAAGGCCATTCTCGCTCAAGCACCCCAGAGCAATGTTATCATAGACGTGTATCATGTAGACATGGTAGACTACACCACAATTGAAGCTTTTGCGTCTCGCGTCCACCGGGAGGTGGAACGCTTGGACTATGTTGTCCTCAACGCTGGCATTAGCCCTCACGCTTACAGGCAATCGGCCTACGGATTCGAATCAGGTATCCAGGTTAACCTGGTCTCGACGACGCTTTTAGCTTTACTTCTGCTGCCGAAGCTATTGGCCAGCCAGACTGACGATTTCACCCCTGTGCTTGAATTGGTGGGGTCCGGCACACACCAACGGATTCCAGCACTGCTGCCGGACACCGATGATCCTGATCAAGATATCCTCGAGGTTTACAACACAGAAACTTCATTCAAAACATTTGGGATTATCCAGCAGTACTCATTAACAAAGCTCTTTCTCATGTATGTGCAGTGGCACCTTGTGAAGCTTGTTGATAACAGAGTCTCTGGATCACCGCGAGTATACGTTGTGGTTGTTGGCCCAGGCCCGACCCAGTCTGGGCTTAGTAGAGACTTTGACAAACACTCATCTTTCGGAGTCCGCATCGCTGTCAACATGATGAACCTTATGATGAAAACATCCGAGCAGGGTGCAAGAACATATATCAGTGGTCTTATGCTTGGGCAAGAAGGCCATGGGCAATTTTGGCAGTGGGACTCGATTAATAGGTGTGTAATAGACATGAAGCCCAATATAGAAGGGAACACGGCGCTAATGAGAGTGAACAACAGGCCTGCTAAGTGGTGTTCGGACCCGAACGCTATTGTGCGATCGGAGCGAGTGTGGGCCAGCATACTCACTGCTGTCGAAAGAGATTTTCCTGGAACTGAGAAAATTGTCGCAAGTATAAGGGATGGAGTCTCTGGTCATTGAAAGGTGCTCCTGAGGTGCTGAATGAAACAGGCTTTAGGCTGTTCATGACTTTGGTTCTAGAGCATGTGTGAGTAATTCAGGAAATACGTGATATGTTCTTACTACTGTGCCAGGCGAACTTGTATTTCACATCGTGGATCATTAAATGTCAGTTCTTTATCCATCTGTTGGAATTGTTTTGTACACTATGGTTTGATGGCGGTGTATATGTATTCATAACAAAACTTCTTAGAGATACAACAAAAGCATCTTCCATTAGGGCGCTGTATCGACTGGATCTTTCACTTGTATCTCTTTTAGTCCTCATCATAGTGGATGTAGCCTTCGCACCAAACTTAACAAAAGCTTCCAGGCTAGACCTGTATTTCATTGGTAAAACCAGCCACCTTCGACACAAGACCCTCCGTCCAGGTCAGATGAGGCGAGTGTCCGGAAGGCGCTCGATAAATGGTGAACTTGTTGCCCTTCTGCTCCTGGAGAGCGACCATGCCCTCCTGATACTCCTTGGGTAGAGTCAAATCGTCCTCAAGGACCAAGTACGCACATGGCAGGGTCGAGTAAGCATCGTTCGTAAGTCTCTCAGTATTGACAGGGGACGCAGTAAGAGTAGCTGCCCATTTTGCAGCGGACTCGGCGTCCAGACCGTTGAAGAAAAAGCGAGGGGCATCGACCGGAGTTCCGAGGCCCTTGACGCCGTGTTTCTAGTATGTGTTAGCTTCAGATGAAGCTTTCATGGTCTTAAATAGATACATACGTGGAATCGCATAAATGGCGGAACAAAGGTCGTCCCGTCCTTTGGCTGGAAAAAACTATGAATAGACTCTCCCACGGGGACAACGAAGGCCCCCATGTAAAATATGCCAATGAGACCGCCTGTCTTGCCCTCGCTGCGGCGAGACTTGGCTTGTAATTCTGGTATGGCTGCCTGGGTCGCAACCCAGCCACCGGATGAATGTGCCAGTAGCAGAACAAATTTTCCGTCCTCCTTAACTAACTTGTCGAGGAGTTGGACCACCGCATTGACATCGTCGGTGTCGCTGGGGTAACCCTCTGGCGGAGGTCCGAGGTCGAAATCCGGATGGTCGACATCCCCAACGTGGAGCTTGCTTAGATCACAAGTTGGCCGATGAGGACAGTGAGTTTCAAATCCTTGAACCTGTAGGTTCTGCATGAAGGGCTCATATGGGGCAGGGCTATGATACGAGCCATGACAAATGACGATAGCAGGTTTCATATTGGTAGTGATCGGGACTACTAACCCTGAAAGACTGTGGTTTCGCAAGCAGTGGTATGGATGTAAAATTCGACGGCATTCGTGGCAGAACGAAGGGAACACGGAGAGGTATTTATATCTGCACCCAGCATGCGTGGGGGCGGAAAGCGAAGCACATTCGCTTAACAATAACAAGTGCGGAAGGGCAGGGATGAGGTGATATTCTTTGTTTAAGTATCGCCCTTGTCATAAAGGCTACTTAGGAAACCCACCGAGTCATAAATGCCAAGATGAATATAGACAAGGATCAGCCAGGGTCTGATCGAGAATTGTGCCGCGGCAGCACAGAGCCTCATGTCAGTCTATCGCACAATAACCCTAGATGTAGTCCGACCCGCATCGAAGATCCTGGCTTAGCCCAGGCTCATGGTTGGATCAGGGAGTGGGCGCCCTTGGTCTGCAGCCACCCGTCTGTGGTGTAACATTCGGAATTATAGAACAGACTATAGAATGCTATGATCTCATAGTTGAAGTCCTAAGTGACTAAGTTTAACAGACAGATATCCAAGTTACTTAAAGAGGACGGTAATAGCGATTGAGCTAGCGCGCTAGACAGTATATGGAAGAGATTACAATAGTTAGATGTAAATATCCGACGAATGAGATTGACATTTTCCCTATTGGCGGCTCGGGACGAGAGGCTTGGATACTACATAAAGGACTATCTACCACTAAACTACTAGTCGTAGTGGGTGTTGCTTAAGCGCTTCGCCCAGTTGAACATCAGTGTCTTATTGGCCAGCTAATTTAAGAGCGTGCCCGCCCCGCACGAACCGATGAATGGCACGCCCCTCACTCACTCACTCACTCACTCGCGCACGCACTCACTCACCCATGCATCCTGCTCGCCGAAGCGCCGAGCTCTACATATATATTTGTGGGTTCTCTCACATGCTCATATCTTCATTTCCTACTCTTCTTCTCATGTTCTTTCCTTGCGTCTAACGGACGACTCCTCATTCGACATGGCAGAACCTTTGTCACTTGCTTCTAGTCTACTTGCCCTAGCTGGGTTTGCGTTTCAGACGACCAAGTCCCTCTACCAAGTGATTGAAAGTTTCAGGTCTTCGAAGAGAGCGATCCGCGAACTCCGCTTTGAAGTTGAGTCTCTAACCCAAGCCCTCGCAAGCCTCGAAAAGGCGTCCGCCGAAAATGAGGCTGAGCTCAGGGCGCTGAAGCTGCCTTTACTACGTTGCGGGAAAACCTGCAAGGAATTCGAAGAGGTTATCATTAAATGCACGAGTCATTCACGCGAGCAGAGGACGAGCTTCCGTGACTGGGCAAAGTTGCAGTATATGGGGGGTGATATCGCGGATCTTCGGACCACTCTGGCCGGTTACAAGGCGACCATTAATATTGCTTTAGGAGGTGCGACCTTGTGAGTACTCTAGCCAGCGGGATAAAAAAATAGCCTTCTTCGTGTACTTATGTGTGAGCTAGTCGCCAAGCTACTGTCACAGTGAATGTCCTGGAGGAATATAAGGAGATGATTGCAGAGGCAACGTCCGATCTCCAGGATCACTTACAAGGGATCAATGATCGAGTGAAGTCGATTGAAGAAACAGGTCACGTTCAGCATTTGGATGTCGACCTGAGTGTAGTGAGAGAGGAAAAAGAGAGTACAGAGCAATGCCTCCTGATTTGCACCCAAGTCTCCAACTATATCGAAGGGATGCAAGCGCGCCTACCCCGGGACTCTCAGAATGTTCCTATGCTAACAGTCAAGCCTGCATCCCTTAGCGGCTTTGATTCTACCAAGGCGTATATAGCGACCGATGACATGCTGAACGACTTCAGACATAAGCTTTCCTTGAATGCTCGGAATCTTGAAGCCCGGCTAAATACCCTAGACCACCAGCTGCAGGACTTTATCGAGGTTGGGACCTTACAGTCACGGGAAGGAAGAGCCAGACTTGAACTCATTCGAGAGGAAAGGGACAGTATTGCACAATGCCTGAGGATATGTGCGGACGCATCCGACATTGCAGGAAAGGCTCGGACCAATTCATTCGAAGATGTGACTTCAGCTGATGAGTCCCACCAATTGGTCGTGTCGACTATTGGGGATTTAATATCAGCGAAACACATCACTACAGGAGCTAGGTCTGTTCAGTGGCTCGGACAGATGTCCGACGATTCATTACAGCAACTCTCTCGCGATCAGAGAATGCGCCACGGAGAACCGGATGACACGGCTATGCAGACAGGACGTGATAGTTTCAACGGGCGGTATGGTGCTGGGTACCAACTGCGCCACGAACAGATAGAGATGGGGCGTCCTTATAACAACAGCCGCTAGATTAGGAGCTACAAATCTTTGTTCGTATTTGCAGGATTTATTGGTAACTAAGGGGGCTGAGCTATTGTTCATCTTGGATTGGTTCTGCTCGACAATCAAAATAAATCGATACACTAGTACATTGATCATAGTGGAAATACACTCATCGAAGTGCTTTGTTGGATTACTGGTGCCCAACCCCAAGAGTTACGACTTTGAGGACTTGGAATGGCCGCCATGGGCACTTTAGAACGTGACCTTCTTCAACACAATATAGTAAAATATCATTGATGCAATAACCGGAAAGAACATATCCCGTTGCTTCAACCGAAAACATATTCTCATAACTCTTATACGCGACATATAAGGCAGTGCAAAATATGGTGTCGGTTGCAGTATGTAGATCTGGATTCACGTATTATGTACCATTAGCTTTATGCCTTGCTGGTATGTGATAGGGAATAATCCCTTAACTTGTGTGTGTGTGGGGTACATCCGACTAAAATCTGACACTTTGTCCTGTTAGCCAGGCGTTTAGTGTACTTGGTAAACGACGCAAAGATTATTGTGGCTCTGCGCTCAGATACCATAAGTGGATATACTGATAGGCTGTGGACCATATTAAAGGTACTTCAGCCTTGCATTACATTGCGGTACGTGTGCTGGAATCATTGGCTCACACAACAAAGCTTGACGAGTCTCAATGCGCCGCAGCGGATTAGACTGTAGGCTGGGGTACTACCCAGGATATCTACTGCTTTTAATCCCGTCGTTCTCGGAACTTGAACTGCTCTCGTTACAGCTAGCATTTTGAATCGTGCGTCACATGCTGCTCTATTTGGCTTTGGGCCTAACATGATTCGAAATTGCGAGTGAAATGGAAATTTTCGTTCTCAGCGAGTTCAACACAAGATGGCGAGAGACGACACCGTACTTTGTCACGCTTGCAGACAGATCACATTCAAAGATCTTGTAATGGACTTTGAGCATTCTGACTTGTCAGGAAGCTCTTCTGTTAGGTAGGTCTTGCCCATTATGTAACCTCATGATATGTTCCTTCAGCAAATTGCACACGGAAATCTTTCTAGACGCGCGAGGACAATGCAGCGGCTGGCTAAAACAACCCTCACAAAACTAACACTTCAATCCTGCTTCAAGCCAACCCTGCCCGCCTTCCTCAATCCAAAAAACCCCACAAGGGTACAAACAATCATCGACCCAAACATCGTCCAAAAGCTGGCCCGATACCCATCCATCAATGCATACCGCTCCTTCGCCGCCCCAGATTGATCTGTCACAACCGTCGAAATAACCTGCAACACTGCAAGTCCCAGGGCACTCCCGAATTGCGCCGAGGTGTTGAACACTGCACCAGCCAGAGCTTGCGTGTCGTCCGGGAAGACATCGGTAATGACGATCAGACCGACAGTGAACAGGGCGTCAAAGCTAACGGGTTGGAGGATTTGTGCGAAGAAGGCATTACCCCAGTATGGCCAGGAGGGTTGAATGACGGCCATTAGGAGGGGGGAGCCAGCGCAGAGGAGCGAGGTAATTGTTACGATCCAGACAGCGCGGATCTTGTGGACGAAAAGCCCGATAATTAAGTTTAGGAGGGCGCCGACTATCAGACTGGGGAGGATGCGGATGGAGGCTTGTAGGGCTGAGAGGTATTGGACTTCTTGGAAGCTGGGGTGGTTGTTAGTGGGGAGTGTGGGGAGAGGGGGGATTCAATTGTGGGGCGGCTTACAATAAACTGGCGAAGAGTTCCATGGAGTTGAGCACTGCGTTGGACAGGGCCACTGTGGCGCAGACGCTGGAGAAGGAGGTGTTTCTCCATAAGGAGTTCGGGATTAGGGCTACTTTGTTTCGCTTGACACGATGGTGCGATGAGATGATGAAGAGTGGAAGGGCGATTGCTGCCAGGCATAGGATGACGATGCTGTCGACAGATTTGATGCGGGACGGTTCCGCGCTTACAATACTGTGATGTTGTTAAATTTTGTTTAATTTCATGGTGGGAATGTGGTGCGTACGCCAGGAGGTAACAGAGTAGGGCCATGAATGCGGAAGCCAGAAAGGCGCCGAGCCAGTCAATCCTCGTCCGCACATTGTGGAGAAGACTTTGGTCTTGAACAACTTTGTTCTTGGGCAGGGTCCAGACTGCAATCACTGCAAAGAAGAGAGTGATTCCCCCTGCGATGTACCATCCTGCTCGCCAGCCGATTGTGTCGACTAGAACACCGCCCACGACTAGTCCGAGCGAAAAACCCAGGGGCTGGCTGAGACCGATGCATGAGAAAGCAAGATTACGGCCTCTGCCTTGGGGCAGAAGCTGGGTGATGATGGAGACAGAAGAGGCCAAATGGAAGGCGAGGCCAACGCCTTGCAGAGCCCTCATTACGACTAGCCCTTCTCCATTCCGAGCTAATCCCTGCCCGATCATCAAGGCTCCGCTGGAGAAAGATCCGACCAGTTCAACCCATCGTGGGCCAATGGTGTCAGCAAGAGAGCCGGCGAGGAGTAGTGTCGATGCAGTAGCGAGACTACTAACTGATGAGGGCCAGAAGGCTAGAGAAGAGGGCAGTTCAAGATCCTTGGTGATGGTCGGCAGTGCGATAGTCACCAGGCCATTGATCAGGCTAGCGGTAAGAGTGACGCCGACGAGCTGCACTATGACTACAACCTGTTGCAGACGAGTGTTTTTGATTGCTTGTCTATCCACTGATGATACTGAAGATACCGAGGATGCCAGTGGTGGCGAGTCAATCTGCGCCGTCATCGTTGTTGTAGTTGTCGGCGCCATTTTGGTAACAAAATTGTGTATGGGGAAAAAGGCGGAAATGCCCTGATACCGGTCATCGTGGGCACCTGGAGTCGGAAAAATTTGGCCCGGTTGAAAATATGGAGACGAGAGGGTTTTAGCCACTCAATTACTTAATGGGATCCAGTTGTTCTCCAGAGATTTTTGATAATCTGATTAGATCGCAGTCTAACCGAATGGAGTAACATATCTTTCGATATTCTAGTTACGCTTTTACCATACCGGGAGTTTATCGAACTTTATTTATGTGTTTCTATAGATAGCGATGCCTTAGTAGAGGTCATAGCAGATAATGTTCTGGCCTAGGCATGAATAACCATTCCAATTTTGAATACTCACGAATGCACCGGAGATATATCACATCTTCCAGAGGTGGAATACCTATATCCTCCGGCCATTTGAAAGCTGAGACAAAAGGAAAGCTATTCGCAGAGCCTAGCAACTGAGCATGGTGTACTTACTCACCCGGAAACCATTACATCTGCCAGCATTTGTCGTAGCATAGAATACTAACGCCAAGTGTTGAGTGGGATGTCTCCGAGTCTTGGCCCGGAATGGCCTGCCTAAATTGGTTAACCCGGTGATCCTTTGGCCAACTTTTTGATGGTGGAATTTGCACCCAAGGTCACGGCAGAATGTCAACTTGACCAACCCACTCCTTAGTAGACGGCGAGTACCGGGTAGAAAAGTCGGGGTCTAGCCCACGGCAATGTGTAATAGAGTTTGACAAAAGAGCGAGGCTCGTTGCCAACCCCTAAAATACCACGAGGGGAAGGAGAGAAACTCACCAATAATGAGAATGCTCTTAGTGGGTAGAGGTTCCCACATCGGGTGGTTGTCAGCCCTAACCGGCCGTCGATTCTTTGACACGTGCCACATGTTCACATTCTCGACGCATCAACAGGATGCACCATCCATCCCCCATTATATGGTGACCAGCGGAAAAAGCGAAGGCAAAAGTCACGATGATTCTTGGATGTTTTATCAAGTATCGACACGGGAAACAGTCTTCCACGCCGCACCGGACTTCGCCCAAATGACACATCACACAGGCCATCCTCGAGCGCTTGCGCTTTTCTTCTGCCGGAGTTGCGAGGCAGCCAAATGGGATCGTTTGCAATGCCTTCATTCGGGCCCCGGCAGTGTCATTGCCAGAGAACAAAGGGTCACCCCCGAAGCATCGTAAGCACAGTGCCCGTGATTTGGGATAGGAGAGAGACCATAGGATGACCGTACATTTCACTATCACCCAATATAGGCTGGACTAGATTGAAACGAACACCTTAAGCAGTCCACTCGAGTGCAAGCCCTTTGCTGGCGGTTGTAAGAGCAGCCTAGGTAACAGACCGCACCAGGCCGAGGGCGAGATGCCGATATACTCCAAACTGCGACAAAGACGCCCTCACGACTTGTTTTCACGAGGTAGGGAGCGACGACCTTGCTGCTGCAGTACAAGGCTTTGAGGCTAACGCTTAACATCAGATCGTAATCCTGTTCGGGAGCATTGATGGTTGAATGTGTCCCAGGGTTCACCCTACCATTATTGACCACGTCTAGATGATGAAATGTGCTAATGGTGAACTCCAGTACTGTTTTCCGATCCGTTTCTGAAGCGACGTCTACTGGAAGGCTCAACGCCTGTGTTGACGGAAAGTTATTGGCGATTCTGGTGGCAATAGAGGGATGGATATCGACAACGACTACTTCGGTTCCTTCACGCACAAACTTCTGGACGTTACCTGTTCCAAAACCACCACCCCCTCCAGTGACGATGGCGACTTTGCCAGAGAGTCTTCCTGTAAAAGCCATGATGTAGCTGACGGTAAAGATTGGTTGAAGGAAGAATATATGTATTGAATTTAGATCTCCCCGTATTCGAGGGCCAACGACAAGGACAAGAAAAGCAAGTTTGTGTATGTTATAAAGGTCTACAAATGCTGAGAGCAGGGAAGGAACACCGAGACTCACCCCCGCATGCTAACTATGTTGTTGCAGAGATGCCCTAAGCCGAAAACTACGGTAACCTCTAATATCCAAGCTCCACGGATATTCGGTTATTTATTCGCGTTGCCTCATTACAATGGGCAAAGCCTTGGGCCTAGGCTTGTTCCGAACGTATTCCTCCAGTTCCTCTGCGAAGGTTTCCTTCCACCGATCTTCGCGGCTCGGTTTCCACCCCAAGTTACGGGCGAGTGCAGCTTTGCAACGAGCACTATCGGACAATATCCAGTCAGCTGCTTTCCGCGAAGCCGAGAGAAAATGTGCGACTTACTTTGCACCAAATGATAATTCCGCCCGGAACGCATTTCCTCCTGCAAAAGCATCCGCCGCTTCCTGCAGGGACACTTTAGAGATGTTGGAAAAGAGCCCGAGTTTGGCGCCTGCGTCCGCGAGGCGCTGCGCCATCTCCAGATGCGTATGCTCCCCGGTCTCACAAAAATATATCCCTCGTCTGCCCGAAGGAAGATCTGACCCATCAAGAATCTTCCGGAGAAGTAAAGCAAAAAGGTCTGTCAGATCCTCGATGTGCACATGTGTCCAAATTGTCTGGCCATTGCCAATCACTTTCACATGTTGGCTTTTCAGGGCGTCCGCGATGATTGCTGGAAGCTGGACAGACCATTTGTTGAAAGGTCCAGTGCCAATGCCAAATATTGTTGGCGCCATGATAACGTACGTCGCGACCCCGAGACTTTCACCCGTTTCAACAACGGCGATATCAGTCGTGCGTTGGTAGTAGGCTTCCTTTGCCTCGCGGGACTTTTCATAGCCATAGATATCATCCTCGTCGGAGAATATCTGTGTTTCGATGAAGTTTGACGAATGAGGCCGGTCGCTTAGGTTCGATGTACCCGAGATCTAGAGGTAATAAAACTCATCATACTGTTCTTGGGGCGGGTGCAGAAGACATCGGGATGCTTACCTGGATATAGTGAGCTTGCTGCCCGGTAGAACGTCTCACAGCAAGGCCCCTGAGAAAGGCCTTCGCGGATTCCGTGTGCCAACCTGCACCTGCGTGAATTATAACTGTATGTGGTCAGTGGGAAATATGGCGTACGATTAGCCAATGATACAGAAAGAATGCCAGCATACTGTCAAACTCTTCACCCAATTTTTCTAGTCGGTTGAGCTCATCAAAATCCTGGACAAGGATGGAATGAACACCTTCCAAATCATTGATCACGGCAGCCTGCTCTTTAGATCGCACAACTCCCCCGACATTCAGTGGAAGATGACCCTGCGATCTCCGATCGAGGATTGCAGACAGAACGGAGCCCCCACTGTGTCGAGTGTCAAGAGCGTAAACTTTTGCTAATCTCCTAGGATGTGGAAGGTTGAGCCACTTACATATACCCAGTTACTCCTGTGATCAAGATGGAGGAGACCATGTTGTTAGTACGCCGTGAACCTGAATGATGATAGATGTTCAGGTTTTGGTCTTCTCGGCATGCCGCAGATCGCTCGGCTTTCTTATAAGCGGCAGTGGAGCCCTGTAGTTCGTCACATTGGCGGCGGCGGGGGTTGCTTACAAATGCTCTACACGGCAAACCGGATCTGTTCATTGAACTTGGATTGTATTGAGGTCCCTCGATAGGAGTCACTACATGAATAGTGATATATCGGATGGAATACCTATGAAAGTCTCTTCATACATAAGGTCCATTGGGAAAAGTGCTCAAGACTTTTGGCCTTGGGTGAGATTACTATCCATCATTGGCGTATACATCATGCCTGTATTTGTGAGCACTTGCCCCCACAATATAACGTAGCGATAGATCTAGAGTACGGGTCATACCTAGACAAACACTATTGATTCGAAGTCGGCGTGCTCAGCATTCTATGCCGAGCACTCTTGCACATGCTGAAGCACCTGTCCTCCTACCAGCAACAACAGTGATGTTTCAAACGCAGGTAATATATTTTATTAGTATTATATATCATGGCATGCAAATGTTAAATCTACCACCGTCAAACCCGTTCATCAGGTTATCCGTCAACAAACTCTCAATCCATCGATCGGGCAAGGCAATCTCATCTGCTTGCTGCGACTGCGACTGCCCACGATCCATTGGTGTCTTCGTCACGGACCTGTTAGCCGTCGATGAGGCCTGCCAGAGTCCAGCATATGTCCTATCGCCTGCTGACTATCCAATCTTGGGCAGATCGTTTCCACCCATGAGCATCCCCATTCGTTTCGTTATACTGTCAAAGGCTCGGAATGTCCATTCTGTGTTGGGCCACCGAGCACGGAGATACGCAAGCGTTCTGTGAGTCTGAGTTGTCGCGGCCACTACGAGATCGAGTATCTGACAAACAGCCGGTTCAAATACCTTGGTGACAGATTCGATGTGCGCGAGTATGATGGACGCGACTTGACTTGGTACTACGGATTGGTTGACGGACAAGACAAGCAGCCTACTGATGTGCCGCCACCCATGTACTAGGTTTTTTGGTGATTCTTGGTAGACTTCATTGTTGTCAAAATATACATCATTGTTCAATATTTGGTATATTCTACCGATAGGCCTAGGTTGGCATAGGCGCAGACCCCCATCGCGTCTATAAATGCTACCCATCTAGATGAGCAGTCCTCGAAAAGGACAAGATCTACCAGATATTTGAAAGTTGAAAGTTCTCTCCCTCATCATGACCTCAATGCCCCACCAACCCCATTTTTCAGATCCAACATCTCGAGTGGCCGCAGCACTCTTCGGCCCCATCGTCATCCGCAAGAATCAATGGCAGACATTCTTCTCGAACCAGTTGTCCTTGGGGACAATATCCACCTCCGCAACCGCATCTGCATGGGCTCCATGACGCGGAACCGTTGCATCGATAATAGCAAGCCCACTGATGCCAGTATCAAGCACTACGTGAGTAGAGCGCAGGATGGCCCTGGACTTATCATTGCCGAGGGCACATTCATCAGCCCGCACGGTGCTGAATGGCCCCATGCGCCAGTGATGTATAACCAGGAGCACGCGGATGCTTGGTCCAAAGTGACCAGCGCGGTGCATGAGGTTGGAGGCAAGATCTTCTTCCAGCCGTGGCATCCAGGTGAGTTGAATATTTGTTAGAAGAGATCAGATGAGCAAGAATGGAGAGGCTCACTTGGAGACCTATAAACTTGTAGGAAGAATCCAAAATGAGAATATGCCGATGCTTAAGGAAGCTGGCGCCCCAGTTCACGCCCCATCCAAGGTCCCTGCCAAGGGCGGCAAGTTCCGTACGTTGGAGGGAACTCCAGGCTATACACACAACATCACGGAAATCGATGATCCAAGTTCCATTGTCGAGCAATTCCGCCATTCGAGCGCTTTGGCTCAACAGGCCGGATTCGATGGCATCGAGCTTCTTTCACAAGGGTAATGTCATGTGACCTTTCTCTTGGGCTTGGAGTCATTTCTACTGACGCTGACATTTGCTCGAATAGTGGTTACCTTCTCCACAACTTCCTCTGCTCGCACGCAAATTTGCGGATAGACCAATATGGTGGCTCTGCCGAAAACCGCTGTCGTTTTCCTCTTGAAGTGCTTGACTCAATCATTGAAGTCTGGGGTCCCCGGGTCGTGGGAATCAAGATCTGTCCACCGGACGACTACAACGATTCTGCCATTTCCTACGAGGAATTGACTGAGACATATACGTATTACATCAAGGAGCTCATGCGCCGGGATCTCGCCTTTATCAACCTTTCGCGACGCGGTTGTCAGGTTGGGCGGGAGACTGATGCGTACTTCAGATCCCAGCCGAGGCCCGAGGGCAAAGAACTGCCATCTGGCTATGAGCCTTGGTCTCAGTTTGGGCACTTGATCAAGTATCCCGGGAGCCGAACTATGCTCATGGTCAACCACGAATACACCCCCGAGGAGGCAAGGGACCTGATTAAGCAAGCGAAGATCGACCTTGTCACATTTGCCCGGCCGTTTATTTATAACCCGGTAGGAGACAGTCTTCTCAAGTATCGTTGAACCACAAGTGCTGACCTGGTGTGATATAGGATTTGGTCAGCCGCATCAAATCCGGCCTGCCTTTCGCCATGAACGACCGCGGAGGCAGAGTCAACTATGGACCCTTCCAAGATCCCAACGAAAATTACAATGACTGGCCATTACATGAAAAGAACCAATTTCATAGCCAACAGGCCGTTAGCTAGGTAGCAGATGTCGGGAAACGGAGCAGCGTCGGCCTACCACATTCGGGCATATAAAATTATACCAGCATGTACATGTTACAACCTGTTTCAGACTATGGCCAAAGACATACGAAGACTAAATGCTTTGTCTGCTCTTTTTCGTTGAAACTGGCCACCTTTCGATATGGTATCAAACTTGTTAGAATCCGCCGGCTAGTAGGTCAGGCGTAGAGTTGATATCGGGTCGGGCTCGGATTCAAAAATTAAGACCCGAACTCGACCTGGCTTCTAGGACTGGTTTCACATATGATACCCCGTATCTGCCCCAAACCCATGGTCTCTTAAGTTAACCTACCCTGTAAAAACCTGAAACACCTATTAGTAGACCTAGATAAGTAAGATACAACTTAGTAATTATGTACCTTACCGATATAGGTTTAGACTAGGACCTTAAACCTATTTTTAAAGCTGTCTCTCTCTACCAATTCTATATATATAGACTTGTTATTTGAGATATACATGTAAAATTTAGATCGACATAGAACTACTAAGAAACTCTAGAAAAATTCGGATTTTTAGATCACATAACCTTTGCGGGTTTTCTGCGGATTTTCTGGGTTTGGGGCGGGTTTTGCGGGGAACCCCGATCAACTCAAGTCCTAGATAACTTTCTCTTGAATAATATTAGAGACTTAATATTCTGTAGCTTGGTATCTGGCTTTGTGCCATAGGGTATCGCATATTAGAAAAATGCTACTATAAGTACGTAGCTATAATGTCTGCTATCCCACGCCGTAGTTACATGGAAGTAGAGAAAACAAAGGAAAATTAATATATGCAGGGAGCTGAGTCATAGCTGGGGAATGTCAAAAAGGAGCGACTAAGAAGAAAAGTGAGGAGCGTTCAGGAAGAGACCCATCAGGACTCCACCCAGGGTGCCAGCAATAGGAATCGTCATAACCCATCCAATCATGAGCAGAAGAACTCGTTGCCAGTTCACGGCCTTCCAGGTACCGTTACAAAGGCCGACACCGACGGTAGCACCAGTGATACACATAGAGGTCGATACGGGGAGGGAGTATTGCGAGAAGACGAGGACGGTCAATGCGGCGCCCAACTCCATGGAGCAACCACGACTGGGTGAGTGGTATGTAATCTTGTTACCCATGACTGTGAAGAAACAATAATTAGCCAAATGATCTCGACGGAGTACTGAACCAACATCACTTACCCTTCATGATGTTGTAGCCATAAGTGATGAGACCAGCAGAGATGGTAAGAGCAAGAACAGCGAGCTGCCACACAGGGACGGGGGCCTTCGACTGCTGGGCATCGCCAGTCCTCCAGGCGGAGTACATCACGGCCCAAGGACCCACGGAGTTTCCAATGTCGTTGGCGCCGTGAGCGAAGGAAGCAGTGCAAGCGGTCAGAACCTGAACGAACGAGTAGGTGTGCTCGACCTCATTGGGGTACTTCGGGGCATGTGCGTATACCCGGGCCATGCGCTCACCTTCTGGGGTGCCGTGGACACCAGATTGAGCCGCATGGATGTCGTAGTTCATACCGTAGAGCAGACCCACGGTGATCATGGCTGGCACCCGCTTGGCCAGTCTCACCATGTTCCGCCATTCATAGATCTCACCGGCGCCCATAGGGTTGTCCCGCAAGGTGCGCATCGCCCATCCCAGGGGGCCACGCTTCTTCATGAGCCTGGCATGGAACCTAGCCTCGCCCTGAGCGACGAGCTCTTGGTAAGTGGCCTGGGTTTCGGCCATAACAAGGGCCTTTTCCTTTGTTTGGGTTTGGTCCTTGCCAAGCTCTCCGGTAGTGGAACCAGCCGTCGAGGGGACAGATGCCACGTCATCGTGGTCCTCCTGGACGACCGCGTAGTCGGGAACTTTCGCTTGTTCTCCAGCATTCGGAGCCGCGCGCTGGAGAAGCAGGGGCCCCATGATGAACATCCACCACTTCACATCCTGGTCTTTCTTGATCACACGTGCATGCACGAACGGAACGAAAAAGATTGCCGATAGCACGGCGACACCACCACCACATCCCAATGTCACGGCGGCAATATACCAACCAGGCTTCTTGCTCAGGCCCAGGCTGGGCGAGCCCTTGTACACAATGGAAAGGGTACAGAGGGTAGCGGCCAGGAGGAACCAAAAGGGAGATGAATATACCGCCCAGGGGACAGGGTTCTTCCGCATGTGGACGATGACTTTGATCAACATGAAGATAATGGCACCGAACGCGCCAGAGATGACGGGCGCCATTCCCAGACCCGCAAAGATGGCCCCGAGACCTTTTCCATCATTCCAGCCCCATTGCACCTTGGATGCACCAGCGGTTGCAACACCCACACCAGCGACGGCGGAGACGAGAGAGTAGGTGGAGGAGACGTGGGTGGAGTGTCGGGTACACCACATGACCCACGAGGAGGCGGCCGCGAGGGCACAGGCGAATGCCAGTAACTGAATACTCGCGTCCCCCCGAAAAGCGGACACAGGAATAATTCCGTTCTTGATGGTGTCGGCGGTACGGGCACCGACACAGACGGCACCGAGAAACTCGAAGATGGTCCCGAAGATCATGGCCTGTCGATAGGAAATCGAACGGGACGACACACTAGTCGCCCAAGAGTTTGCGACATCATCTGAGATAGAAGGTTAGTCATTCCCGTGCTACCGTAGGTCGATCCATGAGGTGACGACTCACTTGCACCGTTGTTGTACGCGTCCAACAAGGCAAAGATTGTGCCAATGGCAAACACGTAGGTATACTCGTCGAGCACCGCCATTTTGAGCGAGAGAGTTAACCGGGTTAACTAATGCTCGTCAAAAGGAAGAGAAGATGAGATATGCGTAGAGAAGAACAGAGAAAGACGAGGGATCAAGATGACAGGAGGCAAGGTTTTATGTAGGTGGCCCCCCGTCTAGTAGGGTTGTAGATGAAAAGTGGGACAGCGTTCCAACGAAGGCGTTCACCACCCAGTGGCAGGCTAAGACGCTAGTCCACTTAGCTGTACGGTCAAGCCCCGACGGTGGAAAGTTTCACATACTATGGGGGCTTCTTGTCAGAATCTAAGCCTTCTCGGCAGTGGAAGGAGTGGTTGGCACCCACGTGGCCCCTGACTTGGACATACGACCGTGGACGAAGGAATACACAGAAATCGATCTCAATATCTCTATAGAAAATAGAAAAACAAAAGAATGGAGGAAAAGAAACAAAAAGACAAAAGAGGGGATTTGATGTCTACACGGAAAGTAACTCTGTGACGAACAGGCCCGTAAAATTCTCCGAGTCAAGCCCTATACTACTGACCAGGTACTACTAAGTCCAGTCACTTCCTCCCTCCACTAGCCGCACTACTACTGCACATAATCCTCCCCAAACGACTGGTATTTTTCCGGATGGTGACAGACTTCGTGTCTCACCTTGTCGGGGCGTCCGTTAGGCAATACGAGGGTGCCTTTTCCACCGCATGACGGTGGGATTGCATCTAGACGGTGGTCGCCAGACCGGACACGTTCCTCGCTCGCGCAGTCTGATTCGTAGCCGTCGGCTCACAGAGCAGTTACGCCCGTGGCTTGGAGCTGACCAGAGCTTCACCCACGACCGGCGTACTTGGCACCCTTGGCAGAGGTCAATGGCTACTAATCTTTATACGACTGGCCGTGGTGATACTCCTCAATCTCTGCCTCCGGGACCAGGCTTGGCATCGGAGCTGCATTGACCCAATCAGCGGGCCCACCGCTACCACGAGCTCCCTATCGACTCCCCGCTTGGTCCATGCGTTGATGGTGCCAAGACTCCCTCCCCTGTATAATTTAATTAAGCCTTCTGATACCATTGGCTGCAGGCTCGGCAGTCCCTTAGTAGGAACATACCCTTCCATTCATTTTATTAGGTTCAAGAAGTGATATCAACCCGGTTCTGGAAACAGTCCCGGATCAGGGAATCTTCCATGACCACTGATGTGGTCATTGGAAATCGTTGCACTTCCTTGTTAGGTCATGCAAACACACGTGCCTACACCTTGGGCTCAGGATGGACTCTTAGTAGGACTGAGTGTCAAGATAACTAAACGGAGTCATGAGTTAGCATTATATAACTGTAAATGATGATGAGTGATATATACACTTTTCTTTTCTGTTCCCCCATCGTACCATTATCGCTAGCATCTAGGAATTAGACGATACCAGGATTCATAGACGAGGGCCATACAATTCCCTCCCCCCACGTGCCTGGTGCTTCCCACCCAACGACTCATTGATACGGCACGTGCTCTTTCAACTTCATGAACTGGCAGTTCCTCCTGAATCCGTTAGTAATAAAGGATCGGACCACCGACCATCAGTTCCACCTATCATGTATATCATTATAACAGGTGCATCAATTGTATCCACTTCATTTGCCCGCCGTCTATCCTTGCTTCCACCCCTCGGACCTGCATCTGGACTTCTTCTAGCCGGTCCGCGCCGGCGTCGCTGCGCTCGTCGACTGGGACGTGCAGGACTGGATTTGCCACAAAAGTCGCAGTAGCGTCTTCTCGAAGATCGCTAAGCTGACCATTTTATTCGTCCGGCTGTGAGCCACGGGATGATCGTTGCATACAGATTTGACCGGATAGATGGGACCTTTTGCCCTCCCATTATTCTGCCGTCTTGCCACAAAAACCTTGGTATGCCTTGGCTGTGGCATGCCACACACCATCTCCGTTTGCTCCATGACCGAGATCCTGTTCCTTCAGCCTTGCTGAGCCCCCTATCCGGTGTCACACCATGGATGTAGAGTGAAAAAATCTATTGCCTGGGTCAGCCGCATGCCCACAGGGTAACAAAGGTTGTCAACGCCATAGACGGACTGTGCTGTGCAGATTCCCTGCCCTCTTGAAGGACCAAAGCCAAAATAATAATCTAACTCGAAAGGATTTTACTCGTAAGTTTACCAGTTGCGAAATTGAATTTGCAAGGGAGACACCCGACACCACTGAAACAGAGTTACACTGCCATTGACACTACCTCGATCAGTCTCTTTCATATGGAGACGTCACTGCAGACCCTATTCATGCGCTTATTCCGCTAAATGAAAAAACAACCTAATTATGTGACAAGGAAGCGTCGATCACCCATCTAAGTGCGCTACCAAGACGGTCGCTAGGACGGCAGGACAATGGCGATCCGCAATCGAGAACATACTAAAGACGGCTGAGCGACGTGAAACTCAGTGGGCGTCGTCTTGGACTGTGAGTCGCATGAGCCTTCCTAAATAGCATATGAATACTAATAACCCTCTCACTGCACTACAGACGAAAGTGTCTTTCCTAACAACCTCGACCACCCTCAATAAGTCAGACGACTCATACCAGGCCCTTTTTAGCCCTCTAATGTGGCCGAGCATCGGCGTGCGGTGGGAATCCCGGCTCTATGATACTCAGCATTAATCGCGGTCATGTGCCAGTCATCCTCCCGTCTAACCCTAATTGCGGTCTTGTTGGCTTTGGTCGACACATCCTCAGCATTTCTAACGCTCTGAAGAAACGAGTCAAGGCCGAGACGTATCAACGCGTAAGAGGTCCTGATTGATTGGATGCAGCGTACACGATCACACCGATATTCCTACCCAGTGGTATGCAGCCAGCGACTAGGCATTGGCAACGATGATTTCGTCAGTCAGGTGGTTCTGCTAACACGGTTCAAGCATGGGCACCATTTCTGATGAATTTCCCTGATGTGGTACATCCTCAGTGCTTGTCCATTATTGACTCTGCGTACTTGTCGGCCACATATTGTACGTTTTGCTTTCTCACAAAGGGAGTGAACCTTTCCCCCAGACCACTCATCTGTGAAGAGAGATTCCCATAGTGCAATCCAACTCGTATATGTTGGCTCTTTCGCCGAACTGTGAATCGTATATGCGCCACTGACGGACGGGGAATACGCCGCACACTGCACTCCGTATCGGCCAGCGGCCAGTGGACCCGCTCAGTGCATCACAGCAGATTGCAGTTCTTATTCCACACCATCCTACCAGATAATGCTTGGGTGTGGAAGAAGAAGTCTTCTTTTTCTCCCCTTCCTTGCTCCACCTCGTTCCTTTTTGTTTTCTTTATTATTGTAGTGATGGTGGTAGTGAGCCATCCCCTCGCCGAATCGTAAAACGATGGCTTATCAGGTATTTAGCAAGATCACTCCCGAGAGATTATATTACATTGAGAGAAGATAGGAGAAGCAGATTTGGTAATATACCGCAAGTCAGTTCCAGCTAGCCGACCTACGAAGAGAGCCCTGAGAACCGGCATAGTATCTATCAATGAAGATATCAATCCAGAGATACTGTGCTCGTAGTTGTTAAATTCTTGCGCCATTATAAGTTGTCAGTGATTTTTGGTCACCTTACATTGGCATTGGCATTATCTTTTCAAATTTACAGTAATTGGTTGTCACAAATCGTGCACATTACTTTCCTTTTTTCTTTTCTTTTCTTTTTTTTTTTTTATTCCTTTGTTTTATATCTTCACATGGATAGAAGATGTTCCAAATCTGAGTTTATGAATATGGTGTTCAAGTTCCGAATATCCTATTGAGTTTCATGTACAATTCTACCATGAGCCATAGAATAGATATATATCTTCATATATCCTGTTCCGTAAACATGGAAGACCGTGTGAAATAATACACAATAGTAACGAACAGATCAGGGCTTCCCAGAAGGAAGCAGAGTAAAAACAAAGAGGCTTCTAAAGAAGAAAGGGGAAAAAAAAAAAAAAAAAAAAACCCAAATTTGGAACCTCCCCGGTTGTTATGAACAGAAGACCAGACTATCGGTGATCGCGCCGAGGCTCAACGCACATTATCTCCAACGAAGTCGAGAAATGAGCCTCATAGATATTTTATCCGTCGTTTTCCGCCGTGGGGACATAGACAAGACACGTGAGGATGACTTGTTCGCAACCAATGCCGAGAATGAGAGGACAAACAAGGCGACAGGTGGCATGGAACCCCGCACTCTCTGGCACGACGGGATTGGTCAATGTCACTTCATCTCGGCGATCTTGCTTGAATCTGGCCGAAAGCCCACTTTCGAATCCGGGGTAGTTGGAGGAGTGTCACTGATTACCAACCCACGTTTGTTGACCTTGCAGTTAATTTACATGGATATAACTGGGACGAAGTCATGATACGCGACATGATTTTCTCTGTCTCTTCGATGCGAATACTACTGGGCTCAACATGACATACCTCACGAAGCAAGGGACACCCCAAACTCGCCCAATTTCGCCTGAACTTGGCACAAGCGCCACAGTTGGACGATACTACGCAAGGCTTGGCCCCCGAGGGGGTGACCCCACGTTCTGAAGGAAGGTTTGAGGGACTCGGGGTAGCTGGAGAGATGCACCTTGTGTGTTTATAAGCAGGTTGGCACCTTGCGTGTTCCCGCCAAATCGCTCCACTGATTTGGGTTCCTGCTGCTCTACACGTTTCCTCACCGCACCTCTCAATATGCACAGTCAATCTGCGTTAGATCCAGAGAAGCCGTTGAGCGCTGCCCTCGAAAAGGTAGCCGAAAGCTCTCTGGAAGCTGGGGACGAAAAACGGCCGCACGAGGATGTACCCCCGACGTACAGTGCGGAGATGGAGAACCGGGTCCTCCGCAAGATGGACCTTCGTATCATTCCAATGCTAGCTGTCTTGTATCTGCTGGCTTTCTTGGATCGGGGAAATGTGGGCAATGCGAAAATCGAGGGATTATTGGAGGATTTAAATATGACGGGGCCGCAGTACAATTGGTGTTGTA